AAAAGTACTACAATTACCTCAAAATGTACACAGATGGTTCTAAGAACAAGGAAGAATGTGCTGTATATACATCCCAGACTTTAAAATATCGATCTCAAAAAGAGCGTCTGATCAACTATCAGTATACGCAACACAAATGCTGGCAGTAATAATAGGATTACAGTGGGTTGAAGAGGTCAGACCAGATAGGGTGGTGATATGCACAGATTCATTGTCCATATTAAAAAGCATACAGTCAACAACAACTGCCAGAGAAGACATTCTCATAGAACTTAACCACAGCCTGTCAAGACTTCACAGAGGCGGTATGGATCTGCAGTTCTGCTGGGTGCCTGCATGAGGGGGTGAAAGGGAACGAGTGTGCTGATAAATGAGCAAAAAGTGCACTACAAAAGGAAATAACATTACAGTTCAACTTGGAGAAGGAGAAGGAAAAGCAGTCATTAAGAAGAAAGGGATAGAGATCTGGCAGAAAAGGTGGGAGAAAGACCAGAAAGGCAAAGAGTATCATAAAGTTCAAAAGACAATCACAATTAATATTTAGAAAGAAAGAAACAGAAGGGAGGAAATCACGATAGCTAGACTCAGACTGGATCACACAGCATTGAATGGTACGCTGTATATCATGGGGAAAAGTGACAGTGCCAAGTGTAGGAGCTGTGGAGTTAAAGAACATGTGGAACATATCTTGTTACATTGGGTCATCAATAAAGCTGAAAGAGGAAAACTAAAGGCTAAAGTTTTAGAGGCAGAGAGGGAGAGGGAGTGTGGTTGGTATTCTGGGAACAGAAGGAATAAGAGCTACCAGAAAGGCACTGTTTACCTTTCTGAGGGAAACTGGGGTAGGAAACATAATGTAACATTAGGTCAGGAAAGATCATAGATTTTTATTTTGTTTTTTATTTATTTTATGTTTTTTGTTGATTTATTTATTTTTTGTTTAGATCATAGATAGATACGTCCATGAGAGATGGAATGATATGATGATTCAATCACACTCATGTACAGTAGGTGGCGGTATGCACCTTTAAAGTTCTTTGCAATCCGCCAAAAACCGAGAGAAGAAGAAGAAGAGGTGAGTGGATTAGACACCTGCAGAGGTTTCATTAAGTGTATTTACACCAGCTTAGTTTACAGTTAATCAGGAATCAGAAGTGTGAAGGACCAGGGTACGCAAAAATCAGGAATGCAGGTTGAGATGCAAAAATAAGGATTTTATTTACAGTTTTATGTACAGTTTTAAGATGGGTAATAAAATCAATTAGGTTTAAACAAAAAGGTGTAGATATAAACATACACAATCTAGCATTTAACGCATAAACAAAACGTCACAAAAATGGGTGACATCCTGTGTGCTCTTCTGCCCAAGAGCAACTCACATACCCCCTCATCTCCACACTGCAGGAATGTATAGCCCTACTGGCCAGTCCATTGTTGCGTGCAGGGGGGACAGGCTCTAAAACAAGGGTGGCTTAAATGGAGTGGCCTCTTTAAACACCCCTCAGGGTTTGAGAGGAATGGCGTAGTCCAATTAGCTGACACATCTATGAAGGCAGGTGTTTTCCATCAGCGCAGCCTTTGGCCAGGAGCAAGGTGAGCTGTAAGACACTGACAATATGATTACACACAACACAATTAACAATAGATATTTTAAACAATATTGCGTGCACTCAATCTAGCAAAAACAAAGCTGTTTCAAATCAATGTGTCTGTGTATGTCTGATGTAAACAAAAGCATAACCTTTAGGATGTGTGTTCGTTTGTGAGGCTTGTAGCCCTCACAAGAAGTTATCTTATTTAACACAACAGCTGTAATCTTGGAAGAAAGAAACTCACAAAAAAACTTAAAATGTGCGACAAAAATAGTCTCAAATTATCTTTAAATAAAGGCTAAAAGCCATCGGATAAGAGCTAAAGTCTAAAAGCTATCGCTAACAGCTAACGGCTAAGAGCTAACAGCTAACAGCTACAGTTATTATTCTAGTTTGGCTCTGGGTGAGTAACAGTTTATTTGTAATGCTCAGCTGACTTTATGTTAGTTATTTATTACACCAGTTGTTTTTAAGACAGTTTGAGTTGTTGTGTTGGTGCTCTTTACCATGGTTTTAAATATATGCTAACTAGCTTATTATCATCGCCACTCACCGTGACGTAGCATTTTTCCCATTGAAATGAATGGGGTTCTTCAGTTAGCAGCTAAGCTAAGCGATGGTTTAGCTAATTAAAATATATAAATATATATACTTTATTTAAATAATGATTTATCTTAAACTGGGAAATGATTGTGTCACAGCAGAAGTGTTTTCAGGCATTACACGAGTTAAACATATTTCAAAGATGCAATAAGATATAATAAAAATGAAGCATTAGCAGCAAGTTTACACACAGGACTATATGACTAGAGTATCTAAAGAATACACAATATACAGAAAATACTGTATACATGGGGTACATTAAACAGTCTCACTAGCTAATGTTTGCTTTCTGTGTTAACTTAGTGATAGTTAATGACACAGATAGCGTTATAACCGTGGTTCAAACAACCATTAATGTCACTTTCTATGCGAATAAAGTCAAGTAAAAGTACCTCTAAATAGTACTTAAGTACAGTACTTGAGTAAATGTACTTAGTTACTTCTCACCTCTGCTATGAACCTACGAAGTAGCTGTAGATTAGTTTTGTTGTGTCTGTCGGTTGTATTGAGTTGTCTTGTTTTGTGTCAGCTGTAGTTGTGTTGATTATTTCAGAGACCCAGCCGGAGAAGGAGAGCAGCATGGAGGAGAACAAGGAGACCCCTGGAGCTCAGGTCAGTGTGCACTTCATCACAATATATTCCTAATTCCAGCGTTTCCGCCAGGCGGGCGTCTTGCCGTCATTTGACGCCCTTATTCAGCTCGGAACGCCCTGAACTCGAGCCGAGGGCGTCCAAAAGAGTTTTTATCGCTTGAAATGACGAAAAGGACAAGGACATCCCTCTGTTGGAGGGGCAAAGGAGTCTGGTGGGATTCTTTTCGCCGCCAGCAAAGCGTGTTCCTGTGACGGAAAGTGTACTGCCGGCGAGCCTTGACGGGGGGTGCTAGTGGAGCACGCGCGTGAACTGGCGAAACTGAGGCTCTGGTAAACTGTGGTAACATGAAGAGCCGTTTGGGAGCCGAAAGAGCCGGCTCTTCTTAGTAGGGATGCCAGAAACTGACCATGACCAAAATCGAAGATCGGACAGCCCTGGCGAATATTAATCGATTAATCGCCGACTAACTCTGCGCTGCTGGCTTCCTCCAAGTTTACAGTAAAACAAACTGGTGGTGTGATCAATGGTCATTTACAATTATTAATACTATTACTATTATTAGCATTAGTCTATATTTTGGTTGAAACCAAACCAGGAAAAAAAAGAAAAACATAAATATTAATAAAATATATTAATAAAATCGATTTTTAAAAATAATATTCGATTATGGAGACTGTAACGAATAATCGAATAATCGCTGGCATCCCTAGTAGCAACAGTACCACCCCCTTGCTTATAGGCAAATTGGTATGGATCAAGTATGTCTTGTCCGTCACAATAGGTTTAGCTAAAAATAAATAATTCGAGAGAAGATCGAGAGTTTCTATCGCTTAAAATGACTATAGGGAAAAAGGACAAGGACATCCCTCTGTTGGAGGGGCAAAGGAGTCTGGTGGGATTCTTTTCGGAGTATTGAAGATCGTTTCCCCGACATCGGCGGTGCCTGCCACAGGACAACATGGAACGTGCGCGATTTGGACGCGATGAGCGCGGAGCTCGCGCGTGAACTGAGGCTCCGTGATAAACTGTGGTAAAATGACTCACTAAAAAGAGCCGGAATTCCCATCACTAACGTAAAGAGATAATATCTATAAGGGATGGAGCTATAACCCCCCCCCCTCCCCCCCGCTCTCGGGGTGGACGCCCTCTCAGCCCTGGTCCACGTTGTTGCTCAGGTTTGTGAGAATGATGGATGGAAGTGGTGGCCGGCTGGTGTTTCTAAGCGGCTCCCGAGGGATGTCATCCAATAACGAAGAGCACAGATGGCTTGGTGTATTCGTAGGAGGCCGATCGCATTGTAGCTCTAGCATAGCCTCGCGGCTGTAGCAGCGTAGAGGACGGGGCTCCTCGCCATACCTGTTCGTGCTGTCACTCAGGTGTGTCTTGGAAAGTTGTATGGCCAGACATTAGACCAAAAAAACCAAAACAAAACACAAGACGAACGGAGCATACTGAGACTCGCGGTGACAGGATGCCGTCTCCCTCTGTCTCCTGTATACCAGAGGTGGGAGTAAGTCATACATGTGCAAGTCCCAAGTTACTGGGGTGAGAGTCAAGCAAGTCAAGTCATACGAAATCCTGATGAATTACCCCAGTTTCCGCATTTAAATCAGTTAAAAGACAGTGGTTATGAAAACTAGAGTTTTATTTTCCACATTAACAACAATGGATAGTGGGGCTCTGAAATCATAAAACAGGTATGTGTGTGTGTGTGTGTGTGTGTGTGTGTGTTGGTTGTCCTTCTATAAAACAGATGCGGGCAGCAGATACTGTGAGTCACAGACATGAATACATAGGTCAAGGCAGACTGGTTCACAGACTCTCCTGTTTTGCCGATCCGGTGCTTGAACAAATAACACTACACCCCTACACAAGTCAAGTCGAGTCTTTTTATCAATGTTAGTCAAGCAAGTCTCAAGTAAAAAAATATGCGACTCAAGTCAAGTGACTCGAGTCCCCCACCTCTGGTATATACTGTGGTTAGAATGTTGCTGTATCAAATATAATAAACCCAAACAGTTGATAAGTAGTATTTTGTTAACTCAAGGTTTATACTAAGTGCGTTTTTATTGTGTTAACTTGTGTATTCATGCTTTTTAGATTGACTTTCTCTCTTTCTCTGTCCCTCTGTTCTAGAAACCGAAAGGAAGAGAGAGACGTCACAGCTGTCAGCAATGTGACAAATCGTTTACAACATCTGTACATTTAAAGTGCCACCTGCATATTCATACTGGAGAAAAACCGTACAGCTGTGAAGAGTGTGGGACAACTTTCACTAGATCAAGTTCTCTCAAAATACATCACCGTATTCATACTGGAGAAAAACCGTACAGCTGTGAAGAGTGTGGGACAACTTTCACTACATCAACTCATCTCAAAAGACATCAACGTATTCACACTGGAGAAAAACCGTACGGCTGTGAAGAGTGTGGGACAACTTTCACTACATCAAGTCAGCTCAAAATACATCAACGTATTCACACGGGAGAAAAACCGTACAGCTGTGAAGAGTGTGGGACAACTTTCACTACATCAAGTACTCTCAAAATACATCAACGTATTCATACTGGAGAAAAACCGTACGGCTGTGAAGAGTGTGGGACAACTTTCACTACATCAAGTCATCTCAAAATACATCAACGTATTCACACGGGAGAAAAACCGTACAGCTGTGAAGAGTGTGGGACAACTTTCACTACATCAGGTGAACTCCAAACACATCACCGTATTCATACTGGAGAAAAACCGTACAGCTGTGAAGAGTGTGGGAAAACGTTCACTACATCAAGTAATCTCATAGTACATCACCGTATTCATACTGGAGAAAAACCGTACTGGTGTGAAGAGTGTGGGAAAACGTTCACTAGATCAGATGCTCTCAAAATACATCTTCGTGTTCACAAAGGAGAAAAACCATAGTGGTTTTAAGAGTGTGGGGAAACTATGAGAGCCAAGCTAGCTGTTTCCTCCTCCTGATGTCCTGAGAGCTGTAGTTATATAGTCTAATTGAAATAAAGCTTATTTCATTCAAATGTGTCTTTTCTTCAGTGAGATATCTTTATGGATTTCCTTATGACTTGAGTCTGATTTTAAAAGTGGTTTAATATTTCTGAGTCTGACTCAAGCAACTTAAATGTTTGCTTTTGGGCAAAGTCATCTGAACATTGTGTACTGTGCAAGTAATGTGGCACTCTACCTTTGTCCCTATATTTAGATAAACAAATTAATCCCCATTATTGCATTTAATCATTCATATTTCACGACACACTGTTACTGTAGCACTGACCACTTTATTGTATAAAGTGCATTCAATTGAAAACACCATAGTGTTACAGTTCAATTATGTACAATTATAAATACAATTATGTACATAAAAGTATTTACATATAATAAATAGATAATTAACGCCTACAATATCAGAGAAATTAGAATGTAACAATTGCACTGATGGCTCTGTGTGTTTTTTGTCACCAATATTATATTTGAGTTTGCACTGCCTCCACGGCTATGGTTATGGCATGATAAATGTAAAGCGTCTTTGGGTTCGAGAAAAGCGCTATAAAAATCCAATTTATTATTATCATGATAAGAACTGCTCTGTATTCCTAAAGTTTGACCTTTCTGGCAAAATATTAAATTGATTCAGTATAAATGATGGCAACAGCATAAACTAAGGTAAACACAGGTAAAAAAGCTCAAGTGGATACAAATCAGATGCATGAAACACATTGACTTTTGTAGATCCCAGGATTTATTTTTCATCAGCAGGTATGAATCAAATGTTAGGGTATCAATGACTTCTTGTAAACTAACATTTGTTGTTATGCAAGTCAACAACAACGAGATCTCACTCCACTGCAGAAGAAGAACAGGAATGATCCAGCTATTGAACCCAGTTGGATTCTTTAGGACTTTTTATGAGCAACCATTCACCTTCATTGATTCAGTATAAAGGATGGCAACAGCAACAACATAAACACAGGTAAAAAAGCTCAAGTGGATACAAATCAGATGTACAATTATGTACAGGGAGGCTGTGGCGCAGTGCGTTGGTGTTGGGATCAGGGGAGCACAGGTTCAAACCCCACTGCAGTCAGCATGTCGTGTCCCTGGGCAAGACACTTCACCCCACAGTATTGAGTATGTAAGTCGCTTTGGATGAAAGCGGCTAACATGTAACATGTAATGTAACGTACACAAAAGTATTTACACTTTTTACATTAATGACGTACATATGAATGAAAACTATTTACAATATACATCAAATATAAAAGTCGACATGAAAAATAAACTTCACCCCAAATTGCTCCTGTGGGGATTGCCAACAGTATTGAGCATGTAAGTCGCTTTGGATAACAAGTAACATGTAATGTAATGTGCATAAAACTATTTACATTAATAACGTACATATATTTACAATATACATAATAAATATAAAACTCAACATGAAAAATACAAATGATAAACATTTAAATGACTTTACAATATTTACATAGCAACAGGCCATTGCTTCAACTCGTCAACAACAGCTGTAAAATGTTGGTAACTGTTGTAGACTGTGTTCTCCAGACCCTTTGATGGAGACATCCTCTTCACAGGGCAGAAGACTTTGCGGATGTACTTTTTGTGCCCCTGGGTGGGTTGGCCACAGCACGTGCACGACGGCAGCTTTTGGACCCGGGACACTTTGGCTCCTACTCCCGAGGGCTCATCCATCCCCTTGCGCTTGTAAAGCGTGGACCTTGCCCAGGATGAGGGAATGCACTCAAGAGTAGTGGGGACAGACACATCAGCAGACGGGGTTGCCTGAATGGCAGGCAGTAAGGGCATTGAGGAGGGGCCAGCAATGGCTGGGGTTGGCTGACTGGCAGGGAGGATGGGGCCAGGGAAAAGGGAGAGAAAGGGGAGGGCACCGGTCTGGCGATGGTACTGGTGGCACGCAGTATGGGACGTCCAGCAATGGCAGGCACGATGGGCCTCGTGGAAGGGCCAGCAATCGCCCGGGTTGCTGTGGATGGAGAGGGGGAGGACAAAGGTCTGGGGGCTGGGGTTGGTGGCCGTGGCAGTGACACAGGTGGCAGTGATGTCTGAGGGTGTGAGAGAGGCATGATCATGTCCCTCCTTCCCTTCAATGACTGGGTTCCTGCCGTGCTGGGTGTCGGTACGTACTGCATCAGCGGGTAGTCTGGTGGAGGGAGGAGTGCTGGCTGGTGTGGCGCTGGAGGCAAGTGGGCAGAGGAAACGGAAGTCGTCTTTGAGAGCATCGCTGGCTGGTTGGTCGCACGCAGGTTGAGGAGGCGTTCTTGAGCGCGGATAAAGTCACGCACCGTCTTAATGTTTATCTTTGGCAGCGGAAAGCCTGCTTTAGACAAGACGGGATCGTCCACCAACACCCGGTGCTGGATCCTCTCGTACGCCTTCAAGATAGTGGTCTTCTCAGGGCTAGTGTGAGAACCATGTGGTGACTTCAACCACAGCAGTTTCACCAGCGTGTACATAAGCCTGTTGTTCATTGCACTAATGTGCTGGTGCGTAGCGAATGCCCATCTTCACGCGCTGTATCACAGCAGCATCGACAAGGTTGTGCCGTTTAGTGCGGCAGTACAGGGTGTTGCCCCAGTGCGTTCTGTACAGCTGGTTGAACTTCTGCTGCTGTTTGTCGTGGTCCTCCACTGCATTCCAGGCAGTCAGGATCGCGTTCCTCTGCACGGTGCATTTTTTTTTTTAATCGGCCCTCACTCAGTCAATTAAAAAAGTATAATGACTTAAAGGGGACCTATCAAATGCACTTTTGTACGTCTTTTATACATGAATATGTGTCCCCGGTGTGTCAGGGAACTCACCAAGTGTCAGAAAACACAACCCTCTCTCTTTTCCTCCATACCCAAATCTCTAAAAACGGGGCTGCAACGGATCTGATAAAGACTGATACAGATTTGAAATTGTTCTGACGTCAGAAACAGGGAGCTCCGCCTATATGGCCAACTCTCCACCTATCAGGGGAATGAGAGGTGGCCGTGGCATGGTAACAGCATGGTAACATGACGCTCGTGCCACTTCCCCCCCTGGTCAGCTGCAGCTCATGCAAAGACAGGGCTGGAGGAGAGCAAAATGAGGCATGGCTAAAATGCATGATCTGTTTGGTATTTTGAAAAAAAAAAACTTCACAGACATGTTTTATATAGGTATGGCCCTACAATATATTATTCAAATATAGCATGATAGGTCCACTTTAAGTATAATAAACTTCTGCTTGTCTTATATTGTACTTCTTAAATATATATGTTCAAATATATTACACAGTATTCATGTGCTAATGAGCCCAATTTTCAATTAAATTCAGTCAAGTAAAGTTGAAAACATCTTCTTGCAAATCTTATGTTGATAAGAAAAAAGCCCAATAACAAATGTACATAACAACCTTGAAATATACCCTTCATATTTCCTCTTATCATAATCAATCTGAAGCTTCTGATTTAAGGAATGAGCTGCCAACACAATAAATGAAACCCTCTGCAGAGTGTTGTATTTTTCTGTAAAAAGTCCCCTCTAAGTTTGTTAGAAAACACAGCGGTTTCTGAGGGTGTTTTTCACACGGCAGGAGATGAGTGATGACCAGCTTCTATGTTCCTCTATCTCATAAACAGGTGGGAAATATAACCAGCACTAGTACTGGTCATAATAAGTGTGGTTTATTCACTGACATTTCCTGTGTGAAGTGGAAGTTCGGTGAGGTGATACACACACTCCTCCCTGCTGCCTCCTCCAGCTGCTGGCATGTTCACACATCTGTACTTGACTCCCTCCCAGGCTAATGCTCACTGTCTTGAATCTCCTCGTAGATCTGCTCAGGTTCAGCTTCGTCATCGTTGGGGGTTCTCTTTTCTCTGTTTTTGAAGAAGTGTCTGAGGGTTATGATCCCCAGAAGCCAAAGCAGCCACAACAGCTACTCGTAAGCGTATTTGCCAAAAGTCAGATGGTCGTTGGTTCTCTGGTTCTGCAGTGGTTCCCTCCTGTCCTGAGTCAACACCCTGTCCATTGTTTCTCTGTGTGACTGGTTTGAATCCAGCTTCAGGATCCACCATGTTGAGATCCTTCATTACTTCCAGATATATCCGGTAGTTATTACACAAATACATTCTTTCAAGATCGGTCGTAACATTTTCTATCACCAGTGAATTATCTGATCCGAAAGCAAAGTGCTTGTCAATGATGTTCACTTTGCCATTTTCTATAGTGACAAGAGGCAGAGTTTTACCATTACCATCCTTATACAAACTCCATTTTACATCTCCTTTCTTATGAGGACAGGGCAGTGTAGCCTTCATGCCCGGCAGCGCTGTTATTTTTTCAGGAACAGCTGAAAAGCAAAAAGCAGAAAGAAGTTACACATGTATGGACCCAACAGCCTTGACAAGCTGGACAATTGATTTGCTCATGGTGGTTTTAATTTATAGTTTTTCTATATTTAGAAAAAAAAACAGGCAAACCTAAGAAACAAGTTACATTTTTGTCCGTGCTAAATTCTACCGAAAGAGCCTGTTAACTCAAATGTTTTCATTCTTTTTCTTTTTCATATTATGCTCATTTTCAGGGTCACATTTGTATTTTGTACGTCTACTGTAATGTGATGCTTTAATGTTCAAAAAGCTCTTTCCCAGAGAAACGGCCCCTCGAGGGAACACAGGGATTTCAGCCTCTGCAGACCATTTACATGCACACAAACCTGTATAACACACTACAGGAAAGGGAGAACCCCAAAAAGCAGAATAGAGCCCCTTTAAGCTACTAAACAAAAGATTGTAAACTAAAACACTTTTTCAACATATCACAGAGTAAAACTTGACATGTCTTTGACTTGATTTATATTATTCATTTCAATGTCGAATCATCCAGATTCATGAATATTTTAATAGAAACATGTTAAAAATAGATATTCTTACCTGTATAGCTGATAGAGAAGCATGCAGCGAGCAGCAGGAAGTAGAGACAAAGCAGCATCTCTGCAGCTGGTGAACTCTGCTGTGTCAGATACAACTTAGTCTTCTTTTTAATCTAAGAGGAAGTTATGAGTAATATGGCTGGGGGTCGAAAAGATCTTGAGTGATTGGCTGTTTTATACCGTGGGGAGTTTCTCTGCGCAGTACAGGGAAAGGTTGAACTAATCAGATCTTAAAGGTCCCATGTCATGGCCATTTCTACTGATCATATTTCCATTATTGAGGTCTACTAGAATAGATTTACATTGTGCAATTTTCCAAAATCACATTGGTTTCTCATACAGCATATCTGTATAGTATGTGTATTCACTCTCTGTCCTAAACGGCTTGTTGGAGCTCCTGCCCCCCCTCCCTGTGAGCCCAGTGTGCTCTGATTGGTCGGGACGTTGCGAGGCTCGTTGCTGCTCGCCGCTGCTGCGAGGAGCGGACAGGTTTCCGGGTCGGCGATACAGCGAGAACAAGCGAAACTCATCCTGAGCACACACAAACACTCACAGCCGAAGTAAAATCAATAAGTGTGGCTTGATATTGAGTAAGAAAAAGGTTTATAACGCTGTGAGAATGGGTCTGCGGAGAGCATTTCTCCGCGATCCCAACAGTCTATTACCAGCGTTCAGGGAGCTCTATGCAAGTGGCCAAGGGATCCTGAAAATGTATTCCTCCTTTCATGACATGGATATAGTTATATACGCTTTAATATCTTGCCATTTTGATTAATGCAACTCCTTACAATAGGTATCATGCATAATTATTGCTCCCCTCTGCAGCTGGTCAAAAATGATTGGGGTATAATAATAATAATAATAACTTGGATTGATTTGCCTTTCAAGAAACCAAAGGACACATGGACTCCCTGTTAGTTAGCCAAGGGATCCTGGTGTGTGAGGTGCTCCACGGATTGGTCACCAAACTAAAATGGCATTTTTCTGCTTCCTTTTATAGCACCATTTCAGAAGTCAAAAATGCATTTAAACTGCAACCATGTGCCAAAGTTTAGAGTATTTAGTATAACAAATCAATTATAATTCCAGTGTAAAATATTACATATAACTCAATGTAGCATATACCTAAATGACAAAGGCCAGTGATTTTGGCCAGCGTCGGACCGATACCAATACTATCTATCAGACTGGTGCCTCCCTAGAGCAAAGTACCAACAATAAAGACAAATAAACTATAAACAACAACCTTTAGGAGCACTGTGTGTGTTTGTGTTCCCCTTGTGAACACCTGAGTTACCTGAGACTCGTGAGGCTTCCAGCCGATCATGTAGAGGATCTCGAAGGTGGCCGGCACCGACCCGTCCTCGCTGCCGTACATCTCTGAAACACATTCAAACACACACACATAAACACATGCAATAAGGAAGCAAAAACATTGGTGTTTTATTTTACTTTTGATGAAGCTAAGCTAGCAGTTTGCTTCTGCTTCAAGGCTTTGTGCTAAGCTACAGAAGGCTAACCAGCACACATATGAGTTTGACCATTAAAGCTGACAGCGGGCTGAATGTAACAGCATTTCCTAAAAACTGCACTGAAGTACAACTTTTACGAGATCCTTTTCTTCAGTATTTCCTATGTATGCTACTTTATACTTCTACTCTTGTACATCTTAGTGGGAAATAACATCCTTTTTTCTGCATTATATTTGTTGACAGCTTTAGTATGCCGATTAAGATTCTTATACAAAATATAAAACAACTATTAAATGATAATATGTTATTATAAATGAATCTACCCTGCACTATTGACGTAGCTACAACAATAAAGAGCACATGAATGCTTTAATAATAATACAGGAATATTATGTTATTCTGAAAATGGTATTCTGCATATTGAGTATTTTTAGTGTTCCTACTTTGATGTTTTTTATGTTGTACTTGTATCTGAACAACGTTTTGAATGCAGGACTTCTACATGTATCATAGTATTGTTGCACTTCTAATCAAAGATCTGAGTACTTCTTCACGACTGAAACCTGATATCATCTGAGGATGCAAAGCAAAAACCATGTGAAGAAACGATTCACACCTTTTTGTTCCCACGCTTTCTGTACCAAAGCGTGTTAAAGACTTCAGCTCTAAGTGTCCAACAGAGGAAGTTAAACCAGCAGAGTTCAAACAGCGGCAGCAATGTGAGTATGTGAGGCTGATGTGTCATTGTGCATACTGAGGAACCATAACACCAGATCAGGCTTAATAAGGTTAACACTGTGGGAGAATGAGAACAGAGAAAACAGAAGTGTCAGAAATAAAGAAACACCTAAATATGGAATCATATTTCAAGAATAAGTCAGACCCAATGTTATATTTTTCCTATTTTTAACACATCCAAAAAATGTGGCTCTCTGCTCCAACACATTTGCACCATTTATACTTACAAACGTGATATTTGCACTATTCATCTTGCACATAATGAACCACCAACACTATTCAATTAATGCTTAAATCATACAGTGTAACTAACATTTATAACATCTGTATAGTTTACCTAGAGCAGGGGTGTCAAACTCAAATACACAGTGGGCCAAAATAAAAGAAATGGGTGCTAGTCGAGGGCCGGACTGGTTCGATGTTTATTAAAAAACGTATTGAAATGAACTTATTGCAAATATTAAACCTGGAACTAACAAAGCTTAAATGATTGCCTATAAAAACAACATTAAACATTAAATAATCAGTTGCATTCATTTCTTATGGCTCTATCTGCAGCTTTTCCGGAGTCATTTCTTATGATTACATTTTTCCACAGGCCAACAACAGCTTCCAAAAAACTATTTCCCTCAAAGAAAAAAACAAACATGCCCTGTTGTCTCAAGAAACAAAGTGCAGAAGGAAACATCCATTGAAACTCATTTTGCTGCTCTGTGATGCTAGTTCAAGCCAGATACTTGGCATCTCATCTTGGGTGCAAGTTCATCAATGTTTGGGGTCAGGCTCTGAGCTGAGGAGATCCTCAGGATGGAGTGAAGGTGTGCGTGTAATATACCGGCGGGCCAGATCTAATGATTTGGCCCCCGGGCCTTGAGTTTGACACATGTGACCTAGTCTACATGATCGGCTGGAAGCCTCACGAGTCTCAGGTAACTCAGGTGTTCACAAGAGGAACACAAACACACACAGTGCTCCTCAAGGTTGTTGTTTATAGTTTATTTGTCTTTATTCGTGAAGGCACCATTCTGATAGCATTGGTATCGGTCCGATGCTGGCCAAAATATATAATATGTATTGTATTATACACATATTTGCACACATATTTTTTAATACATTTGTTTTTATATTCGGGATTGTGGGAAACGGTATTTCGATCTCGCTGTCTGTACACACAAACTGGAAGATTGACAATAAAGTTGACTTTGGCTTTGATGTTCACGCTCTCTATCGTCAGATCTTGCAAGAGCGTGTTGCTGATACAAAAAATCTGTCTTGTCTGTCTGAAAAAATACCATTTTAGAGTCAGAATTTTGGGGAGATATGTAGCTTGTGAGAAATAGAGCCAATATTTGATTTGGTGACTCTGGTGTGAAGTAATTGGTCATGATCTATGTTCATGTCGCAGATCGGCCAGCCGCCCAACAACAACAAGTCCTAGAAGCTTCTGAGCTAATTAACCCAAAGAAGAATTTAGTAATGTAAAAAAGTCCCTCTGGATGACTGATCAAATATCTGGTGAATGCATCTGGGAGTTCACACAGTGACAAACAAATAGTCATTTTAAGATCTGATTTAGTTCAACCTGCGCAGAGAAACTCCCCACGGTATAAAACAGCCAATCACTCAAGACCTTTTCTAACCGCAGCCATATTACTCATAACTTCCTCTTAGCTTTAAAAGACTATATTTAAGTCGTATGTAACACAGCAGAGTTCACCAGCTGCAGAGATGCTGCTTTGTCTCTACTTCCTGCTGCTCGCTGCATGCTTCTCTATCAGCTATACAGGTAAGAATAACTATTTTTAACAGGTTTCTATTAAAATATTCATAAATCTGGAGTTCTGGCTTCTGCCTTGTTTTCATTCATCAATCAGAGCAGACTGGGCTCTGGTTTCAGACAGAGGGGGAAAAGAGGTGCTGCAGCACAGGCAGTATGAGAAAAATAAAGAGCTTTTTGAACATTAAAGCATGGAGACATGTCCCAGTAGAGACACTACATACTGATATACACCTGAACATCAGCAGGAGAGGACTCTTTAAAGTAGAGACACTACATACTGATATACACCTGAACATCAGCAGGAGAGGACTCTTTAAAGTAGAGACACTACATACAATATGAACCTGAGAATGAGCAGAATACGGCGTCTTTAAACTGGTTATTCTTGAAGTCACTGAAACGTTTGAAATAATAAAAACCTTTGGGTTAATTTGGGAGAATTAAGCATGGAAAACTTTTACTTTTTGTTTTAGGTCTGTGCTTTATTCTGTCAATCAGTAGTTGATATTTTTTCCTAAATACAGAAACACTTCAAATAAAACCACCATGAGCAAATCAATTGTCCAGCTTGTCATGGCTGTTGTTGTCCCGCTGAAGATAACAAACTATTTGAGGTACATACTGTATGGGATTAACAGAAAAGTTTACCACAAATGTGTAACTACTTTCTGCTTTTTGCTTTTCAGCTGATCCTGAACAGATAACAGTGCAGACGGGCATGAAGGCTACACTGCCCTGTCCTCATAAGAAAGGAGATGTAAAATGGAGTTGGTATAAGGGGGGTAATGGTAAAGTGCCTCTTGTCACTATAGAAAATGGCAAAGTGAACATCATTGACAAACACTTTGCTTTCGGATCAGATAATTCACTGGTGATAGAAAATGTTACACCCGATCTTGAAAGAATGTATTTGTGTAATAACTACCGGATATATCTGGAAGTAATGAAGGATCTCAACATGGTGGATCCTGAAGCTGGATATAAACCAGTCACACAGAGAAACAAGGGACAGGGTGTTGACTCAGGACAGGAGGGAACCGCTGCAGAACCAGAGAACCATCAACCATTTGACTTTTGGAAAGTACCTGTTGGTGTAGTGGTTGGTGCTGCTTTGGTGCTTCTGGGGATCATAACCCTGAGACACTTCTCCAACAACAGAGAAGAGAGAAACCCCAACGAGGACGAAGCTGTACCTGAGAGGATCTACGAAGAGATTAAAGACAGTGAGCATCAGCCTGGGAGGGAGTCTTATGGAAGTCCTTATTACTGGACAAGCATCAATGAAACGGCAACTACACAACCCAATAATAACAAGTACAACAGTGTGAACAGGCCAGCAGCTGAAGGAGGCAGCAGGGAGGAATGTGTGTATCACCTCACCCAACTTCCACTTCAGACAGGAAATGTCAGCGAATAAACTTCTGGTAAATTCAGCCTGTACATGAACTGGTCACCACACCTCTCCAGCCGTGTGAAAAACACCCTTAGAGTGTCAAAATGTTTTTTTGTTTGATGCCTGAATATAAAAGATGAGAATCAACAAGCAACTCATATTTGGAAACCCCCTTTAATGTCATATGCAGGCTCGACTCCACTTCGAGAAATACAATTAGTAACAAAGCACTTATATACTAATAAAGGACTGGCTTATCTAAAGCCAGTTGAGTAGCACTTGAAATGTTTTGGCTCTATGAAACCTGATGTACTTATATGATTCTGTTTTCTTCAAGTCTGTATCTTCTTGGTCGAATGCACTTTGGATAAAAGCGTCAGCTAAATGCAATGTAATGTAATGTCATAAGCAAAGGAGTGTCACATTTTTTCTTCAAGCCAATCACAGCTATCTGCTGTTTTCAGGAAGGAGGTTTAAAGAGACAGGTCCTATGTCTTTTCCTAAACACTTCCCTCAGCCTTGATAAAACACGTAATGGGGTTAAGGAAAGATATAAAGGACAATTAATCAGGAAAGCTGTTTTGTGTTGTGGAATCAATGACAATAAATGAACCTTGTAATTTTGATAATTTGTTTATGTTTATTTTTTATTTTATACAGAGATATATTAAGAGTGTTCTTTAAATGTGCTAATAATCCAGTCTTCAAGAGGAGACACGTTCTTATATACATCAGTGGCGAACCGTGTCTATCACAACTGGACCTTCTGTAGACACACACACCCCCCCCGCCGCCGCCGCCCCCCGGCGTTATAATGTCCGTCTTTTCACTGAATTGTCGTCTTGAAAAGGGTACTCACAACAATTCCGCAACAACTTCATCTTCACCTGTTGCACTTGCCATTTCAACGTTAAAAACAATAAAACGGCATGAATTGCTTCGTGGCATTCATCTAGATCCTCTGTCTCGAGCCAGTTAACTAGCGGGCCTTCTAGAATACCCTGGAACCGAGGGAAACTCTGAAAGAATACGCCCATTGGCTACAAATCAATATATGATTGGTTGATCAAACTGTCAATCCAAATGTACGCTCTCATTCAGTGCAACGGCCAGGGCATTCTATCAAGGATGTAGAATACCTGGTTGAAGGATATTCTACCCAGAGACCCAGAACAAGATCTGATTGGTTGCTTTCTTTTCTAACACAAAACCACTGAAATGCGTAGTGCATGGTCCGAGAAGGACAAACAAATCAACGTAACACTGTGATATTACAGATCAACAACACAGATACGATTCTCATTTATTCATTTTATATACATTTTATATACATTTTATTACATTTTATTACATTTTATTTAGATAATTAAATCGATTTTTTGTTTGTTTTATCTGAGTGTTCCAGGGTATTCTCTGAATACCTTGAAGGCCCTGACGGTTCGCCACTGATATACATCCATGGGAGACACCCGTGCAGGCTGCAGACTTTCGACAGAAGAGGAAGAAGGGGGAAAACGATGTTGCCATGACAACGCCTTTTGTTTACATGTAGCCGAGGACTCCAGCTGTAGCTGGGCTAGTTTACAGGCTAACTCCTGTCTTTAGCGTTATTTCCCCCATTTGTTAGCCTGTACTGTATTTCACGATGGTGAGTAAACTCCTTTTAATCAGCAGTGTTGTTGTTGAGTGCAATAAGCATGTGTTTGTTTAGCATGAGCCAGATACCGGATCGTTTGGAGACTGTAAGCTAAGCTACAGGTCAGATAACTGTTAGCGTGTGTTAGACATGGAGCTAAAGTGTGCATGTGTTTTCTCTCCAGCCCCCAAAGACTAAAAGCAAAAAGGTCGTGAAGGGGAAGTCCTCGGCCGTGGTGGACGGTCTTTCCACGGATGAAATGTCAAAAGATCAGGTGAGAGCTGCGATGCTAACACAGCTAACTAGCATTAGCCTCATAACTATAACACTGTGTTCAGGTGGTTGAGGGATAACCAGCCTCACATTGTATTTGAGGCCCAGATAATTGTTTTGTTGTGGGGTTGAAGTGCTGACAATTTAATCTGAGGGTATTTATATCTTCATCTATCTGTATATAGTGCCTTCACATTGTATCTTTTACATTTATATTTACTTTATTATGCTATTCCTTGCTCACTTAATGTAAATAATACCCTACTTTAACATGTTGTAAGCTGTAATTGGCCCTTCATAGTTTACAGATTATTGTCTGTAAATTACTGTCAATATGTATACTTAACACTTTCTTTTATATATGTTTGTTTATTTTTTGTACTCTTTTTCATTGTCACATTATGTGCAATGCCTTGTGACGAAAAAGATATCCCAAATTGGGATCAGTAACGTAAATATGATCTTATCTTAACTGCTTATATAGCCTTTTTTATACATATTGTTCCCAGTGTTGTAAGACATATTGAGATCCTTTATTTGAATCTACAAGTAAATGTATTATAACGAAATATACAAGTATGAGAATTAAAGTTAGAAACTGAGCAGTGAAATTACCCCTTGTCATAAATCTTATGTTGGATACCGAATATATAGCACATAAGGAAGAGATGGGGAGCAAACAGTGTTGGCACAGTTGTTTCAACAGAGTTATCAGGTAATAGTGGCTGCACTGTACATGAAATTGATCTCACTGCATACAGCTCCACTCCATGGTGCTGTCCAACTCCTCTCCAAAGCTTCCTGCCAGAACAAATCAATACGTCTCCTCTCATATTGATTGTATTGATGGTATATATGATACCATCAATATGATCTAAAACCAATATATCAATATTCCAATTACTTATAGACTATTCTGCACTATTTCTACTATATTCTATTTCATTTTATTTACTTGCACAATTGTATCTGTTTTATTGTGTTGCACTGTTGGAGGAGCCTGTGACCTAAGATTTTCATTGTCATAACTACACTGTAGCTATGCACACATGACAATAAAAGCCTTGAATCCTTGAATCCTTGAACATGGCGCCAAACATATTTAAAACATTTTTTAAAACAATGTATTTTTTAGTTTATTTTAGCCTCTGTTATCACTGTGCAGCCTGATTATGAGGAAACAAAATGACCAATTATTTGCCAAATCTAAAAATCAGGTTGAAATCTGCTCGAGCACCAAAAAAAAACATGCTTGGCACATGGTAACTTTCTGCCTTATTTAACTAAAGGAAAAAAAAATGGCTTTGAGTATTGTCCAGCTCTTTACACAAATCTTCTGTCCAGCTGGAGGAACACATCATCCGCCTGCGAGAGGAGCTGGACAGAGAGCGGGAGGAGAGGAGCTACTTCCAGCTGGAGAGGGACAAGATCCAGGCATTCTGGGAAATCTCCAAGAGGAGCCTGGAGGAGACGAATGCCGAGCTGAGGAACAGACGGAGGGAGAGGGAGGAGGCGGAGGAGCGCCACCGTGTGGAGATCACTGTGAGCTACACACACACACACAGGCACACACACACAGGCACACACACGCACACACACACACACACACACACACACACACACACACACACACACACACACACACACACACACACACACACACACACACACACACACACACACACACACACACACACACACACACACACACACACACACACACACACACACACACACACAATTGAATTCTGACGCTATAATAAATATTTGATTTGATCAAGTGGTTAAAAAATAATAATAATATTAACCATTAACATAACTTTTTTTATTGAAGAAATTACAGATCATGCTCACACCATCGCTATATGATTTAACTGATTAATTTGAGATGTAAGTCCTTTTTTCATAAATCACAGTTGATGGGTTGCATGATCTTCCCATATTAACTCCTTGTGTGCTTGCTGGTGTTCAGGTGTACAAGCAGAAGCTGAAGCACGTCCTGTCTGAGCAACACAACACCGTCTCTGGGCTGAAGATCGACGGCGTCTCCTCGAGCGGACTCATCCGGCTGCAGAACGCTGAGAAGGAGCTCGGGCTGAGGAGAGAAACGCACGGCCTGCAAGGGGACTTCGGGGAGAAGAAGCTCCACAACGAGAACTGCATCAAGGAGCTCAAACTGGTGAGACTAGGGACATTTTTACAGTTGTGTTTTGTTTATTACTACTGTGGTGGCTCAATTCCCAGTTAAGTTTGAGTCGCAGAGAGACTAAGCTTGGCTTTATACTGCGACGCGTTTTCAATGAGAAAGTCCGTACTGAAGTAAGATAGGTTGAAGATATTTAATAAACAAAATCAAAACACACAATAACTTAGATGGACAAAAAAACGGTCAACAGAAAAAATGTCGGCACAAGCTCACCCTCTGTCATCCGCCCCCGACATGTAACAGGTGACCGAAATACACAAAGCACACCCATGTGACGATTGCCGGATGTAATAAACTCAGGCTAAGTAGAATTTTGGCTCCTACAACTACAATTAAGCATCTCTGTTGCCTTTTGATTCTCAACAGAAACACCAGGTGGAGTTGATGGAGATGACAAACACCTTCGACAAAAGATTCAGAGGTAAACAAACTACATTTCTGACTTTAATTTAAAAAAACAAAAAACTTTTAAAACTGTATTAAACATTTCCTTCTGTTGCCATTTAAATAGATATTGAGGTGAAATATCACAAGAAAACCGAGACGATGATCCAAGCGGAGGGTAAGAGGCGGCGTGCGGAGGTTTTAGAAGTGGAGGACCGGATGAAGAGTCGTGTTGTGGCTCTGATGGAGGACCAGGAGCGAGCTCTCAGAGGAGCAGAGGAGTACTACTCTGCTGTTCAGAGCAAACTGATGGGGGATCAGAAGCTGCTGAAGGTAAGAGACGTTACTTCAGAATACGTATTTTTACAGGATGTAATGCCATGACTGTGAAGTGGTGGAGGGTTCACAGAATTCAATTATTGTTCTACCTACAAAATAAAATGTGCTAATGCTTTTGCCAAATATTTTGTTGAGCTAAATTTAAATTCATCTGTGTTTTACAAAGATCTTACACATGTTCTTTCTAGAGTAGCTGTTCATTATATATGTTATATATATATATACTTTTATTACAGAAAAATAGGTGAATTTATGCACACTTTTTTTATTTATTTTAACCACTTTGGTCTATTTAAGCCAATCAGTGTTTTAGGACATATTTCTCCATATTTAAATAAAATTGGTTTAAAAAAATGGTTTCTTGTAGACACACAACAATTTGATACAAACAAATACAAATTGAAATGTATTTATGTTGGGATATTAAGCCATTTTTAACATATCAAATGATGTTCAAGAACTTGGTGTCTCTTGTTTTCTGCACCACATGGTCTGCTTGTTGTTCTGTAGGAGGAACTTGCGGAGGTGACGAAGCTTCAGACTCGATCCGACAAAGACCTCTCTGCGGCGCAGCAGGAGAACAGGAAGCTGAGCGACGCTCTGCAGGAAGCCCAGCAGACGCTGCCCGCTCTGCACCGACAGCTGCAGGAGGACCAGCAGGCCAAGAACAAGATGGTGGTGCGTTCACTGCTCAGAAAGCATCACGACACATTGCACACCACTCTCTTATCTTAGGTACATACATGTTGAATGTAAGGTGGAGCTCATTCAGTGTTGGTACGTATTTTGAGATGATGATAATGACTTGGATATTTATTGCATTTTATACATTTGTCAGTTTCCACATCAACAGGTTACATTTAAAGACACAAGGATAGGGCGACATTGTTTTAATTTGAACACTAGGGGTCACTATTAGTCAGAATGTTTTAATCCTACATATGCATTGGATTTATCATGAGACACTTGTTTGGAGGAGAAAATAGCTATTTACGGAAGAGGATTAGGGCCAAATGTACAAAAAAATAAATTGAGATCTGACCAAAAGTTATTTAAATTCTGGGATTAGAGTCAGGGTTATGATTTGAAAAGAAAAACTGAAAAAAAACAAGTTTTTGTCAGATCTCACATTTCTTCATGTGTCCCTAAACCTCTTCCGTAGCTATGGACTGCCTTAAATGAATTATAAAACATTTTTTGAGGTTCCCTAATTAACCGAAACATTCCTTTATTTGTCGTGTCTCAATACCTTTGTCTAGATTTACACTTTTACATGGAAAAGGAAAAGTTAAAACAGACTCTTTTTTTTACCTTTGAGTTTTGTTGTTTTAGCTGTATGGGTATTTCCGTGTAATTACACTAGGAGCAACACAGACTGGAATTATTTTCCTTGTATTTGTACCCATACTTGGCCAATAAAGCTGATTCTTGTTCTGTGTCTGCCAGGCGAGTCGAGCTCGAGTGAAGCTCATGGATCAGGAGCTCAGAGATATGACCGTGGAGCACGAGCTGCTGCTGCAGGCCTTCGAAAAGGTAAACATCACATGATCTACCTTCATCCCCAGAGGTGGGGAGTAGTGGAGTACAAATACTTTGTTACTGTCCTTAAAGGGGACCTATCATGCAAAATGCACTTTTGTACGTCTTTTATACATGAATATGTGTCCCCGGTGTTCCAGGGAACTCACCAAGTGTCAGAAAACACAACCCTCTCTATTTTCCTCCATACCCAAATCTCTAAAAAAGGGGCTGCAACGGATCTGATAAAAACTGATCCAGATTTGAACACTGTCCTGACGTCAGGACAGTGGCGCTACGGCTATTGGGCCAACTCCACCAATCAGGAGGAGACAGCCACGGCCATTGCCGTTAGAAAGCACTGGAGACGCTGTAGTACATATGCCAGGCCAGTAGGTGGTGCTGTTCTCACAGAATCTGCCCTTGCACAAACAGAGCTAGAAAATGTCAAATTGAGCAAAATGAGGCATGGCTAAAATGCATGATCTGTTTGGTATTTTGAAAAAAAAAATATATATATATATAGGTATGGTCCTACACTATATTATTCAAATATAGCATGATAGGTCCACTTTAATGTACATTTCTCTGGTATCAGTACTTTACTCCACTACTTATTTTTCTGACGACTTTTACTTCTTACATGTTGAACACAAATACCTGTACTTTCTACTTCTTACATTTTCCAAACAGGCTGGTTCCTTTTAGTTTGAATGTGTGTTTGGTGGCGTGATCATTATTATTTAGAGTCATTGCGTGCCTATTGATTTGAACACGATCCGTGTATCCATCATTTCCTGGTCTTCTCTAAAGAAGAGGGACCAATGAAAACGTTGTCATGTTGCCGTTGTTCAGCATGGAAACATTCATTAGCTAACAATGACATTATTGTTCTATTAATATAAAGGGAGGTCAGGTACTCTTTAAAACAGCTGCTAGTTATGGGTACTTTTTACTGAAGTACATTTCAAAGCCCTCTTTACTTTAACTTGAGTAAAGAAGTTTAGTCAGTACTTCTACTTTCACCAGAGTATTTTTAAACACGAGTATCTGTACTTCTACTTGAGGAAAGGATGCGTGTACTTTTCTCTGGTCCTCCCTGGGCTTTACAGTAGGTATTCATGTTAATGTGTTTCTCTGCAGGTTCAGCAGGAGCGTGATGATCTCCTGCAGAACCAGACGCAGACCCTCCTGGATGTGCAGCAGCGCAGCGGGCTGAAGCAGCTGCTGCTGGAGAGGAAGATGGCCGCGCTGACAGAGACTGTGGAGAAGAAAGAAGCTCAGCTCTGCGCCGCTCTCTCAGCCTCTAAAGTCACACAAACTGCAGGGGGCAGCGCTGCGAACAGAGTGGAGGTACGATGTTATGAACATGTTTCATTTTGCACCGGGACAGTTTCATCCCACAGGCCATAAGACTGATAAACACCTGAACTGTTGAAAGAACATCCATCTGTTTCAACTTATATATATCAATATTCCAATTACTTGTATATAGACTATTCTGCACTGTTTCTACTATATTCTATTTTATTTACTTGCACTATTATCTGCTTTATTATGTTGCACTGTTGGAGGAGCCTGTGACCTAAGATCTTCATTGTCATAACTGCACTGTAGCTATGTACACACGAGAATAAAAGCCTTGAATCTTGAACCAGTTTTATTTGTGCAGGAAATAAAACGTGCATTAAAAAAGTGTGACAGAACACATGCAAGACGAAAAGCCTTAAAATAGTGATACAAACTTCAACCATTCTTTGTTTGTTTTGTCCAACCTTATGTCATTTTAGTTTATAAGAACAACAAATAACATCAACATTCTTGATTAAAGAAAATTAGGTTAAAATCATGAAATATGTATAAAAAAGGCTATTATCAAAAAAGTTGCTTTTACAGTTAAAGTCTTCATGTTTTTTGTCCTAAAAGCTTAATATGAAAAATTACTTAACTCTTGAGTAACTGCTAAACTTGGAAAACTGCACTCCACTACTTATCACACATCTGTAATATATTTACATTTAAATTAAAACCTTTAAATTCATACAATGCAGTGACTTTCAGCTTTGATTTTGGACTAGCCCGATTTAAATAAAAGTGAAAGAGCAGATTGTCATGTGTTCACATCCACACTTTCCATTGCCTATTTATGTCAACGCTAAAACCTGCCCCACATCTGATTATAAGACACCAGTTAAAGTATTATTATGTTGATGGTTTTTGTTGAATGGTTTTAGACTTTAGTTCTGCAATCGCTCTTCTTCGTAATTAAGATTTATTTTAATTTGTATTCAAGCTTCAAGTTGAAACATCTGCACGTTATTTCTTCTTGCAGGACATATTGGAGTCCAAACAGGTCACCATCGATGACCTTCAGGGAGGCTTGGCTCGGGATTGTAAGGTCAGTCATCTCTAAAGGGTTTCATTTATTTAAAGGTCACCTATTATGCAAAATCCTCTTCTTCATGTCTCTTCTACATCAACATGTGTCCCCTCTTCTTCATGTCTCTTCTACATCAACATGTGTCCCCTCTTCTTCATGTCTCTTCTACATCAACATGTGTCCCCTCTTCTTCATGTCTCTTCTACATCAACATGTGTCCCCTCTTCTTCATGTCTCTTCTACATCAACATGCGTCCCCTCTTCTTCATGTCTCTTCTACATCAACATGCGTCCCCTCTTCTTCATGTCTCTTCTACATCAACATGTGTCCCCTCTTCTTCATGTCTCTTCTACATCAACATGTGTCCCCTCTTCTTCATGTCTCTTCTACATCAACATGTGTCCCCTCTTCTTCATGTCTCTTCTACATCAACATGTGTCCCCTCTTCTTCATGTCTCTTCTTCATCAACATGTGTCTCCTCTTCTTCATGTCTCTTCTACATCAACATGTGTCCCCTCTTCTTCATGTCTCTTCTACATCAACATGTGTCCCCTCTTCTTCATGTCTCTTCTACATCAACATGTGTCCCCTCTTCTTCATGTCTCTTCTACATCAACATGTGTCCCCTCTTCTTCATGTCTCTTCTACATCAACATGTGTCCCCTCTTCTTCATGTCTCTTCTACATCAACATGTCGTCCCCTCTTCTTCATGTCTCTTCTACATCAACATGCGGTCCCCTCTTCTTCATGTCTCTTCTACATCAACATGTGTCCCAATCTCTTCATGTCTCTTCTTACATGTGTCCCTCTTCTTCATAGTCTCTTCTACATCAACATGTGTCCCCTCTTCTTCATGTCTCTTCTACATCACATGTGTCCCCTCTTCTTCATGTCTCTTCTACATCAACATGTGTCCCTCTTCTTCATGTCTCTTCTCATCAACATGTGTCTCCTCTTCTTCATGTCTCTTCTACATCAAACATGTGTCCCCTCTTCTTCATGTCTCTTCTACATCAACATGTGTCCCCTCTTCTCCATGTCTCTTCTACATCAACATTTGTCCCTCTTCTTCATGTCTCTTCTACATCAACATGTGTCTCCCTCTTCTTCATGTCTCTTCTACATCAACATGTGTCCCCTCTTCTTCATGTCTCTTCTACATCAACATGTGTCCCCTCTTCTTACATCACATGGTCCTCTTCTACATCAACATGTGTCCCCTCTTCTTCATGTCTCTACTACATCAACATGTGTCCCCTCTTCTTCATGTCTCTTCTACATCAACATGTGTCCCCTCTTCTTCATGTCTCGTACATCAACATGTGTCCCCTCTTCTTCATGTCTCTTCTACATCAACATGTGTCCCCTCTTCTTCATGTCTCTTCTACATCAACATGTGTCCCCTCTTCTTCATGTCTCTTCTACATCAACATGTGTCCCCGTTTCTTCATGTCTCTTCTTCATCAACATGTGTCTCCTCTTCTTCATGTCTCTTCTACATCAACATGTGTCCCCTCTTCTTCATGTCTCTACTACATCAACATGTGTCCCCTCTTCTTCATGTCTCTTCTACATCAACATGTGTCCCCTCTTCTTCATGTCTCGTACATCAACATGTGTCCCCTCTTCTTCATGTCTCTTCTACATCAACATGTGTCCCCTCTTCTTCATGTCTCTTCTACATCAACATGTGTCCCCTCTTCTTCATGTCTCTTCTACATCAACATGTGTCCCCTCTTCTTCATGTCTCTTCTTCATCAACATGTGTCTCCTCTTCTTCATGTCTCTTCTACATCAACATGTGTCCCCTCTTCTTCATGTCTCTTCTACATCAACATGTGTCCCCTCTTCTTCATGTCTCTTCTCTACATCAACATGTGTCCCCTCTTCTTCATGTCTCTTCTACATCAACATGTGTCCCCTCTTCTTCATGTCTCTTCTACATCAACATGTGTCCCCTCTTCTTCATGTCTCTTCTACATCAACATGTGTCCCCTCTTCTTCATGTCTCTTCTACATCAACATGTGTCCCCTCTTCTTCATGTCTCTTCTACATCAACATGTGTCCCCTCTTCTTCATGTCTCTTCTTCATCAACATGTGTCTCCTCTTCTTCATGTCTCTTCTACATCAACATGTGGTCCCCTCTTCTTCATGTCTCTTCTACATCAACATGTGTCCCCCTCTTCTTCATGTCTCTTCTACAATCAACATGTGTCCCCTCTTCTTCATGTCTCTTCTACATCAACATGTGTCCCCTCTTCTTCATGTCTCTTCTACATCAACATGTGTCCCCTCTTCTTCATGTCTCTTCTACATCAACATGTGTCCCCTCTTCTTCATGTCTCTTCTACATCAACATGTGTCCCCTCTTCTTCATGTCTCTTCTACATCAACATGTGTCCTCCTCTTCTTCATGTCTCTTCTACATCAACATGTGTCTCCCTCTTCTTCATGTCTCTTCTACATCAACATGTGTCCCCTCTTCTTCATGTCTCTTCTACATCAACATGTGTCCCCTCTTCTTCATGTCTCTTCTACATCAACATGTGTCCCCTCTTCTTCATGTCTCTTCTACATCAACATGTGTCCCCTCTTCTTCATGTCTCTTCTACATCAACATGTGTCCCCTCTTCTTCATGTCTCTTCTACATCAACATGTGTCCCCTCTTCTCCATGTCTCTTCTACATCAACATGTGTCCCCTCTTCTTCATGTCTCTTCTACATCAACATGTGTCCCCTCTTCTTCATCAACATGTGTCCCCTCTGTGTAAAGAGACTCTGAAAGTTTCAGGAACAAAGATTCTCTCTCTTTTTGTCCTGATCCATTTATATAAAAACCTGTCTGAAAATGAGCTGATCAGATTTTGGCCACTTGATGTCATAACGATGTTTTGGCTTGTGTCACCATTAGCCAATCAGCAACCAAGGTAAACCCCCCCCCCCCCCCCCACCTTATCACCTGAATCTCCTCCTAGAGCACCATTGTGTTCTTTGTAACCAAATCTCTCTCAGAGGGGCGTGGGGAGGGGCTCCTTATTTTCATCTAAAGTAACAGACAGGGAATCAGCACTTTTGAAACAGGGCTGAAACAGAGGGGATTATGGGATGCTGCAATGATCTGTTTGGTGTTTGGAGACAAACACTTCAGAGACATGTTTTGTATATATCTGAGACCTATAATATATTGATGAAGAACAGTATAATAGGGGACCTTTAAAGCTAATGAGAGTATTCCCAGTCAGCTGAGAGAAGTAACCATGTGACCTGCAGGAGTACGACGAGCTGCTGAGGAGCTGCCAGGAGAAGACGAGGTCTTTGGGGGTCGACTTCCCCTTCAGACCCTCACAGCTGATCCTGGGGGGCAAGGACTCTTCGGGGACTTAAAAACACCAAATACTTCACTTCTCTACCTCCGTCTCATTTCATAACTTCCCTAAAGATAATTGTAGTGGCTTAAAAGTTTCTAGAGCAGCCACTTCCAACATACGGGGGTGTGATTTCAACGCACAAATAATCCAGAACGATCATCCATTTTGTCAAGATTCATCCAATCCAGCATACATCTCTCCTTCTCTGTGTGTGTGTCTGTGTGTGCGTGTGCGTGATTGAACTGGTTTAGCTTCCCTCCCGTCTAAAACCAACCCCTTCCCCATAAACACACATAATATAGCAAATAGGAGACCAAGGGGTGTCAACACATATATTCGGGGGCGTAAACAACTAAGGTGAGTAGGTAAATATTCAACAAATAATATCTGTAGGCCATGTATACTAATAAAATAAGACATGTTAAACTATAAAAATTAGCAGTTAAATCGCTCCTACAATAATAATAATACATTTAATTTGTATAGCGCTTTTCCTGGTGCTCAAAGACGTTTACATGAAATCAGAAATAGAAACAATACAAAGAAAACATAAACAGTAGACCTAATCTCTGTGTGTGTGTGTGTGTGTGTGTGTGTGTGTGTGTGTGTGTGTGTGTGTGTGTGTGTGTGTGTGTGTGTGTGTGTGTGTGTGTGTGTGTGTGTGTGTGTGTACGCTAGAGTGAATAAGTGAGTTTTGAGAGATTTGTTGAAGGGTTCAAGAGTGGTGGCCTTTCGGATGGGACTGGGAAGGGAGATAAGTTACACAACCTACTTACTGTTGACTTTATACAGATTAATTAACATAATGTTGATTTTTCACAACATGATGAAACTGCAGCTCACTGATGATTTTCTTAATGTTTTTAAACAAATATAAAATGTGCTTTCTGAGGTTCTTTATTCTAGTTATCAAACCATCCTGCTGCTAAGAATGAATGTGTTTCTATTGATGCTGTTTGTGAGGAGTGTGTATGAGGTCAACTCCAAATCACAACTTCAATCTAATGTTAAAACGACAATAAAGAATATGTCTGTCTTATCTTTGACATTTATGTGACTTTTGTACTTTCTTTAATCTTGTTAAAGAGGCCTCGTTATGCTTTTTGGGGTTTTCCGTTTAGTGCAGTGTGTTATATAGGATTTTGTGCATGGTCTGCAATTGGACTCCTTTGTTTACTTCCGGAACAAAGTGACATCACTCTGTAACCCTTGCGCTTCTATTGGCTAGTTCTCCAACACATTGTACGTGATAGGCTAAGGGTCGGGACATCTCTAAGCGGTTGACCAACAACATATTTACGCTAGGCATTTGTACTGCTTTAACTAAATATATGTAATTTTATAAAACGGACAAGTCAAATCAAGCAATCTGATTGGTTCTTAGCCGTGATATAATGAGCGTATATCACGGGTAGAATTGTAGTTACTTTTCACAACAAGTCAGTATCCCTCTGCGTATGAGAAAAGCTACAACTGTTACATTACGTCCGTTACGAAACTAACTAACTATCTAACTAACAAAGCTTAAAGGGGACCTATCATGCAAAATGCACTTTTGTACGTCTTTTATACATGAATATGTGTCCCCGGTGTTCCAGGGAACTCACCAAGTGTCAGAAAACACAACCCTCTCTATTTTCCTCCATACCCAAATCTCTAAAAAAGGGGCTGCAACGGATCTGATAAAAACTGATCCAGATTTGAACACTGTCCTGACGTCAGGAAAGTGGCGCTACGGCTATTGGGCCAACTCCACCAATCAGGAGGAGACAGCCACGGCCATTGCCGTTCAAAAGCGCTGGAGACGCTGTAGTACATATGCCAGGCCTGTAGGTGGTGCTGTTCTCACTGAATCTGCCCTTGCTAAAACAGAGCTAAAAAAGTGCAAATTGAGCAAAATGAGGCATGGCTAAAATGCATGATCTGTTTGGTATTTTGAAAAAAAAAAAAGTATAAATATGCCTTATATAGGTATGGTCCTACACTATATTATTATAATATAGCATGATAGGTCCACTTTAAGTTGGAAACATGTAAGGGATAATGTCTCAAACTTTTCCTTTGACAGTTATCTTCACACACATTGAGAGTTTTCTACAAGTAATCGCCTCTGGTTTAGGTAAAAGAAAACGAACAACATTGTCAGGTTAGGAAAAGATCATAGTTTGCGTTAAAATAAACATTTGCCTGGCAGGTGCTTCACGAAGGAATGAAAAGAGTCCACACAGTCTGGAGGATGTTGTACATTCCCTTTACTGACATTCAATGCCAATAGTTCACATTGCATACAAGCATATCGTATAGAAAAACTATGCACATCGACATTTACAATCTATTTACACACACACAGTATGGCTCATGAAAAAAGCAGTCAGTGGTCAGACGGCAAATTAAACTCCACGAGTGTCAAAAACAAACAGCAGCGACAAACAGTGAGGAGGAAGACTTCAGGATCACATGATGGGGCTTTGGAAATAAAATCAGCTCGGGAATATATAAGTGTTGAGCTGCCGGAGGAAAAGTATTCCCTGTGATAGAAGTTTCTGTCTGTGTGTCATTATAGTAAGAATCTAATGAGTACAAGTGTGTGCTGATTTGAAGAGAGAAGTGTGTGTAAGTTAAACTACACACCATCACTTTCTGGGTTCTAATTATTTATTTTACAGGTTTCCATGATTATTATTCCTATATAAAGTGGGTAATGGGTTAATGACTTGTTTAAGCATAAGAACGCTTACAAGGAACAAACTCAGAAACACTTTCCCTTCTTCTCAAACACTTACTTTGTAGATGAAGCCTCAAAATATCCCTTAACTTCGCAGTTCACAAAATGCAAATGTATAAAAAAAAATAACAAAAATGGCAAATGTTGTCCTTGTAACTATCTTTGGGATTATTCCACGTTTGGGAATTATATAAATTGAACTTCATCCACTCCTGCTTGGACCCATATAAAGCGTGGCACTGATATAACATTTAAAGAAAAACCTCTCAGATGGCACCGATATGATCATAAGTGCATATAAAGTTATTAAATGGGAACAAAAACATGAATCTGGAGACTCTTAGCTGTTGTGGTTTTAACAGAATAACGGCAGCAGGCGACACATCATCATCACTTGTTACTGGTTGTGTGTTTTAGCTTCACTTCCACAGAGTTATTTCAGCTTGAGTGCATTTGTTTTGAGTAAGGTCTGCTCGTCGCCAACTTCAAACAGTGCGTGAGTCACAGTGACAGGAAAGAAAACCGTCTGACAACAAGAGAAATGTGTTTTTTTTGGGACTTAAGCTTCAAATGTACATCACATTACGCCTTGCCATGCTAATATTGAGTCTGTCTCTTGTTGCTACAGCACAATGGAGGAATTCCAGCATTACTTTGACTTGTTGTCTGTGATCTGAAGCGAACACACAGACTAGCATTTAACGGTTTAATGTTTATTTATCCCCGCTTCAGTCTAACATCCGTCTTCTGTGCAAAGTAATGTCAGTGAACAAAGGATAATGTGCTCTACTGTCAAAGTAGTGTTCAGTCTTTCATAGCTGTTCTCTCAACAACTCAAGGTCCATCATGTGTTTGAACTAAAATACATATTTCTATTATCTATTCCTTTTTATACAGTGGTTCATAAATCTATAAAATGTGAAAAATGAGTGAAAAATGCCCAACAGAATGTCCCAGAATCGAAGTTAACGTCTTAAAAATGCATTATTTAGTTTAACAGCGACTAACAGTCAATATATATCCTGTATATAATGATATTTAACAGTGAAAAACAGCAAATCTTCGTGTTTAAGAAGCTGAAATGTGTGGTGTTTTTGTATCATATATTACTTTGTTGCTGAGGAACCGTTTAGTTGATCATCTTTTGTTCAGCAGGCGATAAAAACACAGCTTTTCTTTTACTTTTAGAGTTGCAAAACGGTCATGAGTTTCTATAAATATCGTAGCTGCATGTTAATATATTTAGCCTAGCCGTGTATTGCCATAGTTTAAATGAAACTCTTGAAACACAGCTGAGTTCCCTCCTCTTCCTCTGAGCAGCACCTGGTTTCAGATCGAGGAAACTGACCTGCAAGCTTTTCCTTCTGAGGCGATTCTCTCTGGAGAAAAAGGCACCGAGCTGTTTTTCCTTTTCCTTTTGGTTCTTTGGAGGAGGTTTCTTCTCGCGCGGGGTCATCCGGTGCCGTGGCTGCTGTGCTCGAAGACGCCCTTCTTGAAGAACGGATAGAACTCACCGATGGCGTGTTTGCTGAGATGGAAATGGCCGTCAGCGTCGGCTCTGAGAGGCGAGCCGCACGACGACAGCATCACTCTGAACAGGCTCCTCAGGTAACGCTGTGAAAAACAACAGTGTTACACTTTATTAGTCAATTTATTGAACATGTCAGAAACAAAACAAACAACAATACTTATAATAATTATAATAATAATTATAACAAAGAGAAGCAAAACAAAAAAAAACGTTCAAGGTACAAAAAAAGAATTCTCAAATAGTCTCCGTCATGTTCAACAGGGGCAAGAAGAAGCTTCAAAATGTTCCTGGTCCCCCTCTAGCGTACATTTTTCTTGAAAATAAAAGATTAGGTCATCAGCATCCGTGATATTGGATTCATTGTTTCAAACAAATAATCTTTTTTGTACAAAACAACCAAAAATAAATTACTTTTACAACGAAAGGAAATAACAAGTATGAGTTCACAGGCTTCAGGACTAGAGGTAGAACAAACAATCGGGCGGCCATTCTGAAAACATTCTGCATTGGTGGATACCTGCAATTACAAGATCAATTTATTATCTTGTCACACTGAGACACTAACTAAACTAAAACTGTGATTTGTATTCATGAAAATGTACCAAAAAAAGCGGATGTTGCTAAGATGTGTTTTTTTTGTAATTGCACTAAATCTTAACTACTACTTAAATGTATTTAAATGTCATTTTGTAATGTGTTTCTTTTGACACCTTATATGACACCCGTCTTAATGTTTTTATGAAGCGATGTGTGCAGAAATGTATTGAGTTGATTGATGTTTTGAAATGTAAATGAAGTGCCCGGCAGAATCTACCAAAGCACACAGAAGACTAAAAAGCGGAAAATACATTTAAATTATGTTTGTTTAGTAGTTCAGCACTTTTATGTCTAATTTATTATTACTAAAATGTTATATTTTCATCACATGCATAGAAAAAACGTACGATATCTGCATCTCTTATTGAAAACATCCTCACTGTCTACCACAGTTTCAGACCTCTAACATTTCTGTTCCCTTGAACACACGATGGTTTTATCTTTCATGTGTCATTCAAACTGTAAAAATATGTCTCGCCTCAGCAACCCTCCTTAACCTTCTTCAAATCTCTCTCATTTTTGTCTCATTTTTGTCTACTGATTTCCCTCTTTATTATACATTTAGTTTTTGTCTTTGTACTGTTTTATTATTATTTTGTATGTATTTAGTTTTGTCCTGTTAGTCTGTACAACACTCTTACATTTGGGCCACATAGTCTGTTTTGGTTATAATTTAAATATTGTACGCCTTCAAGTGAAGATCAACTATGTATGGCTTGTCAATTGATGATCAATAGTAGAGACTAAGCTGAACACTAGTAGCTTTGAACTGTTGAACATTTATAACTGTGATTCCTATCAATGTACCACATGTCTTTTCTATGTATCTTCAATACAAATATATTTAAAATAATAAATAAAAGATGTCTTGCCTCTAAGTGATTCCGACGTTCAGCGACCATCCGCTCGTCTCTGTTTCCAAACAGTTTCTTGGGAGGGAACTCGAGAGCCGCCAGCTGAAACAAACAGAGACTTCTGAGTGACACTAAACAAAGCTCAGAGACGTGTGACCCGGACAAAGTGACTCGACAGACTCAATACTTGTAAAATAAATCAAACTCTCTCTCTCTCACCTCTGGGTATTTCAACTTCAGGCTCTTGTGCATTTCCCGGAAGCGAGTGTAGCGTCTGAATACGGCCCACATCTCATCCCCCACAGTGATCTGAACGTGGAGAGAGAAACGTTTAATGTCTATCAAAAAAGTACACCCAAGGTTTCAGTGTCAAAACTGAGGTCGGAGATGATTAATCATTGTGTAACAAAATCGCCACAAACGAAATCCTGAGTATTTTACACTTAAAGCAACCTAATTGAGTGAATCTCTAAATATAATTGTATACCGTACTACACCCTCAGTAATAAACATTCATTTTAACCGCATTTCCAACAACTAAACTGAAATGAATAGAGAAAAATGTATTTAAAGGTAGGGTAGGTAAGAATGGGGAAACCAGCTCGAGTGCGCTAGAATTTGAAAGAGCACAACCGAAAATAATCTGCCCCTTCCTTCAGACTTCCTTACAGAGCCCCTCCTCCAACACACACGAACGCGCACATGACCAATGAGGGCACGAGATGGAAGGCTGACAGGCAGGTAGGCCATCCAGTTATCTGCCGCGGGCCGAGGCAGATAATTGGTCGTGCTTTTTACAGCGCTACGGCTTCCACAGATGACATTTATTATTATTGTCAAAGCATTTAATGTATTCATTGCTATCGGGATGTTAAGTGCATTCCATGGAATATAACAAAAAGTGTTTCTGAAGTGAATTACCTACCCCACCTTTAACTGATGCACGAGATTGTACAGGTGTACCAAAAAAGGGACCATTGTGCATTTACTTAAAGGTCACCTATCATGCACAATCCACTTTCTCATGTCTCTTCTACATCAACATGTGTCCCCTCTTCTTCATGTCTCTTCTACATCAACATGTGTCCCCTCTTCTTCATGTCTCTTCTACATCAACATGTGTCCCCTCTTCTTCATGTCTCTTCTACATCAACATGTGTCCCCTCTTCTTCATGTCTCTTCTACATCAACATGTGTCCCCTCTTCTTCATGTCTCTTCTACATCAACATGTGTCCCCTCTTCTTCATGTCTCTTCTACATCAACATGTGTCCCCTCTTCTTCATGTCTCTTCTACATCAACATGTGTCCCCTCTTCTTCATGTCTCTTCTACATCAACATGTGTCCCCTCTGTGGAAAGAGACTCTGAAAGTTTCAGGAACAAAGATTCTCTCTCTTTTTGTCCTGATCCATTTAAATAAAAACCTGTCTGAAAATGAGCTGATCAGATTTTGGCCACTTTATGATGTCATAACGATGTTTTGGCTTGTGTAACCATTAGCCAATCACCAACCAAGGTAACCCCCTCCCCTTATCACCTGAATCTCCTCCTAGAGCACCATTGAGTTCTCTTTAACCAAATATCTCGCAGAGGGGCGTGGGGAGGGGCTCCTTATTTTCATCTAAAGTAACAGACAGAGAATCAGCACTTTTGAAACAGGGCTGAAACAGAGGGGATTATGGGATGCTGCAATGATCTGTTTGGTGTTTGGAGCCAAACACTTCAGAGACATGTTCTGTATATATCTGAGACCTATAATATATTGATGAAAAACAGAATAATAGGGGACCTTTAAGTCCTGAACTCACTTTCACCTCGAACTGAAAGTGCTCGTCCTTCCCCTGCCCGCGGAGAACGTAACGAGGAATGCTAACTTTAACGGGTTCCTGAAGGCCGTCGGAGCTCGTCCCGGAGCGACACACCAGATGCTGCAGAGGAAATCACCGGGAGATGAAAGACGAGGAAAAGAAGAGAAGAACAAGAAAGGAAGTGGAGAGTAAAGGGTTGACTCAGAAAACATTATTATGAACCATTTTTTTTTTTACTTGAATGGTGTATTTGAAATGCCAAATATATTCGGTCAATAAGAATCACTGAGTTTAATCTTTATTATCCTGTTTATTAACAGTTAAAGGCACTTTAAACATTGCTGATTTAAATACATATTAATCATATTTCATGTTTAATCACTTCTTATCATAAAGCATTTATTGAAGTCATTCGATCGATAATTAAAGTGCAGCTGCAAAATGTTCCCTTTTAACCATAAATGATTGCAAGGCAAACAAAAATCAAGAATTGTCAACATGACTTAAAATAGTAGAAAGCAAAAAAAACATTTAAAAAAAAAACATTGAAATTCAAAAGTACATATAATTGTTTTTTAATTTATTATTTAAAACAAATAAACAACAGAAATGACAAGAAATAATAATGAATATAAACCTAACATGATCTGTGCTTCTTCATTTAAAAAGAAAATCTTTAGGCACAATGACGAAATCACAAAATAACATTTGAACATCTAAAATTACTTATAAATGCATTTACTTTGACATTATAAATAATCATGTTTCCAGAAATGTCTCCAACTCGTTTTCCGTCAATTTGTGGTAACTTATTTAACACATCCCGAAACAATTATAAGTGACTGAATATCTTTCTTCATTTCAATTTCTTCCTTTTGGACGCAGTTAAGTACGTTGCATTTGTGACTTAATTCAAGTGAAACTGCCTTTCGGTGTTTAACTCAAGTACACAGATGGTTTATCAAGATCTCAGCTTCTGAGGAACATCCAAAACATAACTTCCAGGAATCACCCTGACTGCTCAAATTGGTGATGGAGCACACGTCAGCCGAGCCTCGTCTGAACTCGATCTTCTTCTCTCGCGTTTGAGTTTTTTTTGTTTTAAACGTGAAATCCACCACCAGGCAGTTGTCATCCTTCTTCACGAACAAGCATCTGATGTCTGATCGTCGGCAGAGTTTGAGTGCCTGAAACTGAGGAATAGCAAGAAGCAGACTGGATCCTCGTGGCACCGGGTGAAAGACGCCGTCCTCCCGAAGAAGAACCACATGACTGTCTGTCAGGAGGAACTGATAAATGGCGTCTTTGGGCAAGCGGGGAACGTCCTTGACCTTGACGCTGGTGTAGAGCAGAGGACGAATGTGTGCCAGAGAAGGTTTGCCAGGACCCTCCATGTTCCCGTGGACGATGTAGAGCAAGTCTGCGAGGATGCGCTTGAATCGGCAGGTGACTTGAAGTCCGTTATCCAGAACGATGTCAGGAATGTTTGACCTCCAATCCAAAGAGAGAACCATGAGATCACCGGAGAGCAACGGGTGATCTTCAGTCCCTTCAGAGGACTTTCCCTGAGAAAGGACCTTCAGTAAAGCCTTGCAGAAGTCCTGGGTCAGCTCTTTGCTGTGGGTAAAAACTACCAAGACGGTGTCTTCCGTGGAGCCAATTAGGCGAACGTGCTGTCCTGCCAAGCTAATCTGGACTATCTTGATTTCCAGGAGATTAAAATGGTGACGAATAGTTATGGTGTCGTCTGAATTTGCTTCACTTGACAGCACTATTATCTCCTTTTCGGTCAAAAGCAAGCACCCAGGCTTTGGTATCGGCTGCTTACTGTTGGCAGCTTTGAGCCAGAAGATACTCAAGAGCTTGTTGACTTTGATTTGAGGACTCAGAGATTCCAACTTTTCAAGCATCTTCTGGGATGTAAAGGTCTGTAGCTCGGACAAGACTGGAGGCAGCTGGACTAACTTTTGATAAAACACTTCAGGACATTGGTCTTTGAGAGACGACACAGAGCCTTCTGGCCATTCGGAGACGCCTGGGATCGTAGACATGCCACAACTTTGAGGTAGACTTAGGGCGCAATCTTTGGACAGATCAACCAGACTGACTTTGTTCTCTTTGGCATCAAAACATGGTTCTGGCTCCGGTTGCATTCGGTTAATCAGTGGCAGCTCTTTGGACATCATGGTCACATACTGAGAGACTACATCCTTCATTTCAGTCACTCGTACATTTCGAATGATTTCACTTGTGCCCTGTAGTGTTCTACTGGCGTCTTTGTACACTTCGGACAACTTTCCAGCAAAATAACCAAAACCATAGCCCCTGTTTGCTGCTACTTTCTCAGTTTTTGAATTGGTCTTATTTACGGATTCACTGATGTTACCATTGACAGAGTTCTTCAACTTTGATGATTGACCATTGGGAAGTTCACCATCTCGTTCCATCCCTGTTTGGTGCTTGCTGGCTGTATCTTCAACCTTTTTATCATCATCGGGTTCACAGCAGGCAGAAGAGTTTCCTCCCTTATCAGGAATGTTTTTGTTTTCATCAAATCCGTTGTTCTCTGCGTTTGCCGATGTGTCAAAAAGCTTGCGTTGTCCAATGTCACAGTGATCAGGTTTACAGACATCTTGGGCAACCTCTTCATGGGGTACTGTCACTCCATCTCGCCACCATTTGTCGTAGTGGACATATTTGTAAGGCACTTCCTCTATTTTAATCAACTCTCCAGCTGATTCTACTTTTTCTTCTCTGTGAAGCTTTAAGAGGTCGTTCTCTGGTTCTTCCAACAGGTTTTCCTGGTTGTGAGGAGGGGAGTAAGCCTCAAGCTCCGGGGCAGGCAGGAAGCTAGACCCGGACTCGCAGGCTTTCTGTGTGCACAAGGGGGGAGTCCATGACTACATCGCTAAGAAGGACGTGAAGGAATTATACTGAAGTCCAACCCATTGAGAATTACCATTTCCTCCATCACCAGGTGCACAGGCGAGTTGTACGTGATTCAAAATTAACAGTGTAAAGAGGTTTGGCATGCAAATTAGGATGACAAGTGTACTGGGAATCTTTGAATTCTAAATAAATGAGGGAAAAGTAGCACTTGCAAATATTTCTTATCACTATAACCTTCCTGTGAGCACATCGATTGTCTTTACAGAACTACATTGTTATTTTTTTGTTTCTGGCTTGAAATCCACCTATTTTGAACGTCAATTGACAAAAAAGGGATCTGCGTAAACTATTCTACCCATATTTAGTTTCACAGTTTGAAATGAAGGATTTTGAGCTGAAATACATTGCATACATGTGTTTAGTTGTCTGTCTACTTTTCATTTATTTGGTCGCTACCATCTTAAAGAGGAGAATGGGCTTTCTTCCCACTTTGCTTTCACAAATAACAACTTGATCAACTTTCAAGACTGACTTCAATCCTAACAATTTGCTATTTCAATTTTTATCTCGTACTACTAAACTGGAATTATAAAAGAACATGTGTACATCTGTGAATTCCTGTGTTTTACAAACCTGAAGAAATAAAATGGAAACCCATTCACCATCTCATTTTAAATTACATTGATTTTGGTCAATGATATGTGGAATCATTTTTTCATTTTTTTACATGCATGTGAGTCATTGTTTAAATGTGGCAGGCTTACAGATTTTAATTGATTTATTATAAAAAAGACAATTATCCCAATACAAAAATTAGATCTTTGTCTTACCTCATATTTGAGCCGTCTCGGATTCATGTTGTTCTGCTTTTCCTCATCCTGAAAACATTAAAACATTAATTATCAGTGTCACAAATACCAAACAAAAACATTAAGTAGGTGCAAAATACCAAGCATAATGTTTTATTTGATATTCCAATGATACACCATGATGCCAGGAGAAAGGGACAAATGAAAGAGATGAGTTGAGATCAGGTGGAGGAGAACCCAATTAAAAGAGCAAACAATAGAACTGACTGATATAAGTGTTAATGATTCGATCCATAATCATATTTGGGAGAGTCATGCAGATTTCAGAGCGGGGAAAGTCTCATTCAGAGCAGGTGGATCCTGGTCTTACCTCCTCTGTTAATCTAACAGAGCTACAGTCACTAGCTTCTTCCTCCTCCTGTGGGGTTAAAGAGCTAAAGATCAGTTCGACACAGAGAAAGCCGCTTCCACACTGGACCTGCTAGATTTCTTTACTTTACACTTTACTTTCAACAACACAATATACATTTAAGAGCACAAATGAAGCCTCACCTAATGTGTTTCAGGAATAGAAGCCATATTCAACGCAATGAGGAGCAATACGTTTCTTTAAAGGTCTCTACACACCAACCCAATTTTGGGAGTCAGAGGCCGTCAGAGGCAGTCGGGCATTCGCGGCGCCCTACTCAGGTTGGTGTGTCCCGCACCGTCGTCTCTTTACGGCACCTTTTCACACCTTTCTCTGACCTCCCGTGGCCGATTCAACATGTTGAATCGGCCACGGGAGGTCAGAGAAAGTCGGCCCAAGCAATCACTCTGATTGGCTGTTCACACTACCGCTGCCTGCTGGTAAGGACAGTTATTGCCACTCGTCGACTGAAGTATTTGCGGTGTGTTCGTAGGCGGGCGGCGTAGCGGGCGGCGTAGCCGACGCAGGCGACGTAGCTGACGTAAAAGTCGGGACGCCTTCGGTACGCGTTCTTTGGTCTCAGGTGGGTGTGTAGCGGCCTTTAGATGTTTCTTAACAACTACAGTAGAGCTTTAATTTCAATCAACAAAAAGTTGTTGACATAGTGCACATAAACAAATAGTGAATGGGTGGATATGTACAGAATACGCATAAAGACAAACAGACAGTTTCTTCCCCAGAGCAATACTTGCACTGACACAATATATATACACATATATATTTTTATACACATTCAAACATATTTATTTTTACTTAAACCGATGTATTCCTGCACTTTAACTTGATCTGCATATTGAAGTATGAATGCTTGTTGTTTGTATGTTGTCTTAGCTCTACTCATCTCATTGTACCTGTATAATGACAATAAAGGATCCTATTCTACTCTAAATGAAAATATGTTTACATACAGTATACCGACTGTTTTTTTATTGGAATAACATAACATATTAATTAATAAGTGGATGTTTTTCTGTATGACTGATGTTAAGTATTCATCTGAGTAAAGGCCGGTGGGAGGAACATGTTTTGTTGTCAGCAGGTGTGAAAGATAAATGAATGCTGGAGTGAAAAGCAGTTCTTACCCTGAGAGATTCGCAGGAGAGAGACAGAGACAGATCCATGCTGCTGCTGCCGTTGAGAAGATTCATCTTGCGTAACCTCCGCTGGACTTCCTCTTCAATGTAGGCATTTATCCTGGTAAGATGGAGAACAAGCTTGAGTAACAATGTAAAGAAATACATGAAAAACAATCGGTCTATAGAAAAATCAAGACTCTAATAAATCTACAATTTATTTGTGACAATACTTGAAGGTCCCATGTCATGCTTTTCTGGTCCCCTTGTGTGTTATGAAGGTTTTTCTGCATGTAAACGGTCTGCAGAGTCACAAACCCTCAAAGTGCACCCTGTAGCGAGTAAAACTCCCCAGAACGCCTCGTTGGGGATTTCTCTTTTTCCATTTCTTTCTTCTTGGGTATAGTGACGTATTTGGGTATAGTGATGTAACGTTACGTTCCTTCCTCACACACAATCTTTTCTCAGCTGCAGCTCCGCGGATTTCTCAGCCTGAGACGGCGGGACGCGGCGAGGCTGTGAGTCGGTGTGTGAGCACACACAGACTCACAGCCAGGCTGCGGGTGTGTGTGTGTGCTCGGGCTGGTTTCGGGCTGGGTTTCGCTGTGTCTCGCTGTCTCGCAGACGGCCACTGGGCTCACAGGGAGGGGGGGGGGCAGGAGCTCCAACAAGCCGTTTAGGACAGAGAGTGAATACACATACTATACAGAGATGCTGTATGAGAAACCAATGTGAGTTTGGAACATTGAACAATGTAAATCTATTCTAGTAGACCTCAACAATGGAATTATGATCAGTAGAAATGGCCATGACATGGGACCTTTAATATTGTTTTAAGTTTGGGGAATGCATAGAAGTTAGAAAACCCTGAAAATGTAACCGAGTAAGGATCATATTATAAAGACAGTTGTTCTTTATTAACAAATAAAATATACTAAATATGAAGTTCAACAAGCCTTTGTTCTTGTCTGAGGCGAGACAATGATGAAAACCCAATAAAAGAGGCTGGACTAAAATGTTTTCAAATGTAGGTTTTCTTATTATATTGTTAGCTCTTTTTCGATTGCTAAAAAGTCAAGTTTTCATCAACTACAAATAGATTAAGCTACAGTTTTCTTTAACTAAGATAAGACTAAAATGCCCAGACCTTTCCTCAACAGGATGACTAAATATGACAAAAGCTGACATTGTAAACAGGACAGCAACTAATAAAAAAATAGCAAACAAAATGAACACCATGAGTATTCCCTGAGGAGTACCTGTCGTCGGACAGCGGCAGCAGCGTGGTCAGACTCTGCATGTGGCTGACCGCAGAGCTGCTCTTCTCCTCGTTACTGATGGAGTGACTCCTGTTGTTCTCTTCTCCTTCACTGATCCTCTGTCGCAGCTTCTGGATCTCCCGCTCCACCCTTCAGAGAAAAAACAACAACACTATGAGCTCTGTTTTTGTGGCAGCACTACACAAAAATGTTGATTTCTCCATATCTGATTCAGGACAAACAGTACTCACTACATTGAGGCTAAACCTGGCTTTAGGTCGTGACGTGTGTTTAACAAGAAAGCCCATACTGAAGGTGAAAGGTTGATGATGTTTGATGGACAAAATGAAACAACGGATAACTTAAGTAGGACCACACGGTCAACAACAAAATATCAGCACAGGTCATCCACAAAACCGGCGTACAACAGGTGACCTAAATACCAATAAACCACACCTATGTGATCATAGGTGCTAACAAAATACAAATTAACATGATATAAATAAACAATGATAATACAAATAATATATTTTTTTTAATGCCATTTTATTTCTATTGAGATGTTTACATTTTGTGTATTTCTTTTAATTTGTATTGTACAATTCCATGTCTTTTTATGCTGCTGCAACACAGCATATTTCCCAAATTGGGATCAATAAAGTACTTCTTATCTTATCTCATCAGAAACTCAGGCCAAGTAAGCATTTTGTCTCCTACAGTCTTGTCCAGTTTGCACATGATATTACAGTCATGAGGTCTAAAACCACCAGACTCAGGGACAGTTTCATCCCACAGAACATAAGACTGTTAAACACCTGAACCTTTGAAAGAACATCCATAACATTCATCTGTTTGCAACTTATATATATCAATATTTAAATGACTGTATATAGACTATTCTGCACTATTTCTATTATATTCTATTTTATTTTATCTACTTGTACTATTGTATCTGTGTTATTGTGTTGCTCTGTTGGAGGAGCCTGTGACCTAAGTCATATCTACACTGTAGCTATGCACACATGACAATAAAAGCCTTGAACCTGGAGTCTCTGACCTGTGCTGCTCCAGCTCGGCTCCGCTCCTCAGGTTCCTGACGGAGCTGTTGTGTCTCTGCTCCTCGGCTTCAGGCTCCAGAGAGACGCTGCGCCTCAGGGCCGCGTGCCTCCTCTCCAGCCGGGCCACCGCCTGCTCCATCGCCTCTCTCTGCTGCTTGTCCTTGGACTCCAGGATCTCCTTCTCCTTCCTCCTCACCTTCTCCTCCTGCCGCGCCACGTTGGCCGTGAACTCGTAGGTTTCCTGGAGCTGCTGCAGCTGCTGAGCGCTGTGCAGGTGGAGGCTCAGCTTCTCCTGCTTCTCCTCCAGCTCCTTCTCCACCTGGAACAGCGTGTTGTCGAGCCCCGGCGGGATGTCGCAGTTCCCGTTGTTTCCTCCTCCGCTGCGCTCCAGCATCTCGGCCGCTCTCAGCTTCTCCTCGGCCAGCGCGGGGAGGAGTCCGTCAGAAACACTGGCCAGCTGTCGCTCCTTAAACTGCAGCCTGTGCTCCGCCTGCTTCACCAGCTGCTCCTCCTGGGACACTTCTGTAGCGTCCTGCGCCCCCTTTATAATAATAATAATAATCAGAGGTGGGAAGTAGAGGAGTACAAATACTTTGTTACTGTACTTAAGTACATGTTTCTGGTATCAGTACTTTACTCCACTACTTATTTTTCTGACGACTTTTTACTTTGACTTCTTACATGTTGAACCCAAATACCTGTACTTTCTACTTCTTACATTTTGAACCCAAATACCTGAACTTTCTACTTCTTACATTTTGAACACAAATACCTGTACTTTCTACTTCTTACATTTTGAACACAAATACCTGAACTTTCTACTTCTTACATGTTGAACCCAAATACCTGTACTTTCTACTTCTTACATTTTGAACCCAAATACCTGAACTTTCTACTTCTTACATGTTGAACCCAAATACCTGTACTTTCTACTTCTTACATTTTGAACCCAAATACCTGTACTTTCTACTTCTTACATGTTGAACACAAATACCTGTACTTTCTACTTCTTACATTTTCCAAACAGGCTGGTTACTTTAGTTTGAATGTGTGTTTGGTGGCGTGATCATTATTATTTAGAGTCATTGCGTGCCTATTGATTTGAACACGATCCGTGTATCCATCATTTCCTGGTCTTCTCTAAAGAAGAGGGACCAATGAAAACGTTGTCATGTTGCCGTTGTTCAGCATGGAAACATTCATTAGCTAACAATGACATTATTGTTCTATTAATATAAAGGGAGGTCAGGTACTCTTTAAAACAGCTGCTAGTTATGGGTACTTTTTACTTAAGGACATTTCAAAGCCCTCTTTACTTTTACTTGAGTAAAGAAGTTTAGTCAGTACTTCTACTTTCACCAGAGTATTTTTAAACACAAGTATCTGTACTTCTACTTGGATGTGTACTTTTGCCATCTCTGGTAATAATAGATTACATTTAATTATCTTGGCGAACTGGTAAAACAATGAGGTTTAACATGGGTATTTCAGGATATCAGACAGGTTCACTTTCAGCAGATGTAACTGTGGTTGTGTTTTTGTAAGGAATGTATTCATTAATGTGAAGTGCTTTATCACACACAATTAAACACAATCACATTTTAAATAATTACAAAAGCATGAAGAGTCCCTCTAAGTACTGTGCTAGAACGTAGGCATAAAACGCAGCAGGGGTTTTATGTGAAAGATAAAGCCCTTTCTTGCATTTTATATATTGAACCATTTGCTCTAATTTAATCACATTTCTTTTGACCCAAGGCCGCTTTACATGGTGAACAAACAAACCTTCTCCTGCGTCTCCTTCAGCTGCTGGTGCCGGTCTTTGAGTCCGTGGTTGAGGTGCTGCAGAGTGTTTCTCTCCACAGAAACCTCCTTCTCCAGGCGCTCCCTCTGCTGCCGGAGCCCCTCCTCCAGCTGGCCCAGTTCCTTCACCTGCGCCTCCTTGAAGTCGGTGTATCGCGTCAGGGCAGATCTCGCCTCCTTCCCGCCAGCGTCCTCCACGTCCGTCCGCTCTGAGGCCTCTTTAGCGTGGAGGAGTGACTCTCTGATGTCAGCCAGGGCTCTGCGCTCCTCCTCCAGGCGGCGGGCGTCCTCCCGGGTCAGCAGGATGGAGGAGGTGTCGTGTTTCTCCCTCAGCTGCTCCTCCAGCCGCCCCACCAGGCTCAGCTGCTCGCGGCCCTGCTCCTCCAGGCGCCGGCGCTCCGTCTCCAGACGAATCTTCTGCTCCTCGCGCTCCCTCTTCAGCTTCTCCAGCTCTCGGTAGATCTCCGTCTGCTCCGCCACCTCCTGCTGCCTCCGCTGCTCTTCATCCTGCTCTTCATCCTCCTGCTCCTCCTCTATGACTTCCTCCCGATGCACTTTCTGCCGCTGGAGGTCCTCTGTGTGATTCTCCAAGCGTCGCTCCTCCTCGAAGCGCTCCTTCTCGGCCAGGAAGTCTTGCAGGCGGCTCTCGATGTCCTGGCTGCGCGAGCGGAGGCTCTCCTCCTGATGGAGGATCCTCTGCTGCACCTCCTCAGACTCTTTGCGCTGACTCTCCACCTCCTGCTGCAGCCGCTCCAGCTCTGCCTTCTCACTCTGGTGCTTCTCCTCCATCTCCTTTATCAGCCTCCTACAGCAGCAGCAGCAGCAGAAAATGATCAGGGCATGTTTATACATATAGATATATCTTCCACAAAGTCACCAAAGTCTCTCTCTTAATATCTAAATACATTTTCTTGAGGATGTCTTGCGCTTGAAAGGTCATTCCAAGATGGCTTTTTATTTGATGTAAGGGTGATGTCTGGTGAAACATAGCCAATCTCTGATTTGATGTGTCAGATACTCAACATAACATCACTTTAGTGGCCAACTCTTACCAGACAAAAGACTATGTTTTAATTGAATTCTCTGAGTTTAAGAAAAGTATTTGTATTTAAAGTTCCTCAAAACTACGTAAATCACAAGTTGAATCACTATATGGTGTTATACTGATTATTTCAAATCGATAACATATGCCCGGTGTTTAAATGATAACACAGATGTGCAAAGGGGGATTTCTAAATAAAGGCTTATCTTAAATATGTTATGAATGGAGGTTTTTATATTGCATTAAATAGAAACATCTATCAAGATCAATAAACCCTTACACCTCGACCTTACAACATTAAAAAAAGATTCAGATTTGATTTCCAGTTTCAATGCAATTAGAAGTGTAATCAAATGAAACCTAATCCTTATCCTGTGAATGAGTGCATGGTCGTGTCTGTCAGTAGTTTTTTCGACTTGTACCTTTTCAGCTCCAGTTTCTCCAGCTCTTCTCGCTGCTGTCTCTCAAACTCAAGCCTGTAAACACAAAACACTCCATCAGCTTCCTTTACTCTTATCACCAAAAAGTCCACTAACAAATACATCAACATTAAACACCACAACCAATAAGGTGCAATAAATAAAAGCAGCACAAAATGCGTCAAATGAAATGCCAGGCAGTGTGAAAAAAGCAATGATACATTCTCTACTCTCAGACGTTAAAATGGAGACACAAGCAGCAGGGTGGAGTGCAAAATAATAATAAAAACAGACAGTGAGGGGTCAGGTTTAGAGACGGGACGAATCAACACACGTCTGGGTCTAAAACGGGACAGTTAGACAGGAAGTGGACGGCTGAGTCTACCTGAGGAAGACGGGGCCCTTCTCAGTGAAGAGACTGTCAACGGGACAGGGTTTCAACAGTTAATTCAACAACTTAAACTGTGCATAGATGACAGAAAACTGTGCGCTTAATACATTTAACAAAACACACTGCTGCTTACAGAGTAGACATGTTCTGTTCTCCACAAATAAACCAAACAAATCGATCTTTACAATAATTTTATAAGAAATCTTGATATTTGGCGACAGTAACCGGACAGAATACACTAAGAACGTTGTCTAATTTTTCTTTTTCTTATGTACTTTTAGTTATTTTATTTAAAAAAATTCAAATGTTGTGCTTTTGGTTGTACATGTTGTGTATTATTTGATCACAAATAAATACACTAAGAACAAAAGGTTCAATTTCCTGAAAAATGGAGAACAACAAACGCCATAAAAATCCAGCAATTATTCAGCTGACAGTTCGTCCTGAAGCTCACAACATGAAAAACATCATGAACGGTCTAAAATAAGTGGGGGTTATCCTCTGGAGAGCATGAATAGGCTCAATAAAGATCATAGAGATCAGTTTATTACGGTAAGTTGCCGTAGCTAGAGTCATTTGTCTTCTAAAACGTATCAAGGCAAATTAAAGGATTTAGTTTAGACACATAATATTGATGCGCTTCAAGCTGTAGACTAGGGTGGAAAAGTCTAAGCTCCAACCCCCAGAATTCATTATATTAGTCAAGAAAACTCTCCTGGTGAATTTTTTCCTCAATCTGACAACATTTACGATGAGGGGGGGCCTCATCGACCTGGAAGTTTAGCCTCAGCTGCTGGTGTGGCAGCCCAGCTCGATGAGGGAGGGGTACATGCTGTCAGATTGAGGAATACAATTCACCAGGAGAGTCTTCTTGACTAATAGAATGAATTCTGGGGGTTGGAGCTTAGACTTTCCGACTTTCAATTTTAAGGACCACCCATACTTGCCAACCTTGAGACCTCAAAAATCGGGAGCATTTCAAAGGGGCAGAGGGTAGATGTCGATTCTAGTTCTGTTTTCTGTGACTATCTTCCTCACCATGCTGAACACCCTCTCAGACTTTCAGTTGCGCGCGCTACTAAAGAGACGCGCTACCATGGAAACCGAACGATGGTATAGCTTTAATGTCCGAGTGGGAACAGTCGTGAGTAAATCTGATTTTGTCAGAAATCGGGAGAAATGCGGGAGAAATATGACGCGGGGGGGGAAACCGGGAGAGGGCAATGAAATCGGGAGGGTTGGCAAGTATGGGACCACCCTACGTAAGGCTAAACTTCAAGGTTGATGAGGGAGGGGTAAATACAATTGAATACAATTCACCAGGAGAGTTTTCTTAACTAGTATAACGAATTCTGGTGGTTGGAGCTTAAAATAAATGAATTCAAAAAATGTACCTCTCACGAAGGACCACCCTACTGTAGACATTTAGAAGTTGTTTTGCCCTTTTGTAGAATGAATGAAGCTCAATAAATTGCTATGATTTTCATCAGATTACACAATGGAAAAAGCATTGCTTAAATGTGTTCCATGGAATAAATTGTACTAAAATAAATGGATAGCTGCCCTAATAGCTTCATTTAGCAACACATCAATACACACACAATGCTTTTCAAAAGGTGCATTCACTTTTGATGGTATTTGATGACAATAGGGGAAATATAGATTATAAATTGCTTATATTTGTACATTAATTATGGCAGTGTGTTGCAGGTTTTCTGCAGATCACAGAGCAACAATTTTAATGCTACCCTGATATACAGCAGGATCATTCTTTAAGGAAGGAAAAACAGTCAAATTATGTTAAATAAATAGGACAAAGTGGAGTCTTGCTCAGAATATATCTAAAAGGTGGGTTGGAACAAATCATTTCATAACACAACTCTAGAAAAAGTGTCCGTTTACTCCTCATATATAATTTTAAACTTCATTCATTTTGAACTAGTAGTGAAACATTTGACTCTGTGGTGTTTTATTAAATGTCACCTATGTTTTTTTTTAACCCATATCATTGCATGAAGATAAGCATGATCTTATATCCGCTCTGATCAAAAAAATAGTACCGGGGGGGTTTTAGATGCAGAGGGAAGATGCACTGCAGCGGATCATCGCATGCAGCAGCTGATGTTATCTGTGTGTTCAAACACTCACCCCGGGTTGTAGAGCATCACAGTGGACAGGTTCTCACAGGACGTGGACAGATCTGTCATGGAGAGGCTGAACGTAGAGAGGACGCCACTCTGAGGGGGGGAAGTTAATCAATCAACACTTTAATTATATATCACCTTTCAGCAAAACAAATGAACTTTAAAGTGTTTTATAAGAGGAAATTAAGACGTTAAAACTAGTTAAAAGTTAATAAAATAGAATAAAACAAGTCATAATGACCAACGATATAGGTTTAAATAAATAATAAAGCTATAAATACACATAATATAAATAATTTTTACTTTATTTAAAAATATATAAATATACTCTGCTCCTGTGGAAGGTTATATCATCAGTTTGGAGCGTAATGGCCAAAAGCAGCTTCACAAAATGCTCTGTACTGAGAGCAGATTCAGTTTAATCTTCAGGTTTAATCTCACCTTCCGTTTCTCCCTCAGCTTGGCCGCCTCTTTGGGATGGTTGAACCGAAACATGTTGGTCCTGCCGAGCAGAATCACCGCACCTGGACGACAACAGAAAGGTCTTACACCCATCTGGAGATTCAACATGTTCTGAGTGTATTTTGAGGAACTTTAAAGGTCCCCTATTATTCTGTTTTTCATCAATATATAATAGCTCTCAGATATATACAAAACATGTGTCTGAAGTGTTTGGCTCCAAACACCAAACAGATCATTGCAGCATTACCCATAATCCCCTCTGTTTCAGCCCTGTTTCAAAAGTGCTGATTCTCTGTCTGTTCGATGAAAATAAGGAGCCCCTCCCCACGCCCCTCTGAGAGATATTTGGTTAAAAAGAACTCAATGGTGCTCTAGGAGGAGATTCAGGTGATAAGGTGGGGGGGGGGGGGGGGGGGGGGGGTTACCTTGGTTGCTGATTGGCTAATGGTTACTCAAGCCAAAAAATCGTTATGACATCATAAAGTGGCCAAAATCTGATCAGCTCATTTTCAGACAGGTTTTTATATAAATGGATCAGGACAAAAAGAGAGAGAATCTTTTTTCCTGAAACTTTCAGGATCTCTTTACACAGAGGGGACACATGTTGATGTAGAAGAGACATGAAGAAGAGGGGACACATGTTGATGTAGAAGAGACATGAAGAAGAGGAGACACATGCTGATGTAGAAGAGACATGAAGAAGTGGATTTTGCACAATAGGTGACCTTTAAGACACTTGATGATTTCTCTTTAGACCTCTTCTCACCTTGGTTGAGCTGCGACCGCTCCGTCACCTGAACTCCGTTAACCGAACACTGAGCTCTACCGAGCGGCACCAGAGTCACTTTCCCGTTCTGGTTCTCAAACCTGCAGTGCTCACTCTCCAGGTCCAGACCGTGCAGGACTGCAGGAGGAGGAAATAAGATGTGAATTCAACGTACGTTACAATATCATATTTATCACAGTTATAGAGCTACTGTATGACATACTAATTCAAGTTCTAAATAAACCTTTAACTAAATAAAAATAGGTATTATAGAGGATAAGACTAAATTACCATATGTTCATGTTCAAGTGAGTCATAAACCATTTTTACAAAAGTCAGTTTTAATTCAGAGATTTTAACCCTATTCAAACACGTTTTTCTTAGTTGTGTTGGTGTTATCCGTTTCCTTCCACCTGCAGCTTGATAAAAGTCCTTATTACTGATGGTCAATAAATAACAGGCTCAAATAACAGACTCACTGATGTCCTGCTCCGTGGACGCGTCCTCTCTGCCCACATATGTCTGTCCCTCCTGAGGAAGAAGAAGGAAATTCAAAGTAGTTTAAAATTCAGTTGCAAACATTAAGACATTAATACACACCTTACGACAGATACATATTGCTAAGCTAAATTCATTTTGGAGTCCATTTATGATGCAACATGTTTGATAACTAAACAAAAATGAAGTGAAAATGTTCAAGGATGTTTTTTCTTGTTAGCATTATTTCCAAGTTGGAAAACTTGATGAAAGACTTATAGATATAGACTTATAGATCATTTGGGCATCTGTGCACCAGGAGATTTTTTGAAGTGATTTCTGACCTTCAGATGGTACAGGATGATGCCGGTGCTGAGGAGGTCGTCGTCGATGCCGATGAGGTGAGGCAGCTCTGAGTCCAGCACCACGCCGATGCCCTCCTTCCTCAGAGCCAGAGTCTCCTCCTGAACACACCACATCACACACAACGTCAAGCAGCTTTAAACATACAAGGAGTTAGCCCAGGGGTGGGCAAACTTTTTGGCTCGGGGGCCACTATGAGTTTTAAAATTTGACAGACGGGCCGGGCCAGTAGCAGATCGGTAAAAAAATATTTAGCTGTCCACTCCTCATTATACACTCGGCACTCATTGTCGACTTTTCTTTTCTTTGGTCCACTCATTGTTACAGATGCAGGTTCAAAGGTGAATTATTGCGTCATTGCGTCATCGTTTGCGTCATGACGTAACCGTTTACGTGCCTTCTTATGACAACACGCCGTTTTACGTCGCTGATTTTCTCCGCAACACCGCTCACAACAACATCAATAGAGGACTGCGTCGGGAAGTTTTTAATCATACGAAGCCAGATTAAATTAAAGAACTACTTCTCCAACCTTGTACCTTTCTCCAGAGTGCCGTGGAGCATTGTTTATTAATGTGGTTCGGAGTTTATTCTCCCCTTAACTCGCGGCAACGGCCGCTGTAAAGTTTTCATTGTCTGACTGTCACACAAGCAGCTGATAAATATCCCCCATCCCCATAAGTGAATGTGTTTTAGTCTGAAAGCTGTTTGGCATCACAACGCTGTTATGAAAGTTTCTCTGGCATTCTACAGGGGATGTTAGCATAGCAACCAAAGCTAATCAGACTATCTTGACTACTTGTTGCTATCATATTGTGGCATAAGCCGTTTTCTACACGCATATTGTACCGGTGTAGTTTTCGTTATGATTTTACTTGTGATGGCCACATGTAGCCCATGTATTGATTCCATCCGATAGCTGCAATAATACAAAACAAAAGGAAAACGTCTGCCTCTTCACAATGGTCAATAACAGTGAACGGATGGTTATTAAAGTAAGGTCAAATAAACAGAATCACACTAAGCCTGGTTAGTGTTGCCTGACTTTATAGAAGTGTTTTTTATAAGTGTGTGGTCGCGTTCTAGTCACTTTGCTCAGCGCTACTGCTTGTTACAACTTGTATTCGCCGTACTCGCCATGAACTGTTATTGCTCAGGTTAATCTCGACCCCCTCCAATGTAAGCGTGACGTATTTGGTTCTTTGATCTTGCCGGGATGCCGAGTGGGGCCAGCTGAGAGAATAGACCAGACTCCAGCAAAGGTAAATTGTGTCTAGAGTGCGCCATCTAGTGGGATCAACTGAAATGCCGGGTATTGCAGGAAAAAGGCAAAATGAATGCGGTCTTTACTATCATTTGGACACTTTTGTACCAATATCCGGCGGGCCGGATTCAAAAGCCCAACGGGCCGTATATGGCCCGCGGGCCTTAGTTTGCCCATGCCTGAGTTAGCCTCTGAATCATGGAAAAATAAACAAGTACTCCAAGAGAATCATCCATTTAAAATTGAAATAAAAATAAACAATAAATTACATATTAAATTAACAATAATATAACACGGATATAATGTGCAAAATATTGACAAAAGAATGTAAAATGTGCAAAAATAATATTCCTATTTTGCAAATAATGTGCGTTTATGAAAGGCATTTGATTTTGAGACTTGAACTCATAAAATGTGCAGTGTCCATGAGGCAGGTTTGAACACAAGGGTGACAACATAGTAAAACCTCAGCTATAATTTCACAAAACAATCAAAGTTTTGCACAAAATAAAAAAGTTATTAGTGAAGGAAAAATCCTTTTAGGTGACAATTCAAGAACAAAATAAAAATTGGAATTGAATATACAAATAATATGAAGTGCAAAGTACAACCTGTTTTTTTTCTCTCATTAAGTACACAGCAGAGGTCATTTTAACATGTTGCCATGCGACAGTCCACACAGCGAGCATGAGAAACATGAGTGATGAACAAACTCACCTTGAGAATGTTCTGCGTCTCGTTCCACTTGTTGGTCCACTCTTTAGTCAGCTCTAACACCTGCACACACAAACAATAAACCAATAACAACTGAACAGAAACCACTGGGTAACAGGTGTTAAACTCCTCGGAAGAGCAAAGATGAACGCATACACAAATACATATTTCCAGTTCACATGAATGTTAAATAGTTATCTAGTTTAGTACAGGAGTCATCCCACTTGAAACTTGAAAAAGATTGTGAACATTGATGTGAAAGATAAGACTCACTCGGGCTTCATTCTGGTGCAGTTTCTCCTCCATGCTGAGAGCAGTGGGCGAGTCCAGGAGAGCAATCTGACGCACAGACACACACAGTTAAAAACACTACATATAATGATCATAACTGTTCAAACTAGTAGCATATTTCAGACAAAACATAACATTGTGAAAAAGTTCAGAGCAGATTCAAAATAAAACCAAATCAATCTTTCTGAAAAATGACATGAGCTGTTTTTAATGAATCGTCACTTTCCCTCTACTATAGCTGCGAAGGATCATTATTTCCATTATCGATTCATCTGTGCCGATTATTTGTTTGAATAATAATTGGGTAAAGAACAAGTTGGAACATTTTAAAACATGTCCATCCTAATTTCTCAGAGTCAAAAGTCCTTAAAAGTCTTGTTTTTTTCCACAGGCCAAAAATAATCAGTTTAATGTGAGATGAAACAGAAAGAAAATGAATATACATTTGAGAAGCTGTATATGGCATTTTCAGAATACAAAATGCTTTTATAAATAACAATAAATTGACAAGCCATTGATTTTGTTCTGTGGACCAGCTGTCCAGTTGTTGCAGCTCTACCCTCCACCTGCTTCATCTGCACAGCTTCTATCATATTCTGTTTCTATCATATTCTATTTTATTTTATTTACTTGTACTATTTTATCTGTTTTATTGTGTTGCACTGTTGGAGGAGCCTGTGACCTAAGATTTTCATTGTCATAACTCAGTGGCGAACCGCAACTGGACCTTCTGTAGACACACACACACCCTCCGCCACTGTCATACCTACACTGTAGCTATGCACACATGACAATAAAACCCTTGAAACTTGATCTGCTTTTAGTTTACTGTCTCTCCTTTGTTTAACCATTACAAAACCTGTGCATACGCCTGAGCGAACCTCCCTGCAGTCAGAAACAGATCCAGTGTGTGTGTATCTGGCAGTGTTTGTTTACCTGGTTGCCCTGAACCAGCAGAGCCTTCAGGCGGGCGATCTCATTTCGCAGTTCTCTGATCAGCCGGACGTTGCAGTCCTCGTTGATGGTGGGTTTGTTGATGATGTTCTTGGCTCGGTTAGCGTAGCGCAGCGTGCTCAGCGTCTCTCCGTAGTTCACATCGGCGGGGGAAACGTCTGCAAAAAGACATTTAAAGTTACATCAGATAATTCGTGTGATAGTCAGATAATAGTATAAAGCCAAGCTTAGCCTCTCGGCGACTCAAACTGAACTGGGAATTGAGCCGCCACAGTGTGTTATTAAATGTTTTTGTCTCACTGGCGATCATGATGGTTTTGGAGTTTCCGCCCAGGCTGTCTTTGAGCAGCCAGGTGAGCACGGAGTCTCTGTAGGGAACAAACACCGCCTTCTTCTTCAGGTTGGTGTTCCCTCCGTCCTGAGACATGTCCGCTGGAACACAAACAGATCCTTTAATCAGTCAGCAACTCAGCAAACATCACAAAATAAAAACAGACGGATGAAAGGGTAATTCTTTATATTAAAAGGTCCCATGTCATGCTTTTCTGGTTATTACCCGTCCCCTTGTGTGTTATGTAGCTTTTTATGCATGTTAACGGTCTGCAAAGTGACAAACCCTCAAAGTACACCCTGTAGCGAGTAAAACTCTAACACAGAAAAGACCTGTCTATGCTGCCCCAGAACGCCTCGTTGGATATTTGTCTTTTTCCATTTTTTTCTTCCTGGGTCGTAGGGGCTAAGTGACGTAACGGCGTGTGTGTGTGAGGAAGACTTCCTCACACAGCCTCAGCTCCGCGGATCTCTCAGCCTGAACTCAGCCTGAGCACACACACACAAACTCACAGCCAGGCTACGAGTGTGTGTGTGTGTGCTCAGGCTGTGCTCAGGCTGAGTTCAGGCTGAGTTCCGCGGTGTCTCGCTGTCTCGCAGACCCCACGCAGCAACCAGGAAATGGCCCCAGTAATCCAGCTCATACTGTCCGCTCCTCGAGCCTCAAAGGGCGGAGCAGCGAGCCCCGCAACGTCCCGCCAACACGGCACCCAGACCCCTGGCAGCATTCTCATCTGTTTGTCATTACTGGTGTCATTTTCTGGTTGCCAACGCCATTGTAACACATCATCACTGATGTTCCGCTGTAACGGTGGTGGACTCATCAGAACAGAGTGGGCGAGCTGACCGATCAGAGCACAGTGGGCTCATAGGGAGGGGGCGTTACAGATGAAAGTTTCAAAACTGATTTGAGAGAATGTTCTGTTTCTGACCTAGAGCAGAGATGACGTTGCCCAGGGTGACGAGAGACTTGTTGATGTTTCCTCCCTCCTTCAGTCGGACGCCCGTGGCTCCCGTGGCGTCGGCTCGCTCGCTGCCGGCCAGGTCCACCAGGTGGATCTTACTGACCGTCTCACTGGGCATCTCTGAATCAAACTTAGCCTAAACAAAAGACAGAGATTAGTCTAAAATGTGGTAATTTAAAATCTCACATTTTGCGGGGGCTAAAAACTGTTAAAAACCTTAGTTGAAAGATATCAGGTTGAATTATTTTTGAATGTTTAAAACTGTTAATACCTTTGGACAAAGACTACTTGTTATCTATACTTTCAGTCGAATACAAACAAGATGTCAGTTTAAGGAAATGTTGCAGAGCAGGATGAATTATGTGTTATTTTCTGCTGCGTTAGTTTTCACTTACCACAAAATAAGTTGGTTTTTTTCTAAATTTGATTGTAGGATGGTTACATTACTCGCCTACGTTCAACCACCTGCTCCAGACTTCTTCAAACTGTTGTATTTCTTGGACACATTTCCTTTTTTTTGCATCCTTATGCTGTTGTTTGATGACTGAGTTGTTCTCAAAGCAAACTTTACAAAATATTTAAGACACTTTTTTTTTGAGTGTCAGTCTGTGGTGTCCAGTTGCCTCCACAGAGAAAACTAACCCTCTGTAGGGAAATGATTTAATTTCCAGAGTCTGTTAATAGTTCCTGACCTGTGTGAAGTTGATGGTGAAGATGGCGTGCGAGCGGCTGCTGACGTCGTTCATGCTCGTGCTGGCGGTGGTGCGGTTGATGTTTCCGGCCTCCATCAGCTCCTCCACGTCGCTGTAGTTCTGCACCAGGTGTTTGGACAGATCTGAGACAGAAGAAGACACATGAACCAAAGGCAGAAAAACAACATGTTTAGCATACAGATTGAATATTCCTACTCAATTTAAAGACTGTAAGACACAATTCTACAATATATCAATATTCTAATCGATGGATGGATGGATGGACTTGCACTATTTTATCTGTTTTTATTGTGTTGCACTGTTGGAGGAGCCTGTGACCTAAGATTTTCATTGTCAAAACTACACTGTAGCTATGCACACATGACAATAAAAGCCTTGAATCTAAAAAATAACATCATTTTAAACTCAGGGTTCATACACTTTTTCACCAATGATTTTCGATGACTTTTCCATGACTTCTCCATGACCTTTACCTAATTTTCCATGACCAAAAAAATTACTCTTTCTCAGCGGTACCACTGAAAATTGTTTATTTTAACATGGAACAGGAAAATAAGGTCTGAAACATGTTGTGCCTATCTAAAACAAATCAAATAGTAGGCTTACGAGCTTCTACACGCTAAAGCAACTCAAATCTCTCACCAGCAAAATACCTCGACAGTTAAATGACATTTTACGTTTCATTACTATACGATACAATATTTATTATCATTATAGTATCACAATTTCGTCAATTAGATAAAATATAAATTATATTTTATGCAACTTTGGTTACATTTCCATGACTTTTCCAAAACTTTGGGAAAAATATTGTTTTCCATAACTTTTCCAGGGCCTGGAATTAGCATTTTGAATTTCCATGACTTTTCCAGGTTTTTAATGACCGTAAGAACCCTGTAAACTGCTGTGAGAACAAAATACCATCCTGAGATATTCACTTTAACTTCCCAGACTATAAAACTGACCTGAAACCAGACTACAGAAAGCGTAGAAATGACATTGTTGAACAAAAAAGAACAAAAGACTAACTCGTACTCACTAAATAACTAACTAAAACTAGCAACAAGAACATTTTACTGCACTTTTCTAGCCTTGCTCTGTAGTCTCACCTTCTACATACGGCCCGTCCTTGGGGTGCTCCCTGACTCTCAGGTTGTAGGTCTGAGTGGACTTCCTCCTCAGCAGGTCTCTCACCCTCTCGTTGTAGATCTCCAGGTAGCTGAGGAGATACATCAAAAGGAAGACATGGCTTTAATCCCAATTTACCTAGAGTTGTTTCTATCTGCTTTTAGTCCAAAGTGTATTTTTAGCCTCAAAGACAAAGCGTTTCATCCTGAAAATGACTCCTTCCTGATGCTAGTTGAATATGCTACCTGCTCCCTGCCAATCATTCTGTTTGAGAGCAAGAAGAAAGATAGGGGACGCGGTTATCGATCAAACTGAGGATGAAACTGAAGAGCTGAAACAGTTGGACGGTGATGATTAAGTTCTTTCACAGCAATATTGAAAATGTGATTTATAAAAGATGATTCAAGCGAGACTTGGCACCTGTGCTTCAATGTAAGGTTGTTGGAGTTTGATGCAGCATGACAGTTACATTTACTATACTGCTTTCTTTTTAATTAACAATAGTGTTGGTATATTTAGGATTTTACCCAATTGTAATTTTAGTTCTCTATCTATTCTGTATTTAAGTTTCATAATTTCATTTTCTTTTACTATATTTATGTTACACACCAAAGCAAATTGTTTTAACCTGAAAGCCTACTCTGCAATAAGCTGGATTGTGAAAATGTGAGCAGAGCAGGTGTGAATCTGGCCTCACCTGACTTCTGCACGAAATGAAGCTTCATCCCATCGAGTGGTCGCAGCGATACGAGTGAACAAACCTTCACAGAACCTCGGGATCAGACCTGCGTCTCCCTAAAACAACAACAACACACACACACACACGAAAATACTTCAGTGAGATCCTGGAATATCAAACACACAGCCAAACAACTACAGGCTGAAAACCAGAGACATGTTTGATGCCAGAGACATTTGGAAACATTGATTAAAATAAATGTGAGATTTAGTTTCTGCAAAATCTCCTAAACCCCATTTTCTACCATGAGGAGGATAAACATGTTGACAGTATTTATCAGACATTTGACTTTAATTCCTTCTTACTATCTTCCATCACCACAAACATCTGTTTCTGATCTGAGTTTACATTACATTACATGTTACTTGTTAGACTTACATACTCAATACTGTGGGCAATCCCCACAGGAACAATTTGGGGTGAAGTGTCTTGCCCAGGGACACAACGGCATGCTGACTGCAGTGGGGTTTGAACCTGTGCCCCCCTGATCCCAACACCAACGCACTAACCCACTGTGCCACACGCCCCTATACATGCAACAATAGTGTATTTAAGTTGTTGATCAAAACTGTATTGAATAATAATAATACATGGTATTTATATAGCGCCTCCCTGTACACAACATGGTTCTTTACAGCCATTATAATGACAACAGGTGTACGAAGTGTTATGGCAATTATATTATTAAAGCTTAATACAGTGTAATCCTAATGAAATGTAACTGCTGTATCTTGGGAATGGCATGTAAATGTATGTGTAATAACAGATGTGTTCACAAAGGGTTTTATGACACTACAGGAAGGCCAGGGGGTAAGGACGAAATGTGATCTAGGGGGTTAGCTGTGACACCCAATTGTTCTTTGTAGGGTGTGAGTTTTGCCTACTGTCATAGGGCGACCACCTGGACCACATGTTGTTGTGTTGTCATGTAAATTATCTTTGCTGTGTCCCTATAAGAGTTGCTGTCACACACAGAGCAGGACGCACTCTGAACGAGTCGTCATGCTTGCAAGCATTAAACGAAGATATTAAAATACTTTATATCGATATTGTGTTTCTTTGCATATTTGCCTAACTCATCATTTTCTCTAGACAGCAGCTGATTTTAAGTTGCTACGACAGAAGTTACTGTTAACCAAAGCCACATAAATAGTAACCCCACTGTTTTGAGTGGTGAGGAGAACAAATATATATTTAAAACGCTGTAAAAAGCAACTCACAGGATTTCCCATCATGGTGTAGGACTTCCCCGAGCCGGTCTGACCGTAGGCGAACACGCAGGCGTTGTATCCTTCAAACGCCGCCCTCAGCACGTCAGAGCCCAGATCTTTGAAAACCTGTGGAGAAAATGTGAGTTTTTAAATCTGCTTAGAGCTCTTTAAGGCTTCTGTCGACAAGCTAACTAGTGCATGAGATAATATAACAGGTTTCAGACAAAGGGACATGTCCGACTTTGTTACTAAAAAAGAATCCAAAAAGACGAGGTTTGCCAAGCTGTATTAGACAGAGATGGCAAAAGTACACACATCCTTTACTCAAGTAGAAGTACAGATACTTGTGTTTAAAAATACTCTGGTAAAAGTAGAAGTACTGACTAAACTTCTCTACTCAAGTAAAAGTAAAGAAGTATGGGCTTTGAAATGTACTGAAGTAAAAAGTACCCATAACTAGCAGCTGTTTTAAAGAGTACCTGACCTCCCTTTATATTAATAGAACAATAATGTCATTGTTAGCTAATGAATGTTTCCATGCTGAACAACGGCAACATGACAACGTTTTCATTGGTCCCTCTTCTTTAGAGAAGACCAGGAAATGATGGATACACGGATCGTGTTCAAATCAATAGGCACGCAATGACTCTAAATAATAATGATCACGCCACCAAACACACATTCAAACTAAAGGAACCAGCCTGTTTGGGAAATGTAAGAAGTAGAAAGTACAGGTATTTGTGTTCAACATGTAAGAAGTAGAAAGTACAGGTATTTGTGTTAGAAATGTAAGAAGCAAAAGTAGAAAGTCGTCAGAAAAATAAGTAGTGGAGTAAAGTACTGATACCAGAAACATGTGCTTAAGTACAGTAACAAAGTATTTGTACTCCACTACTTCCCACCTCTGGTATTAGATATTATACATGTTATTATATGCCGTTCATCACTTTTACTTCCAGCTTTATTACCACATACTGTAAGATAGGATATTTAGTAATGGGATAAGTGTGTTATGTTAGTAGTACCATCTATGTTTCGATTTCATGCCGTACATTGACAGGTTTATAAACACAGCACATATTTATAAAAAATATAAAATAAAAAGCTGTGGGTATAAAATAATTACCTTTTCCTGGGACACGAATGGGGAGCTCTTGGAGTCCATGGAGTCGTAGGAGAAGTCGTACGTGAAGGTTTTAATTCGATCCCTCAACACTTCACCTGCGTTACCATCGGGGATCTTTGGAGAACAAGAAATATTTAAAAAAAACACAGCTTCAGCTAAAATGTGTTAGGATCATTTTCAGCCTAAATAACTTCCTGTTTTAACAACGTATTCTTGTGTTGGTTAAGGTTCAAGGTTAGTTTATTTATATAGCACATTTTAAGACACAGAGGCAATTCAATTAAATAAATAAATTTACACAAAGTAAATGTACCTTCAGGTTGGTGATGGAGGTTTTGTTCCCTTCCATCTTGATAATGCATTTTGCGGTCAAGTCCTTTTCCCTGTAAAAGAACAATGTCAGTGATGTAGCTGAAAAACATCAAATAAAAACATTGCTTATTTTATGATATAAACACAGGGGAGATTATTATTATTTTCCAAATTCATCGCGTCAGCGTTCACAGCAGCGTCTGGAAAACATTTTACCAAGTTTGATCAAGCTGAGAATTAATTTAGCAGCGCACCACTGAAAAGAGTTTCACTACATGTTAAATAACATGTTAAATGCATGATCAAATGCACGCTAAAGGCTCTTAGAGCAATTTCAGACTTGATCTGACCATTAAAGTATTATCTTATGTTTTGTTTTTTTTCTTTCTTTTAAAAGTATCTCAAAGTAAGATATTGCTGATTCTGAGAGGTTGTTGTTGAATGTGTTGTTGCATTGTTTCAATATCATTGTAATCATCATCACATCTTAAATTATCTTGATTAAACTTTGATATTAAACTTCCTGTCTTCCTTACTCCAAAAATACAAAAAACGGACAGTCTAATATGATGACAATTGAAATGTATATTATAAGATAAACATTTCTATTTCTATAAGTAAATTATTTATATGTTTATACTTGTTCAATGTTATATAGTTATATATCAAATGTGTCTTTGTTTTCAGCGACATCTTTATTTCCTTAATTTCCTGTTATAAATAATACAGTGAAAGCGACTTAAAAACTACAGTCATAATATTTGAATCGTACATATAAAATACACAAGTTATGCCAATTGTGAAAATCTTCGTCACCCACAGAAACATAGTATAAAACAAATCTAAGTTTATGTCTATACTTCTTCATTTGATGTGTTAAAGTTAGGGCTGCTCGATTATGGCAAAAATCATAATCTCGATTATTTGTTTACTTTGAAAACATCAATTTATTGAAAATAAAAATGTGAACGGTATGTTTTTAACAGTTGATTACCCTGAACTTTAAGTATAATTCAACTGAAAAACCAATAAAAAATATATTTAAAAAAATAATAATAAAAGAAAAATAATAAATAAAATTAAAATAATCGTTTTATTTCGATTATGTTGTTTTCATAATAGTTGCAAGCCAAAATCGTAATTGTGATTAAAATTCGATTAATTGAGCAGCCCTAGTTAAAGTACATCAATAAGTCTTATGACAGCTTAACAGCTAATACAACCTTTTTCCAAACTGTAAGGGCAGCAGTGAATGTCCTGTACATTATTTTATACACATTTCTTTCTGATCCAGCCCTACATGTATGTTTCCTTGTCTCTTAACCGCCATTTAAAATGTACTTCTCACAGTCTCACAGTCTCAGTCCCGGATGTTGTGTGATGAGTCTAATGTTCACAGACAAACTAGGTTAACATCAATACAATCCACATGACTAAACAGGAATTGTATCAGCAGGGCGACATGTTTGTTTAGTCGTGTTACACTTCTGTCTCCACCCTGGTTTGTCCTCAGGCTCAACAACGTCCTTTATTTATATTGAAGCAGAAACACATTTCAAGTCGTCACTTTCAGTTTAAAAGCGTTTGAACATTAGACTTCTGTAAGTTTAGACAGCAGCAGCTAATGAAGCAACGTGTCTGTTATCTAGACTCTAGATAACAGACATGTTTCTAGAGTGACACAAGACCTGAACACATTACGCAACACTGTTAGCTCTCGTGAGCCTTTCATATAATGGAGGTTAACTCAGACCAGAGTAATAAACATAGTTTTCTCAAAGGAATATTTTGGGCAGTCTTTTTCTGTATTGTTTGAGATGTGGATGCATTTAAATACACAATCATTTGTTTAGCTTAAATGGGTCAAATACTGTGAATGTGGGGGTAATTGGGATGAGAAAATGTTCCTACTTCTTAAGCTAAATAAACTAGGGCTGTTTTTCTGAGACTTTTTATAGAAACACATGGATGTGACAGGACAGCAACACACACATATGATGATATTTTAGATTATAATGCATTGCTGTAGATTAAAGTACCCAACAGCATATTCAGAAGTTTCAATTGTTACAACCATACACATCTATAGCAGTGAAATGCAACACATACTTCAATGCTGCAGTAATATTAATCCAAAAACATAATAGATCATGGTTCGACACTGACAGAAAACATTTGAATGTGTATACTTTAAGCACATTTCCCTGGTGATACACTTTTACTTAAGTAAGGTTTTGAAGGCAGATCTTATACTAATCAGTTTGTTATTAGTACTTGAAGTAGAGGATCTGCACCCCCATCATTCTGCAGCTACTTCATTACTTTCTACGTTAAAAATACAGTATATTTTGTATCTATAAGTACTATCTCTTTGCTCGAACTATTTCCCTCTCTGGGACTCAAAAAGCAATTCTGATTCTGATAATAATCACACAGCTGCACCTGCTCTGCCTCCCATGGACAAGCAGGAGTAAATATGCTCTCAACCTTTGTTTAAATCACTGAATAAAGACCTGGTGAAACTGTGAATCTGAATCTTAAGGACTTAAGGTTAAATAAAATAGCTTCACTATTATAATAACCTTTAAAAACGTAGTGAAAATTGAATTCCTGAGTCCATTCATGCCAGTTACATTCTCCCAACGGCTACATCTGTCAGTTAGCATAACACAAATAACGATATTATGACATGTTATCTTCAGAAACATGACATATGATGTTAAACAACGTTATTATGGTCCTTAACTCACCTCCTGTTCATGGGTCTCACCCGGACAGCCACCCGAACAGATGCCATCTCTCATGTCCGTTAAATCCAGTTAGTTAGTTAGCCTCACAATGCAAAGCTTCGAGCTAATTAGCTAGCAGGCTAACCCACTAGCATGAGCCCCAGCGGGATAAAGAGGGCAAAAGTCGCAAAGATAACCGGCTGACTGCACAGGAAATGTAGAAATTACACAGATATTGGTGAGGAGAAGAGGGAAGCCACCGTGGATAGGTGTTATAGTTGTCCGGTGACACTGCTACACCGTCCCCTTGTGAACCGGCTCACATCCATGGTCACTGTTAGTTTAGCTTGTTAGCTTTCATATGACAAAAAGCAGCGGAGTAACGGGCAAGCATCAGCTGATGAAAACACAACATCTGTACGGAAGCCGGGAGAGGACAAAAACACAGCTGGAAGTTTGATCAAATGTTAAGATTGAACATGAAAAACCCTTCAGAATTGAAGTGGAAGAAGTACTCAAATCTTGTACTTAAGTAAAGGTAGAATACCAGAGTGTAGGAATATTCTGTCTCAATTAAAAGTCCTGCATTAAAAATGTTACTCAAGTAGAATTACATAAGTATGAGCATCAAAATATAAAGCAAAAGTAGTCATTGTGCAGATTGACCCATTTAAGAATAATCTATATAAAATGTTTTCATTATAATTATTGATGTACTCATATGTTTATCAAAGCTGGTAAAGTTGCAGCTAGTTTTAATTACTTTATCTACTGCTGGGAAAAATGTGAATTTAATCCAGATGTAACTGCAGTCTTGTTAAAGTGTTGATTATATTGTTTATCATTCATCTATATCTGCAAACTAACTACACATAGTAGTGGGGTAAAAATACAATATTTACCTCTAAATAGTAATGGAAAGTGGCAAAAATTGATATACTCAAGTAAAGTACAAGTACCTCAAAATTGTACTTAAGTATTCGAGTAAATGTACTTAGTTTCTTAAAACCACTGGAAGCATTCTCAAAACAATCTGAAAACATAACCTTTTGATAATAAAGATGTCAGAAGTTATTATAGTGATAAGCTTTCTTGAATCATGTCTTAGTATCTCGAAGAAATTACATTACATTACTATTTTTAAAGGTGACTGTTCCTATTTAAATAGGCAAACACTTATTTGCTATACTTTCAGTTTTTGCTACAAATTAATGCTGATTTATTCTATTCTTACTGAACTGATTTCATAAGCATATTTCTTATCGAGATTCTATGGTAGGAAATTACACTTATTTTTATTTTGTATTATTTTATTTTGTATTTAACATATTTAGAACTTACCATCATCTTGATATCATCAAGTTATCAACATAAGTGCAAAGAAAAAAGGACATTACAATGACATTCATTCACAATAAGACAAAAAACATCAATAATACATCCAATAAGAGCCAGGGGAAAGAAAAATACATTTAAGAGGCATTAAGCTTACTTAAAATAATAACCATTTGGAAATGTCATTGTAAATCTTTATCGACCGGTTACAAGATTGTATTTTTCTAAGGGACAGAAAAAGGGACTTGAAATCATTTATGAAACAGGGAAAGGAGGGCTAGACTCCTCTCCATTTACTACAATGTAAATGGTATTTACCCACACATTTATGAATGAACATCATGTGAAACGTTATAAATGCTGCCTGTAGTTCTCCTCCCGGCCTGAGGGGGCGCTACATGTTAAATCAGGTTAAAGCAGCGCTCTGTGTTATCGGCGCGAGCAGCAGCTTCCGGTTACATGTGAGCAGTGTGGTGAGGAGGTGAGTTTAATATGTACACACTTTTCCTTTATTCGTATCTGTTTCTACATTTTACCAGATCCCCTGTACAGTTAATACTTGTATATGGATTATGTTTCTATCAGCGATCACCCTGGTCAGTTAGCTGAACACATAGCTAACTGCTGCTAGCCTTCCCCTATGAATGGATGTAGCCTGCGTTGAGCTAACGTATGCTAATATTAGCTTCAGCTACGCAGATGGCCTGATTAAAACGTTAAAAACTCTTGAAAATGGAAATTAAATGATAACTTTGATAGTTGTGCTTTATCGTTTGTGTTAGCAACTCCTTATTTGTGATTTGTAGGATAACACATGTTTATTAAGACTTTCTGGAGATGTTTTATATGTCATTAGCATTGGTGGTGACAGTTTCATTACTGTGCAGAAGTGTGTAGTATTCTGCAACTGCAGATGATTTTGGTACAATCAGATGTTTAAGAGCCTTATGTTTGAATGGTTTTCACGCTGTTAGGTTGTAGAAAATCCTATTAAAATATATATTTTATTTGTATGATTGTTTTGTTTTATACACGGAGAACAAGACACTGTACAACTGTTCAACCAGACTGACAATGTAAAGGACAGAAAACACAAACATCCCTCTGAGCAACCCTTCAATTAGAACAGAAGAAATCAGCATAAAAACTTGAGTGTGCAGATTTTATTATCCTAGACAAAAAATACTTTAGATTATTTGTTCCTTCTTTTTTTGGGACCACCTTGAGTTATCTCCTTGCCCCTTGCATCCTTATACTAGGTTGGGTTAAATGCAGAGTCTAAATTACACTATGTGGGTATACTGTATGTGTGACAGTAAGAAGTTGATCAGTTCCTCAAATCTATTTCCAATTGTACTGTTTTTGTATCTGTTAAAATAGTGGTAAATAAGGGAAGGAAGATTCCCCCCTTTCATCAGTAGTGTTTTTAGGCTTCAGATATGGATTTGCAGATTTTAACATCCTCTCCTGCTGTTTTGTCAGACACCACCATGGATATCCGACCAAACCACACGATTTACATCAACAATATAAATGATAAAGTCAAGAAAGAAGGTAAGTTACTGCTAATTCTCACTTTATGGCTTAAAATGTGAATTCATAATAACCTGTAAACACAAATAAAACCAAACTCAAAGAAGTGCTTTGACACTTTGAACCTGAAGTTCCTTGTTACTCATATATACTTAGAAAATCTATGATGAGTCGGATGAAAGTATCTACCATATTAGGCTGATGCAAAGAAGTCTGGACATTGCCACTAAAGCCTTATCTCTAGACTATGATGTCTAAAACTAAACTCATGTAATGGTTGTGTTGTTGCAGTCACACATGAGCCTTTGTGTCAAACTCTGTCTCTTCTCCTCTTCCTCCTTTAGAGATGCAGCGGTCGCTCTACGCGCTCTTCTCTCAGTTCGGTCAGATCGTCGATATCGTGGCGATGAAGACCATGAAGGCGAGGGGTCAGGCCTTCGTCGTCTTCAAAGAGCTCGCCGCCGCCACCAACGCACTGAGGCAACTTCAGGGCTTCCCCTTCTACAACAAACCCATGGTAGGAATAATGCTGCTGTGTTTGCCGTGTCCTCACACACGTTGTCTGATGGCCACTTTTCTCTCTCTTTAAGTGATACACTGACTGTTTTTAGTCATGTTTTCATATGTGATCAGACAACTTTATCATGGTTCTTGTGTACCTTAAAGGTCACCTATTATGCAAAATCCAAAACATGTCCCCCCCCCTCTGTGGAAAGAGACTCTGAAAGTTTCAGGAACAAAGATTCTCTCTCTTTTTGTCCTGATCCATTTATATAAAAACTAGGGATGCTCCGATCGCCAATTTTGGGGCCGATCGCCGATCGCCGGAATCAGTATCTGCCGATACCGATCGCCGATCCGATCGAGTGGGCGGGGCCTAAATGGAAGATTTAAACATCACTTTAAATCTTCCATTTAAAGTGATGTTTAAAACTCAGTTAATGGGGCTCATTCACTGGAGCTTCCACAAACAACAATCAACTTAATTATTACATTCAAATTATGTATATTATTCAAGTTTACATTCACTTTGGATAATAACACGGGAGAAATGAGCAAGCGCTCTCTTTTCCTCTCTCTCCCTCTCTCTCTCCCTCTCTCTCTCCCCCTCTCTCTCCCCCTCTCTCTCCCCCCGCTCTCCCTCTCCTGACAGCCCGTCAGTATCGTCTCATGCAGCTCGCTGATCCAGTAATGTGTGAGGCCGACAGTGAAGAATAAACATATTTATAACTAGTTTAGCTTGTTCCAGAGGTAGATAAAATAGCTAAGTGTGTTAGGTCTAACTCTTGTGTGTTTCGCACCGCTCCGTCACAGCGGGTGGAGCTGCAGGATTTCTGCTTCACACACACGTTGCATACCGCTATTTTACTGTCTTTTTCGGACACCTTAAAATAATGCCAGACCGGTGAAGCTATTTTGGCGAGCTTGTTTTGCCGCGCACAGAGAAAAGTGTCATGTATTTTACGATCGGCCCTCGCGATCGGCATGTTTAGAGAGCACCGATCGATCGGTAGAGAGTGAGTATCGGCAGATCTCGATCGGTGACCGATCGATCGGAGCATCCCTAATAAAAACCTGTCTGAAAATGAGCTGATCAGATTTTGGCCACTTTATGATGTCATAACGATTGTCTTGTGTAACCATTAGCCAATCACCAACCAAGGTAACCCCCCCCACCTTATCACCTGAATCTCCTCCTAGAGCACCATTGTGTTCTTTGTAACCAAATATCTCTCAGAGGGGCGTGGGGAGGGGCTCCTTATTTCATCTAAAGTAACAGACAGAGAATCAGCACTTTGGAAACAGGGCTGAAACAGAGGGGATTATGGGATGCTGCAATGATCTGTTTGGTGTTTGGAGCAAAACACTTCAGAGACATGTTTTGTATATATCTGAGACCTGTAATATATTGATGAAAAACAGAATAATAGGTGACCTTTTAATGAAACATAACAAAGTTGAGTGCATGTTGCTACAACGGCTGCAAGAATGTACAATATATCAGAATCCTTGACACGTTTCCCCGCTCAGAAAGGGCTCTGGGCTTTATTGACTGGATTTATTTTGTTTTCCAGAGGATACAGTACGCAAAGACAGACTCAGAGGTCATCGCCAAGGCGAGAGGCACGTTTGGCGACAAGGATAAAAAGAAGGACAAGAAGAAGAAGCCTCAGGAGCCGCCAACCAGCATGCTAAAGAAACCGGCAGTAAGTCACGCTTTTATTTATTTTAAAGCGGGATTGAGTTTTGTTTTCAAATATTTCAAACTTAGCAACGTAGCAGCAAGTCAGGAGTGACCGGAGAAGATCCTTTACCTCAGTTAAAGTACTATAACACAGTTAAAAATATTAAAATATATAAATAATATAAGAAGTTAAACCTCTTAATTCAAAATGTTACTTGGGTAAAATGTAGAGAAAAGTAATTCGACAACATGGAGCACATTTTTGGATACTTTGTGAATATCATGAGGGGCATCGGAAATTGATAGTGATCCTTTTAGAGATCAGATATAAAATCTATAACTCGTAAAATTCATGCTTTCTTGGGGAAAGAGTTGTGCAGTGTATTTTCAAGCCGTAAAAAAATATGGAAAACCTTTGTTTTACCCGGCTTCATAACAAAAACACTGTCTCAAAGCTATTTAAGGTCAGATACAAACACTCCACCAGCCCTCCACCCACGAGACGCGCTGTTCCTCTGCAGCTGGGAACTGATGAAAGCTGGATCACCGAACTTCACATATTACTCTCACTTGGCAGGGAGATTGATGACTGTAATAAAAAAAGACAGGGGAAATGAGACAACTGGAAGAAATGTTTCCAAAAAGCTGTTTGTTTCTCATAATTTTTTTGTGTGCATGTCAGAGTGTTTGGGATCAGTCACCTCTGCAGAATAAATCAGGAGACGTTAGATAGCAGTATAAACACGAGAGAACAATCATCAGCACACACCCTGCAATTCCAGGACATAGTTTGGAGGAGGAGGTGAACATTTGCAGAAGGCTGTGAACTGCTGCCCATCTGTAATAACTTTCTGAGGAGAAGATCTGGCTACATTATCTATCTTAAAATATGACTTCTTACCAACGTCACGTGGCTACATTATCTATCTTAAAATATGACTTCTTACCAACGTCACGTGGCTACATTATCTATCTAAAAATATGACTTCTTACCAACGTCACGTGGCTACATTATCTATCTTAAAATATGACTTCTTACCAACGTCACGTGGCTACATTATCTATCTTAAAATATGACTTCTTACCAACGTCACTGCTTTAGTTACCCTATGAGAAATGTGCTTCCAGTCGGTCCAGTTTTAGTTACTTTAGCCTGTAGAAGCTAGTAAGCCTATTTGACTTGTTTTAGATAGGCACAACATGTTTCAGACCATATTTTCCTGTTCCATGTTCAAATAAACCATTTTCAGTGGTACCGCTGAGAAAGAGTTATTTTTTTGGTCATGGAAAATTAGGTAAAGGTCATGGAAAAGTCATTGAAAAACATTGGTGAAAAAGTGTATAAACCCTGTTTTTCAAGCTGATTGACTTATTTCCCAAAAACGTATGAGTGGTTATTTTTGCATGACTCTTTGTGGAGAAACTCAGTTTTACAGATCCGTTGACTCGTAAGTGTTAGGTGGCTAATTTCTGTAGTTTTAGAATTTAGAGTATTATTCCTTGTTCTGAAAGCACGTTATTCTTTTAATATGCACGCAAACCCAAAATTCTGATGCTAGTTTTCATGTTGTTTACTGTTGTTTGTTTCTTGTTTGCAGGGATCAACATCTCCTCCACACTCCGGTTCAGCACAGGTAAGCTGACAGGAGCACACACTAATCGGCTTATTTGAGTTTGAACAAATAATCCAGGATCATGTTAGACTATTGTTGAAATAAAGCAGAGAAAGGTTGGACTAGTTGACACTTTATAACTGAAAATGTAATGTAGTTTTCTCGCCAATTGAGAACTTATTACTGACGCTATTTTGACAACTTTTTCACCCATTTAAACAGTTTGAGCCTCGTATGATTTTGCAGTCTGTGTGCAAAGATTATTTTTTAAACGTGAGATTTGCGTTATTTTTAAAGCTGCATATCATTTCTGAAGTGTCTTTTGTGAACTGAGGCCCCGTTTACACGGAGACGGAACGGGTTGTATCCGCTACAGTTCTCTATCGTATAGACGGTTCGTTCACACGAGGCCGACACGGAAACGCGGATTCGGAGCCCGATCCGATAGCCCTGTGATAACGGCTCCCAAGGTGGGTAGGTCTGCGGACAAAACGCTCTGGGGGGGCAAACGGCTCCGTGTGTACGCCCTATACGATCATTTCCTGATAACGATGACGCCATAGCCCCGCCTTTCCCCACCTCTCCTGCTCACCCCCGCGTCATTGCTGATGTGTTTCGCCAACAACAACAACAATGGCGGATCACAGGGTTGCTTTCGTGCTCCAGACGCTACTGACCATGATACAGATGTTAGTGCAAAATCTACAGCTCCTCCAACACAACCATCAGCAACAAGTGGACATGGAGAACTACATGAACTACATGTTGCTAAATCCACCGCGGAGAATAGACAGAAGGCCAACCAGGCAACCATGCTCGGGGGGTCTTATTCGCTGCTTTTGGTGTATTTTGTGGCGGAAGTACAGCGCCACTTACAGGCCCGGCATATGTACTCCAGCGGGTCGAGCGGTCTCGTGTGGACGGACACGTTTCTTGAGCCGATTCCGTGTGGACGGAAGACTTTTTTGTTATCGACTAAGGTTCGTTTTCGTCTCCGTGTAAACGGGACCTGAGTCCCAAGTCGGTCCTAATCCACTATTCCATGACAGAAAAAGTGAATGTTATAAATGGAAATCTTCCCTATGTTTAGTTGATCTGTTCCGCACCTCTAACACACAATCTCTCTTGTGTTCTCAGGTGGCGGATAATCCTCCAAACTACATCCTGTTCCTCAACAACCTGCCTGAAGAGACCAACGAGATGATGCTCTCCATGCTGTTCAACCAGTGAGTTCACTGCCAGGCGTCTGGCTTTACAGAAAGAGTCTGTCTGTGTTTTAAGGTTAAGGGTAGTTTATAAAGGCAACGTGCTTTAAATAGGCATTAACACACATGGACATTTAAATGACCTAAACAGAAAAGAAGACAAATCATAAAAGAGATAGAAGTTAAACATTGGATATTCCAGTTGTTGCTGCAAGAGGTGGAGAAGTATAATAATACTATGTTGTTGAATGACCTCTGGAAAAGTATTTGCAAAGAAAAAAGGTTTTTAACCTCAAATAAAACATTTTTTTAAACTCTGGAAGATCCTTTACTCCACATCCTTGGAGCATAAAAAAAAGTGGTGTCCATCGATTTAAAAATAATAAGCAATGACTCATGACCAATCACAAGTTAACAATACTAGTATTTAGTTATATATTGGGGGGAGATAAATCAAATAAACATGTGGTGTTGTAATAAAGACATGTATGACAAACTGGTATTATTACGTAATTTCTGAATTATTGGCATGAAGTCGGACAATTTTCCGACACAGCAGCGGTCACGGAGAGCCTCTGTGATTCCCCTCTCTATAATGTGCTTTACACAGGGTGTATTATTTCTGCTGCTATCATACTGAGAGCTCGATCTGTTCCTACAGTGGAGTCTGCCTTCTATATCACTCCTGTGCAACTTCAAAACAGTGGTGCATTGTTTGGAAAAAATGCCTTTTCACTACACCTAAAGCAAATGAGTACAGCTTTAATGTTTCATCGATTAGCTTTGACTGAGGTACTGATGGTTCTTACTGACATACATGTAGCCACTTTCTTTGCCTTTTTACTGCCATGCCATTCGTGGTAAAAACCCGGGGAAGAGTGACTGCCCCAATAAAACTTCAAAGCTGCTTCTGCGTGTTTGTTTTCTGACCCTGGGAATGATGAGTAGGCCTGTCTCGTAACAGCAGCTTGTCAGACATTTATTGTGTGTGTGCTGACGGTGTTTTTCTTCCTCTGCAGGTTTCCCGGTTTCAAAGAGGTGCGACTCGTCCCGGGGAAACACGACATCTCCTTCGTGGAGTTTGAGAGTGAAAACCAGGCGGGCGTGGCTAAAGACGCGCTGCAGGGCTTCAGGATCACAGCCACCTGCGCCATGAAGATCACGTACGCCAAGAAATAGATCCCCGGAGTTTAATCCAGGGACGCAGAGACTCTGTGAGGGGGGGGGGATGGGGTCCCTTTCTGTCCGTTCGCTTTTATTTCTGTAAATCGTACATCTCCTCCTTTTTTCTTTTTTTTTTCTATTATTACTTTTTGTTGGGTAAATTGTCGTTGTTGAGGTCAGGCGAATGATCACTGGCCTAAATCTTTTTTTGTAAAATAAAAGGCTTTTACATATATGTTGTTTTTAGATGTGTTTTATTCCTGGATTTTCATTATCAATGTATTTATGGGCTAAGAACAAGAACACCTTAAACTTTTGATATTACTCATGAGATACAACGGTAATGCAAAATATACAATCTACATGTGTTTCTTCACCATTAACGGGACAGCTTAAAAGAAACAAAACTCTGAAAGGTCAGACTGAGCACTACTTTCTTCATGTTATTGGTGCTTTTGATTATCCATAAAACGGCATGCAGATGTAACATGCATTTTGCTAGGACATATTCTGCACATGTTCAGGTGTATATCAGTATGTAGTGTCTCTACTTTAAAGAGTCCTCTCCTGCTGATGTTCAGGTGTATATCAGTATGTAGTGTCTCTACTTTAAAGAGTCCTCTCCTGCTGATGTTCAGGTGTATATCAGTATGTAGTGTCTCTACTTCAAAGAGTCCTCTCCTGCTGATGTTCAGGTGTATATCAGTATGTAGTGACTCTACTTTAAAGAGTCCTCTCCTGCTGATGTTCAGGTGTATATCAGTATGTAGTGTCTCTACTTTAAAGAGTCCTCTCCTGCTGATGTTCAGGTATATATCAGTATGTAGTGTCTCTACTTTAAAGAGTTCTCTCCTGCTGATGTTCAGGTGTATATCAGTATGTAGTGTCTCTACTTTAAAGAGTCCTCTCCTGCTGATGTTCAGGTGTATATCAGTATGTAGTGCCTCTACTTTAAAGAGTCCTCTCCTGCTGATGTTCAGGTGTATATCAGTATGTAGTGCCTCTACTTTAAAGAGTCCTCTCCTGCTGATGTTCAGGTGTATATCAGTATGTAGTGCCTCTACTTTAAAGAGTCCTCTCCTGCTGATGTTCAGGTGTATATCAGTATGTAGTGCCTCTACTTTAAAGAGTTCTCTCCTGCTGATGTTCAGGTGTATATCAGTATGTAGTGTCTCTACTTTAAAGAGTCCTCTCCTGCTGATGTTCAGGTGTATATCAGTATGTAGTGTCTCTACTTTTAAAGAGTCCTCTCCTGCTGATGTCCAGGTTCATATCAGTATGTAGTGCCTCTACTTTAAAGAGTCCTCTCCTGCTGATGTTCAGGTGTATATCAGTATGTAGTGCCTCTACTTTAAAGAGTTCTCTCCTGCTGATGTTCAGGTGTATATCAGTATGTAGTGTCTCTACTTTAAAGAGTCCTCTCCTGCTGATGTTCAGGTGTATATCAGTATGTAGTGTCTCTACTTTTAAAGAGTCCTCTCCTGCTGATGTTCAGGTGTATATCAGTATGTAGTGTCTCTACTGGGACATGTCTCCTTCCTTTAATGTTCAAAAAGCTCTTTATTTTTCTCATACTGCCTGTGCTGCAGCACCTCTTTTCACCCTCTGTCTGAAACCAGAGCCCAGTCTGCTCTGATTGGTTAGCTGGCTGGCTCTTTTGTGATTGGTCAACCGCTTAGAGATGTCCCGCCCCTTAGCCACAAACACCTATAACTTACATGTTACTTGTTAACACTACAGGAAAGTGAAAACCCCCAAAAAACAACATTTTTCAAACTGAATGAGTAAAAATGACTATAATATAATAATCTTCTGCCACAGTAAAATGCAACATACACATGATTGTAGCAAGATTATTAATCCAGAATAATAAAAGTGAAACACCGAAGGGAAACATTTGACTGCAAAAGGAAGTATTTTCCTATATTAGGAACATTTTGCTGATCATTCTTCATACTTTTACTGAAGAAAGGGTTTTGAATGTCACTTGTTCTCAAGTAATTTCTGTCATATAAACATCCTGTTTTAAATTGGACTGTACGTCTTGAAGATGTAGACTGAATGTGACATGGACCAGAAATGTTGCCTTCTCATCATTAACTCCTGCTCTAATCTGACCTTGGGTAATAATGAGGGCATGTTGAATGGAATACGTGGAGGCATTTTCAGCATTTGTACCTTAAATGCATGACCTCTAATGACCCCACAAACTGAAGAGCTATCAAGATGACATGTCTGCAGCGAGGCGCATTGTTATTTTCCTGTTGAACAGGAATGGATGAGACATATTTGAGGCACTCTATTAATTTGTGTGTGTGTGTGTGTGTGTGTGTGTGTGTGTGTGTGTGTGTGTGTGTGTGTGTGTGTGTGTGTGTGTGTGTGTGTGTGTGTGTGTGTGTGTGTGTGTGTGTGTGTGTGTGTGTGTGTGTCATAATGGCAAAACACCTACTGTAGCAGGAGCTATCACAGGAGCAGATGTCAGCACTATGCCAGGTGTTTATATGCGAGTATAATCAGGAACATTCACATAAAAAGTATAAAAATGTCCCTCTACTGTTGTATTTTGTAACATCAGATTATTATTACTCGTGCATTTATAAAAAAAATTATAGGATTTGACTGTTGTAGTCTGTTGACGTGGAGCTCATTTAGGACTAATAATTAAGAGACCAAAGTGACACTTTAACAATATTAGATTTTCCAACCAGCGGTCCAAAACTCAATATTATAACAACACATTATTCAAAAGGAAGAGCGGCAAACCCTCACATCTGTGAACTAGATAATGAGATGTTTGACTTGATAAAAGACTTAAAACATCGAATTGCTCCCTATAGTCATCTTTAAAGTGGCTTGATTGATTACAACAAATCGTTTCAGCCGTATAAACTGTAAGTGTGTAATCAATCATGTTTAAAGACAAGATGGACAGTTAATCATACCCGTAGGGAAATTCTGAATTTTTGATGAGATGTTGGTTTCTTTCTATACATCGGCTTAATTGATCACCTTGCGCGCGTCCCTATATGTGTGCGTGTTGGTTCGCTAGATGACGTGAACGCGCCTCGCGATCTTTCTGTCATTCAGTCCATCAGAGCGCGCGGAGGAGCAGCTCCAGGTCTGTATCCCAAATGAATATCTCCTTTATTTAAATTAAACCTTAGTGTTCAGACAGCTCGTCCTTTTATGTATTCAATGATGTGATTTAATTTGATTCGGCTTTCAATTAATGATGTGTGAAGTCAGTTGGAGGATCACGGAGAAACCTGCATGTCTTTTTTATTTAAACGTAGATTTAGACCGAAAAACTTTCTGTTTGTTCTAAAGGTTATTTGATATTTATAAAGACGCAAATGGCTGTGCGTAATTAACCTTAATGTTACATGGTTCTGCACGTGATTCCTGCAGGAATATTTTGTTAAAGATTCATATTTTAATTTGAAGTATGTACAAGTTTCCGTCCCGGATCTCATCTGTTTCTTTTATTGTTGTTTGTTTCATATCTTATTTTTAATCGATATATACCTGACGAGATTGCCAGGGGACCTTAAAGGGTCGTAGAGAGATTTGGAAACACCTCAAGTAAAACATATTTTGAAACACAATTAAATATTGTATTATCATAAGTTTGTTATTATCACAATTAAGACGTAATATCGTTTCTAGAGTGACACTCACGTTTTGATTGAAGTCATGACAGTTCAATTGGATAATAATCTTTAAATGTATAATGACATATTACCATTTAAAAATAATATTTAGTTAATCCGTTTTTGTGCATAGCTTGTTGAGTATTGCAAACTAAATGAAACGTACATTTATTGTTTACCCAAACAAGGAATCTTAAAGGTTGGGTAGGTAAGTTTGAGAAACCGGCTCGAGATACACTTTTTGTTATATTCCATGGAATGCTCTTAACATCCCGATAGCAATGAATATCTTAAGTGCTTTGACAAAAAATCCATAAAAAAATTTCATCTGTGGAAGCTGTAATACTGTAAAAAGTACGACCAATCATTTTAGCCTGCCGGCTAAAATAACTGGATGGCCTACCTGCCTGTCAGCCTTCCATCTGTGCACAAACTTATCTCGTGCCCTCATTGGCCATGTGCGCGCTCGTGTGTGTTGGAGGAGGGGCTCTGTAAGGAAGTGGCAGATTTTCTCCGGTTGTGTATTTTCAAATTCTAGCGATCTCGAGCCGGTTTCTCAAACTTACCTACCCCACCTTTAAACAAAGACCCAAGAACAGTGTTACTAAGGAACGTCTTACTATTATGAAATAAACAGATGTAATATTAGTTTAATGATAAAACAAATTAAATTATCAAGTCGTGAAGAATGGCATTCACATTTCATTAGATCCCACTTTACTCTGTCGGAGTTATTCTCAGAAACCTAACAATATCATGTAATTTTAAGTGTTTTTAATGTGTTTCTGGTAGAATACATTTTGAGTTACAATTCATATAGTTGGGGAATGTATTATAAATCATGATTAATAAACAATGATCTTTTATGTCAACTTTACAATGTGATCATTCATATTTTTAAAGAGGACATATTATTCTAATTTTCAGGTGTATATCAGTATGTAGTGTCTCTACTGGGACATGTCTCCATGCTTTAATGTTCAAAAAGCTCTTTACTTTTCTCATACTGCCTGTGCTGCAGCACCTCTTTTCACCCTCTGTCTGAAACCAGAGCCCAGTCTGCTCTGATTGGTTAGCTGGCCGGCTCTGTTGTGATTGGTCAACCGCTTAAAGATGTCCGTCCCCTTAGCCTATCTTAGCCTCGCAAGTATGCTCGCGAGTGTATAGTGATATCACTATGTTCTGGAAGAAAACAAAGGAATCCAATGGAGGTGTTTCAATCGGGGGGGAGAGTGTGGACAGAAAGTCCCTCTGGAGGGAACACAGGGATTTTAGGCTTTGAAGACCATTTACATGCAAAAAAAAACGAAACCCCAAAAAGCATAATAGGTCCTCTTTAATATGAGTCATGAATCTTAATATTTTTTGTTTTCATCATCCCTTCTTCTATTAATTGGTCAATACAACACTTCCATAGTCTGGTCAAATTGATTAAGGATCCCCATGTTTTAATCTAATATAATCTAATATTATTTAATATCTCTACAGCAGGTATGAATTAATTCTTCCATTAGCTGTACAAATAAGCGACTTCAACTGTCACTACAAAATCGTCCTTAAGACACATTTTCAATGCATGACTTTTGCTTATGACAGAGTCAGTAAAGAGTCAGTAATATGACAGTGTGGAATTAATAACTTTGCTTGACTTTAATTTTAAAACAGTGATTAATGTAAGTGGACCCTCTCTTGATAAATCTTGGTAAACAAACCTCTTGTGTCGAGCAGTAAAAGATTCTTTCAGATGTCAGAGCTGAGACATTCCCCGACCTGCGGACAAATCTAACAAGAGGACTACACATGAACACTGTAACCTAGCAACGCCATCAGCAAAACTACGAAACACGTGAGTCAAAGCCCTCAGAGGTCTGGAGTCACACTGAGCGGCCAAACAGCTCTCTGTGTGTCCAACACTGTATCTAGAGTCTTTACGGTAAAAGTGTCAGAGTCGGTGCCGGTGTGATTTACAGAAAGTCAAGCAGTAATGTTTTCACTGACGCACAAGAGCCAAATAATCTTCCCATTCAACTCGCAAACAAAAATAACTCTCCATCCTTAATCCTTTGTTATCTCCTGGTGTTCATTTTTGTTCAAGATGCTGTTTTTTTCTTTCCTGTAGTGCTGTGTTATATAGGTTTTTGTGCATGTAAATGGTCTGCAAAGGCTAAAAAGTGAGTTTCTCCTCCCTTCCTGAAATGTTTCCATTGGACTCTATTTCTGGAACATAGTGACATCACCATGTAACACTTGCGCTTCTTTTGGATATGGCTTCAATACATTGTACGTGATAGGCTAAGGGGCGGGACATCTCTAAGCCGTTGACCAATCACAACAGAGCCGGCCAGCTAACCAATCAGAGCAGACTGGGCTCTGGTTTCAGACAGAGGGTGAAAAGAGGTGCTGCAGCACAGGCAGTATGAGAAAAATAAAGAGCTTTTTGAACATTAAAGCATGGAGACATGTCCCAGTAGAGACACTACATACTGATATACACCTGAACATCAGCAGGAGAGGACTCTTTAAAGTAGAGACACTACATACTGATATACACCTGAACATCAGCAGGAGAGGACTCTTTAAAGTAGAGACACTACATACTGATATACACCTGAACATCAGCAGGAGAGGACTCTTTAAAGTAGAGACACTACATACTGATATACACCTGAACATCAGCAGGAGAGGACTCTTTAAAGTAGAGACACTACATACTGATATACACCTGAACATCAGCAGGAGAGGACTCTTTAAAGTAGAGACACTATATACTGATATACACCTGAACATCAGCAGGAGAGGACTCTTTAAAGTAGAGACACTACATACTGATATACACCTGAACATCAGCAGGAGAGGACTCTTTAAAGTAGAGACACTACATACTGATATACACCTGAACATCAGCAGGAGAGGACTCTTTAAAGTAGAGACACTACATACTGATATACACCTGAAAATGAGCTGAATATGTGCTCTTTAAAAGCTGAGATTGGAAGTTCATTCTTGACCCTGAAACAGATTTATTTGATCTAGGAGTACATTAGAAAAGTCATCATGTAGTTGTTGCTTTTCTGATTAATATGCTTTTACGCTTGCTGTTTATTTTTGATTCACTGACTTTTCATGATTTGTTTGTGATGCACTCTATGCTGCGAAACCCTTTTACCCTACAGGGACAAAAAGGTTGAAAGTAAAGTCACTACAAAGTCCATTTAAAAGCAGTTTTTGGGCCTTTTTCAGACACTTTTTTTTACGCTGCTACGGACAGTCTTGCACTAATGTACATTCTCAAAGATATTGAAGTGACTGTTATTTTGTATATATTGATTGTTGTGCTTTTATTTAGGTCTTAATGTATGCATATGTATAAATGTGTCTGTTGATTGTGTATATATAGGTATATACATATTTGCATACATATTTTTATATATATTTGTTTTTGTATTCGGGATTGTGGGAAACGGTATTTTTCAATCTCTCTGTCTGTACACACAAACTGAAAGATTGACAATAAAGTTGACTTTGACTTTTTAATCACACACCTTTCCTGCAGAAATTCCCACCTCAGCATGTTCACCTAAATCCAAAAATGGACGACAGGACCAACAGCAGCTTGGGTCAACCCGACTACTTCCTGTCTGGAGACGTCCTGGACTACGAGATTCCTCTGGACGAGATCCCGGACACCACGCAGGGCCGAGCCTTCTTCGTGGCCACCATCGTCATCGCGGTGGTTCTGGTGGGCATCATGCTGGTTTGTGGCGTGGGAAACTGTCTGTTCATCGCCAGCCTCGCTCGCTACAAGCAGCTCCGAAACCTCACCAACCTGTTGATCGCTAACCTGGCTGTTTCGGACGTGTTGGTGGCGACCGTTTGTTGCCCCTTTCTGCTCGACTACTACGTGGTGAAGCAGCTGTCCTGGGATCACGGGCTTCTTCTCTGCGCCGCCACCAACTACCTGCGCACCGTCTCCCTCTACGTGTCCACTAACGCTCTGCTGGCCATCGCTGTGGACAGGTGAGACAACTGCACCTTCATCATGGAGTTTAAAGGTCACCTATTATGCAAAGTCAAATGTTTCATGTCTTTTCTACATCAACATGTGTCCCCTCTGTTTAAAGAGATTCTGAAAGTTTCAGGAACAAAGATTCTCTCACTTTTTGTCCTGATCCATTTATATAAAAACCTGTCTGAAAATGAGCTGATCAGATTTTGGACACTTTATGATGTCATAACGATGTTTTGGCTTGTGTAACCATAAGCCAATCACCAACCAAGGTAACCCCCCCCCCCACCTTATCACCTGAATCTCCTCCTAGAGCACCATTGAGTTCTTTGTAACCAAATATCTCTCAGAGGGGCGTGGGGAGTGGCTCCTTATTTTCATCTAAAGTAACAGACAGAGAATCAGCACTTTTGAAACAGGGCTGAAACAGAGGGGATTATGGGATGCTGCAATGATCTGTTTGGTGTTTGGAGCCAAACACTTCAGAGACATGCTTTATATATATATCTGAGACCTATAATATATTGATGAAAAACAGTATAATAGGAGACCTTTAAAGAGTGTGGCGGAAATGTATCAAGACTAACTAACAAATAATAAAATGGTGAGGAAACCTTATGTTATACTGAAATGAAGATTCTTGGAATAAGACTTTTAGGGAGTTTATTCTTGCAAGAAGGTAAATCGTTACAGAGTGTCAAGCAGTCTGCAGCGAAGTACAAAAGGACAGACTCCTCTTTGGCTTAAATTCCGAACCTTTATTGCCAGAAAAATAGACAATTTAACGATTGCTCCACATCGAACAGATCTCTTTTGATGATTTACGTTTGCCTACAATAAAAGCATCTTCAGGGCCTTCTCTCAGCTCCTGAACCAGATCCATCATCAGCTGACGCTCACAGCATCTGCAGGGAGGGAAGATGGATAATCTCTGTTTATCCGGGACGGTCACAGTGCTTCCAGTTTCCCTCTTTAGTCCGTAGACCAGCTGAACATCTGGTACTGTGTCTCATTGTGTCAGCTAGTTAACAGCTTCATGCATCAAATCAAATATGACTAACAAATTAGAGTTTTTCTGGTCAGTTCCCAAAGTGAGGCTCCAGCTGTTTGCAACACTTACGTCAGCTTCTTGATTAAAATGTCTCCTCTCAAAGTTGAAAACAGCCCTGAAAAACCTCTTGAGAAAGGTGTAATTACTTAAGCTACTGGACATGGTGATACATTTTAGATTATTTAATGATTACCAAGGCTGAAACAATGAGTTAATTGGTTGGTTAGCATTTATTTTAAGGACCATTTAATTATAAGAATTGTGCTTTGGTTCCAGCTTCTCAAATGTGAATTATTATTTTCTGGATATCTTAGTAGTCTCAGAGGGTCTCATGCTTTAGGAAATGATGACAAACAATATCAAACAATAACCATTCAAAAGTCTGTAATCTCCTGCCACAAAATCGTGCAACTAGGTTACCTCTCAGCAATAGTTAAATAAGAACAGAAGACATCAGCAGTCACTGGTAAAAGATACTGGAAGCTCAGCATCAAGATGTGTGCTGACTTAAAAAAGAACAGGTTCCTGTATCAGTGCACACTAATGGCTCGATCAAGCTGAAATCCTCAGGCTATGTTTAGCTTTAGCAAAGCTATTCTTTTAACTTCTCACGTATACAGCATTCTCCACAGGTGCATGGGTAATCAGGGGTATTTTCTGTTCATGGGTATGTTTATGTCATGATTTTAGTTTTGTGTGTGTATAATTTCCTGTTTTATTTTAACAATGTATGCCACCACTGAATGTCATGTTGCTTCATTCATCTAATAAGGAGTCATACTCTTTTTAGAGTTTTACTAAACCTCTATTGTCAGTGAACTTAAATGTTGTGAGGTAGTAAACAAAATACCTAACTGCATATAAAAGCTATATTTACAAAAACTTGTGTACGTGTCTTTAATGCCTAAAACTAAAGTGGAAACATAGCTCACATTTCCAGGTCAGGCCGAACACACCCCAGGTGCTTTAGTTGGTCCTTCCGAGTGTTTGATTCAGAAAAACATTATTTATTTACATTACTTAGCAAAAGTGGAATTTCAGGTTTGATTCAGTGTGTTCTCTCTTCCTGTGTGCAGGTACATGGCCATCTTTACTCGACGACTTTTTACTTTTACTTACATTTTGAACACAAATACCTGTACTTTCTACTTCTTACATGTTGAACACAAATACCTGTACTTTCTACTTCTTACATGTTGAACCCAAATACCTGTACTTTCTACTTCTTACATGTTGAACCCAAATACCTGAACTTTCTACTTCTTACATGTTGAACACAAATACCTGTACTTTCTACTTCTTACATTTCCCAAACAGGCTGGTTCCTTTAGTTTGAATGTGTGTTTGGTGGCGTGATCATTATTATTTAGAGTCATTGCGTGCCTATTGATTTGAACACGATCCGTGTATCCATCATTTCCTGGTCTTCTCTAAAGAAGAGGGACCAATGAAAACGTTGTCATGTTGCCGTTGTTCAGCATGGAAACATTCATTAGCTAACAATGACATTATTGTTCTATTAATATAAAGGGAGGTCAGGTACTCTTTAAAACAGCTGCTAGTTATGGGTACTTTTTACTTAAGAACATTTCAAAGCCCATACTTCTTTACTTTTACTTGAGTAAAGAAGTTTAGTCAGTACTTCTACTTTTACCAGAGTATTTTTAAACATGAGTATCTGTACTTCTACTTGAGTAAAGGATGTGTGTACTTTTGCCCTCTCTGGATCTCAGTGTGTGTCTCTCTTCCTGTGTGCAGGTACATGGCCATCCTCTACCCTCTGAGGCCTCGTATGAAGCACCAGACGGCGTACTGCGTGATCCTGACCGTCTGGATCGTCCCCATCTTCATCTCCATCCCCTCCGCCTTGATGTTCTCTGAGACCAAGTACCCCCACAAGGAGGGTCGATCCCACAAGACCTTCTGCGCTCAGATCTGGCCCGTGGACCAGCAGCTTTACTACCGCTCCTACTTCCTGCTCATCTTCGCCCTGGAGTTCATGGTCCCGGTCACCGTCATGGCCGTCTGCTACATCCAGATCTCCAGGGAGCTTTGGTTCAAAGACGTTCCCGGTTTCCAGACGCAGCAGATCCAGAAGCGGCTGCAGAGTCGACGGAGGACGGTGGTGGTTCTGATTCTGGTGCTGGTCGCCTACATCCTGTGTTGGGCGCCATATTACGGTTACGCCCTACTGAGGGACTTTTACCCCACCCTTATATCCAGGGACAGGAACTCCTTAGTGGTGTTCTACATCATCGAGTGCCTCGCGATGAGCAACGGGGTCATCAACACCCTCTGCTTTATGAGCGTACGAAACAACACCAAGCGTCTGAAGAAGGCGGGAAAGTTCCCCCTGAGGCTGGTGACTTTTGTTCCGGCAAAGTCTTCGGTCGAAACCGAGACACGGACTTTGTCTCTCCGAGTGACGGACGACATGGAGGGAGAGAGGCTGAAGTCAAAATATAGGACATAGGACGTCAAATATAGGACTGTTTTAACAGCACACTGGATAAGATAAGATAGGACTTTATTTATCCCCAAGGAAATTGTTGTGCCAAAGTTACAAAAATAAAATAAACACAGCAGCATAATAATAATAATAATAATAAAACTATATACTAACAGTGCAGTAAAAAGAGCAATTAAATAACTACAAGATCTGCTTAAACATCCAGAATCTCATCAAATAGGCACCAACATGGGATCATTCAAAGTCGTATCGTCCAGCCGGGAGATGGAGGTACTTCCAAGTACAAAAGCATCTGAGATGTCATTGGAAACTGTTTGGAAAAGGCACTCAAGTAAAAAATACTTGGCAGTTGATTGGATGAATCAAATGTCAGTCAAACTCTGGAGAAAAACAACAAGGAGAAGATTAAAAAAAAACATATTTTTCATCGAGGACAGCCTTCAGTGCCATTCTTTGTTCTTCTTTCGATGAAAAAATACCATCACTGTTGTTTTGAAGGAACAGTCGCCTCTCTGTGTTGCGTCACACATAAACAATGCTGTGGAGGATGCTGATTGGTCCATTCACAAATGCATTAGTTGAAGCAAGATAGGTGTGATGTTGTGATATTGCAAGAATCCAGATGCTGTGCAAGGTAACGTGTGAGAAGTTCTGTTTCTGAAAAGCTGGGCACAGTTTGTAGAAATACTAGATTTAAGCGTTGGTTTTGCTTCAAGCTTAAAAGGTTCCAGTAAACACCGGTGTGATAACATTGAGGATGCAAACCAAAACTAAATGTATATTTCCCCATTCAAGACTCTTGGGTTTTATTATCATATGCACAGTAGCTAAAGTGTAGTCATGGCAATGAAAATCTTAAGTCCTCCAACAGTGCATCATATTATATAAAGGACATAAGACGACAAAATAATAATAATACCAAAATAAAAATAGTTGGAATGAAACAGAGTACGATCAATTTGAATAAAATAGTGCAGGTGAAAGAAACATAATGTAAGGTTCAATATTATACAGCGAAACACAATTAACTATAACTATTAAGATAATACATTAAATAAGTACTAAAGATGCAACCAGATGAATGCTTTAGGTTATGGAGACACTTATACGGTTTGTGCTGAGAAATGTGCGTCATATATGAGTACAACAGTTATTGTTGATTGATGTCATTGATGATTTACGAGCATAGCAGAGAGTAGACGCTGCTGGCTGAGATAGGATATATATCAGAAGGTGTGGTGTTTATTAATAAAGACTCTCTCAGCCAATCACATCAGTTGCGTCATCACAGCCGAGCCAATCACAGGGAAGCACGACGACAACGATTCAACGAATAAGGAAACAGCCTCTTCAAGAAATCACGTTGTTGTCCTGTTGATTTAGAGCAGGGGTGTCAAACTCAAATACACAGTGGGCCAAAATAAAAAAATCTGTACTAGTCGAGGGCCGGACTGGTTCAATGTTTATTGCAAAACTTATTGAAATGAACTTATTGCACATATTAAACCTGGAACTAAGAAAGCTTAAATTATTGCCTATAAAAACAACATTAAACATTAAATAATCAGTAGCATTCATTTCTTATGGCTCTATCTGAAGCTTTTCCGGAGTCATTTCTTATGATTACATTTTTCCACAGGCCAACAACAGCTTCAAAAAAACTATTTCCCTCAAAGAAAAAAACAAACATGCCCTGTTGTCGTGAGAAAAAAAGTGCAGAAGGAAACATCCATTAAACTCAGTGTGCTGCTCTGTGATGCTAGTTCAAGCCAGATACTTGGCATCTCATCTTGGGTGCAAGTTCATCAATGTTTGGGGTCAGGCTCTGAGCTGAGGAGCTCCTTGAATTGAGTGAAGTGAAGGTGTGCGTGCAATATACCGGCGGGCCAGATCTAATAGTAATTCGAAATTATCCTGCGGGCCGAAATTAAATCCACCAAGGGCCTGATTTGGCCCCCGGGCCTTGAGTTTGACACATGTGATTTAGAGCAACATGATGCAAATGCACGTCTGCAGCCAGAGACAAGTGGGGGGGTTATTATTTAATTTATACAATAATGATAAAAAATAATATAATGACAAATGTTGATAAGGCGTTTATAATCACGTTAACTCTCAGTTTGGATTCTACTGCATCTGATTTCATTGTATTTCAAACCTGAAATTCCCCTTTTGCTAAGTAATGTAAATAAATAATGTTTTTAAGTTTCAAGTTTAGACCCGTAACAATTGGAGAGGTTTCTTTTTAATTGTTCTCAGTGATAGCAGCGGTGGAAGAAATAACCAGGTACTGTGAAAGTAATAAGACACTTTGAAAATACTCTATTACATGTAAAAGTCCTGCATTTACAATAAATGTTAGTAAAGGTATTGTGCAGTAATAGCTTGCCTGTCAGTGTTTTACTGCTTGATGTTTTGGGATTGATATTACTGCTGTTTTAATGCGTATGTTACATGTTATTACTGTAGATGTTTATCATTGTGTTAATTTGAACCCCTTTATATAAAGTTGGGTATTTGTATCTACAGCAATGCGTCATATTCTCTAAGATCATTATATGTTTGCAGATTTATTCTGTGTCGTCACAAATCTCTAAAAAGTTATTTTGCCATGATTTTCATCGAGTAAAACAGCTCTGTTTTCACCGCCTGACGAAGCATTTTCCAGCTGATCCGAAATGGTAAATTGGGGGTTAAAAAAGGGACAATTTTCCAAACGAATAAAGAAACATTTCAACATCCATCAGCTAATTCGCAGAGTCATGGCCTTTACTGATTTTTGTTGTTGTAATGAGTAAATATAATGAGTTGTTTCTCCAGCAGGAAGTAATGAGGTGAAACAGGAAGTGGTTTGATGTTGAGTGTGTGGATTAACTCCCTGTGTGTTAATAATATATGTGGTGACGTTTCTGTGACGCTCTCTGGATGCATATATCCTCTACTCTTTATTATATAAAATAATATTCATTAATATGTCATGAATTGTAAGGTGTCCTCTAAATAGAATGAATTATTATTATTATTGTTGGGGAATAATTTGCTTAGGTATTCAACCTTTGACACAGTTCATAATTGTCTCTTCTCACTGTCTCCTTTCCCATGGCATAGTTCTACTGCCTTGGGTATTGCTGCTATCTCTCTTAAGCAGGAGCAGCTTGGGCGCATTGTTGATGCCAGTCTATGACAGAGCACAAGCTGCCATGAGATAGTTTACTGTTCAGGGACATCTAGCAGCCCTTCTTTTCAGGGACGTAGGTTTCCTGGCGCACATTATTTTCTATGGACGACAGCTCTAGTTAGATTCAGGGTCCATATTTGTTTAGTCTCGCTGATGAAGAATGTTGATTATTACACTTTGAACTAGTTCAAACCTGGAGCTACAGAAGAGTGCTTCAGAATTGATTGTGGCATCTCAACCGTGTGGTCCCGTGACATGTCTTGTGAATTCTCCGGCCGAAGCTCCAAATAAATCATCAGTGTTTGACATCAAAGCTCCAGCTCTCCTCGTGTCTCTCTGAGTCCTGTTTCCAATTGCTTCAGAAGTATATATCACTATAGGTTAAGCTACCCAGCAAATTAAAGTTATTAAAATTAGCTCCACCTTTGCCAAATGATGAAAGAGATGAACACATTATTGCATCATTTTACCGAATTTTGAAAGAAAATGATTTGCCTTTCAAGGAACAAATAAGCTATAAAATAGAGGGACGTTAGCTCATATATGAGACTTCAAAGATCTTTTACTTTGAAACTGTACATCAGAATGACCTGATATTCTCTGAGTGAATATTTAAAGGGGACCTATCATGCAAAATGCACTTTTGTACGTCTTTTATACATGAATATGTGTCCCCGGTGTTCCAGGGAACTCACCAAGTGTCAGAAAACACAACCCTCTCTCTTTTCCTCCATACCCAAATCTCTAAAAACGGGGCTGCAACGGATCTGATACAGACTGATCCAGATTTGAAAATTCTCTGACGTCAGGAACGAGGAGCTCCGCCTATATGGCCAACTCTCCACCTATCAGGGGAATGAGAGGTTGCCGTGGCATGGTAACAGCATGGTAACATGACGCTCGTGCCACGCCCCCCTCCTTTGCAGGGGGGCGTGGTCAGCTGCAGCGCATGCAAAGACAGGGCTGGAGGAGAGCAAAATAGAGCGAAATGAGGCATGGCTAAAATGCATGATCTGTTTGTGAAGTTTTATTTTCAAAATACCAGACATGTTTTATATAGGTATGGCCCTACAATATATTATTCAAATATAGCATGATAGGTCCACTTTAAGGTGGTCTGCTATCCCCCTGAAGTGAAATGAGTCTTTGATTATGGACAGTTTTTTATATATTCATATGTAAAGATCGAGGGACGTTCAAAGATGTTTTATTTTGAAACTCATCAGAATGACCTGATATTCTCTGAGTGACTATTTATCTTTTGTGTAAAGTGCATATTTTTCTTGCTGATTCATCTAATAACTGAGTGTGATGGAAGGCAAGTCAAAACATTTGGTGATTCATTTCTGTTTAACATCACGATGAAATCAAAAACAAAACAGGAAAGACTTTTTTTGTTTTCAATAAATGTATTTAATAAGGATAAGAACATATTGGAGTAACAATTATAAGAGATCTACTCCGTAATTGTACATATTTACACAAGTAAAATCAATCCCAGACAGGAAGAGATGGAGCTTCACCTGAGAAAAACACTTAAACAAAAATAATAAACCTTATAAAAATACAATTAAAATGGACTAATCCAAATCTTTATAGCGTTTTCAGTGCTTTAGAAAGAACAGTTTGCCCTTAACTTGTGTGTTTCACTTCATTTATTAATTAAACATAGATTCAAAGCTGCAAGAGGGATCTTTTTCAGACAGAAACTTGTATTAATGTAGTCCACTGTTTAGTTGGAGGTCAATATGACGACAGCTGCATGGCCTTAGGTTGTTGATCCACCGAGGGAAACAGACGTCACTCATTTTTAATTGCTTCAAAGAGGTTACGCGTCCGCTCAGAAGAAATGGAACAAAATAAAAGGATTTCTGAAGCTGAGTGACTTGAGGTTTAGGTTCAGGTTAAATGCTAATGTTAAGCACAGTACACAGAGTAATTATAGTTGCTAAAAGCTAATGGTTTAGGGAGAACATTGGGTTTCAGGGGCAGCTTAGGGACAGTTTTCAGCTACTACGTGAGCACTGTGGAGACACAGAGTGCATTTTAAAATGACTTTTGAAAGATCTTTTTTGACATAATGTGTGAATAACAAATGCTTAGGACCAAGGCTGTATTAGGTTGTTTTGCTAGTTGTATAAAGGACTACATTGATTGATTTACACAAGATTTCTGTGCTTATTAACCCTTGATTTGTGTTCTTGTTAAATGTGATGTTAGGGACAGAAAACAGGATAGTTAAAAGGTGCTAAAAGCTGAGATATGGGGGAGAGAATTTGGTTTCAAGGACAGCTTTTGGATGGTTTTTCTAATAGATGAGACCTGTGGATGTAGATAAGTGCATTTTGAAATCAGCTCTCTAATGTTCTACGTTTAGGAAGAAGGAAAACACAAATAAAGACAAAGAGAGCAAGAGGACGACATAAATGCATCACCTGAAGAATGACCTCAGGGTTTTGATAGTTGCACATATCAACGTTTCTGAATGCATGGTTTAGATTACATCACATCTGAGCTGATAAAACATCTGATTTGTGTTCTTGTTCAATTCTGATGTTGAGGACAGAATACAGGATAATCTAAGCTAAGATTTAAAAGGAGAAAAAATTGTTTAAAAGACGGCTTTTTGTTGGATTTCCACAGGTCAGTTGGGACCAGATTCTATAAACTCAACACTAACATAAATTGCATTTTATTAAAAGTGAGAATCAGATCCAAACACCAGCATTTTTGGGACACTTTACGACCTCTACATTAATCTGTATTTACACTTTATCTGTCATTTTTGGGACACTTTACGACCTCTACATTAATCTGTATTTACACTTTATGTCTGGTTCAGCTTAAAAACAAACAAACAACCAAAATCAAGACGTTGTGTATTTATTTCCTCGTCTTCATGAAGGTCTTTGCCTCCTTCTGTAACTCCTTGATGTCCTCCTTACCGCTGTCGTCAGAAACAGGAGGGTTGTAGTCTGAGTCATCGCCCGCATCCTCACTGTCGTCATCGATGAAGCTGTCGTCGTACTCGTCCTCTTCATCATCATCATCACCACCGCCGACCTTTTTGTGGACGGTGCGGGTAGAGCGAGCTGTAAAAGCATTATCAGAGTGTTCATGAGTGAGTCACACAGGGAGGAAACACAAAAAGGCTTAAAGTGCAACAACAGAAATGTGTTTCTTTCATCTCCCGCTGTTCCTGGAGTTCATTTTGAATTCAGCAGAACTTTATGTTTTACTTTAGGCAGAAAGAAAATAAAATACAGACAGAGAAAGGAGGGGGAAGTTTGACATTTCTGTTTTTAAAATAAGGTTTTTGGTTGAGGAACTGCCACTACTTGTCATCAAATTCACTTTTTTTTAAGCCATGGACTGAATCATTTCACCGAGTAATGACTTTGTAGACAGCTAGCATTGTGAAATCATCCATTTTGTGGAGGCGTGTGGCGCAGTGGACTAGTGCGTTGGTATTCGGACCCCACTGCAGTCAGCATGTCGTTGTGTCCCTGGGCAAGACACTTCACCCCAAATTGCTCCTGTGAGGATTGTCCACAGTATTGAGTATAGGGTTGCAAAGTGGCGGAAAGTTTCCGGAAAGTTTCCATGGAAAGTTAAGCTGGGGAATTTTGGAAATATTCGATGCAAAATTAAATAAAAAACATGACATTTCAACAGATTTTTTTTTTACTGAAAACCTGCAGAAGTAATGGCGTTCCCATCAGCCTCTGCTGTACTGTGCATTGACTGCTAATTAGCACATTAGCATGCCACCAAGCTAACCTAACAGACAGTATTTGACTTGCTAAAAATCAGCATTTTAGCATTGGTATTAGAACCATCTTTTATGTTTTCTTGTAAAATATAATCAGTAACCACCTTTTTCACTTACTGTTCAAACCTTTTGACAATTGGACATGTCCATCTACAAATTTTAGATTAATTTATATTGCTTTAAATTTGCTCTTTCGAATAATGAACTACTTATTTATGTGCATATTTTTCTTCTTTTTTTTATTAAATTGTAACTTTAAGTTGTATGTCTTCTTCTTTTTACATTTGAGCAATTTCTTTTTCTGGGTAAGACCCCGAAATGCCAATAAAGATATGTATTATTATCGAACCCATGAACCAGATTACATTTTTCAAGGGAGCACTTTTGAACATTTTCATAATTTGTTCATGATATTTAGAACTCACTTGAAAGATAGACATTTTGCAAACATACATCTAATTATTGTTTAAACGTATGTGTGTGTTTTAATGCAGAAAACCCATTATTTGTTCATTAAAAGAAGGAGTGAGGATGTGCAGCCGAGGCAGAGGTTTGCTCTCTCTAATGGCTTTCTAGTTTTAATAATAATCTTCATAATAGACCCAGCAGACCAACAGCGCCCCTAATGACAGCCCTGCTATAGCTACATGCCAACATGTAGATGTGTAATTTAGATTTCTACTGCATTTCCTTCAGTAGTCATCAACATCTTTTCTTCTACATCGGTGAAAGGACAGCAGTGTGGAAGAAAGAAAGAAAAGGAGGCGTAATTTTTACGGTCTCTTGAGGTTGAGACACGACACGGCGGCGTCTTAAATCACGAGAGATTGCAGAGGGAGTCGTCCGTAAATAAGCGTTAAGTAAATGTCAACTGAAGGCCTCAAAATGCAAACGCTGCCGAGGAGAGACACGTTTCAAATCTGTTGAGAGAGGTTCGGTTAGTCAATGGTGTGTGTGTGTGTGTGTGTGTGTGTGTGTGTGTGTGTGTGTGTGTGTGTGTGTGTGTGTGTGTGTTTGAGGGGTCAGAAAAGGGGGGGGGGAGTTATGTTCGAAAAGGCTCTTGATTACATTATAAAGGCTGCTAACAAAAAAAATCAATGGGCCACTGTGAGCTTATATATCCTGATCAGATTTGGTGACGTGTCAAGTGCGTGTATGTGTATGTGTATGTGTATGTGTATGTGTATGTGTGTGTGTGTGTGTGTGTGTGTGTGTGTGGGGGGGGGGGGGGGCGACCTGTGATGCCTCTTCTTCTTCAGGCTATGAATCGGTTGCTAATCCCTTTCAGAGAGGTAAATTGCTTTCATTTTATGCTTTTGATAGCTGTCATTTTGTGTTTTGAAAGACGTGCACAATCAGTTCAGTATATCATTCTACTAATGTACGTCGCAATAATAAACACTCACAATAAGTAGATTGTGGTGAGTTTCCATTTTTGGGATAATTGTGCAAATCCTGAGCTCGTTTTCAAGTTAAAATCATGATAGAAAAGTGGGAAAAGAGGCCAGATTTATTTATTAACTCAGGAATGATCATGTAAGAAAGAACAGACTCCTCACCTCATGATCTATGACGACCTTATTTAAAGGGGACCTATCATGCAAAATGCACTTTTTGATGTCTTTTATACTTAAATATGTGTCCCCGGTGTGTCGGGGAACTCACGCAGCGTCAGAAAATAAAACCCTCTCTCTTTTCCTCCGTACCCAAATCTCTAAAAACGGGGCTACAACGGAGCTGATCCAGATTTGCGTCCGATATGACGTAATATCGGAAATGTGGACCTACAGCAAGCACTATCAGAAAGTTGCTATGAGAAACAATGCCCGACTGTTTTGGACGTAATATGGTCGGTGTTTACATTAGCATCGCTAACTCTCAGAGCTAACCTGTACTGGAGAGCATGTGTGTGAAGAAGCAGGAAATAAAAAGGAACTCACCTTGTGGTATAACCGGCAAGAGAGAAAGCCTTTGAGCTCCATACTGTTTCAGAAATAATCCTTGATAATCCATGATATGGCGTTTCATCACCGCAGAATTTAGTTTAGACAGAAGCTGCCGGGTCCCGCATGAGCTCAGCCCCCTCCTTTTTAATTTTTTATCAATTTTGAAATTAGCACTTTTGAAACAGGAAGTGAAATAGAGGGATATGAGGCATGGCTAGAATGGGTGATCTGTTTGGTATTTTGAGCAAAACACTTCATAGACATGTTTTTTATATATTTTTATATATCTGAGACCTATGCTATTGCCTAAAAATAGCATGATAGGTGACCTTTAAGTTTGTTTTATTTGGATTTTTCAATAAAATAATGTTTCCAATGCAAAAAAAACAATAGTTTCTTTGGTACAGTGATCCCAGTATGTGCCATAGTGACATATTCAGAGTTTCAAGGACATTTTGATGATTAGTGGGATAAATTGTGATCGCAATTATTTAGGCTAAGGGGCGGGACATCTCTAATGGACAGAGCCGGCCAGCTAACCAATCAGAGCAGACTGGGCTCTGGTTTCAGACAGAGGGTGAAAAGAGGTACTGCAGCACAGGCAGTATGAGAAAAATAAAGAGCTTTTTGAACATTAAAGCATGGAGACATGTCACAGTAGAGACACTACATACTGATATACACCTGAACATGAGAATAATCTTACGATCAAACAAACGAATGAATCATATTCAAACACACCTTCCCTATTATTCATTAAAATTACCTAATATACCACAAAAAGTGAATATGTTAAATAACTAAGCCATTTTAAAAGCCATATCACATGTGTATAATAGCTGAGGTAATGACTTTTTTAAAAGCTTTCATCACCTTGCATGGAGAAATATTTTTGCTATTAAAATGTATTATGTTTGTCCAGAGCAGACTCATTTATTCAATTTGATTTTAAAAGAATAAAGACGGTGAAACATCCTACCTGGCTTCTTTGTGTGTTTGTATTCTTTCCTGTGAAGAGGATTTTTCCTGTCAGGGAACAAAAAGGCAAAGTCAGCATCACGGTTTTTTCTTAAAAGAAGTACTATGGCAAAATAAATTACTTTTTCTCTCATTAAAAAGTCATTGTGAAACACACACAGATTCTTTTTGATGCATTTTTGTTAGCCCATTGTTACAAATACATGAGAAGTGTGTGTGTGTGTGTGTGTGTGTGTGTGTGTGTGTGTGTGTGTGTGTGTGCGTGTGTGGGACGTGTGTGCATAGCTGCGGGAAGTAGGGGTGCACCCCCTAGAATCTGGAGAATCACAGAACGGCCGGCACCTGTTGCGCTGACAGGCGACAGAGGTCCACCATGTCCCCGCAGCGAGGCTACCCCCCCCCCCCCCTGTTGACTAGCACCCCCCCCCCCCCCCGTAGCCGTTGACAATTTACCGCACCCCCTGAGTAAAATGACTTCCCGCGGCTATGCGCGCGTGTGTGTGTGTGTGTGTGTGTGTGTGTGTGTGTCTGTGGGACGTGTGTGTGTGTGTGTGTGTGTGTGTGTGTGTGTGTGTGTGTGTGTGTGTGTGTTTTACTCTGAAACACATCCTCCAGAGTAGGGTTGCACGTTGTGGAAAAAATGTACTGAATTGCGATTATTTTAACTCTTATTATTGCAATTGTGATATTATTAACAACATTTGAAAAAATTACCATTTATTAAACATATTAATTATAATATGGCTCCAGATAAGATGATGAAGATGGATGAAGATGGATGGATTGACATTATCATTGGGAAATATAAAATAAAATGATCATGGTTTGATTTTGGATGGAGGATCTGCACCAAACGAGGATTTTTCATGAAGTCTCTGGAGCACAGATCATTATTTCAGAATAATATTTACATATATTTAGCCTTTATTGCGCTTACTGTAATTTGGATATTGCGTTAGTAAATGTTGTGATTTTGATTAGATTAATTGTGCAGCTCTACCTCTGATACAGCGCTCTTCTTCTGCAGTTTTTTTGACCTGCTTGTCCTCTTGCACTATTAAGGAGCATCTTGTAATGTTGTTCCATTAATATCGGCTTCATCAGGTTTCCCATCATGTCGTCTATAGTCCATGCTGTTATATCTCACCTGTAGCAGTCGGTGCCAAAAGGACACTCAGGTAAGTCTTCCTCCTGCGTCTCATCTTCCTCCTCCTCCTCCTCGTAGTCGGTGTCCCCGGGGTGGCTGCTCTCCTGGAAATGCATTGGGTTCTTCCTGCAGAAACAAACAGGAAGGTGATGAGAGGTCTTCAGAAACATAATGGAGTCTGCACTTTGAACATTTGAACAGCGTGTTTCCAATCTGCTGCGTGTCCCTCATTACAGGATGTTAATTTTTATGAAAAAAGGACCAAACACTGGACATTTTGGAGAATTCAAACCACAAACTGGGGCAAAATGTTCCTTTAGAGCTACATTAGGTGGTAAATAGATTGCATTCATACAGCTTTGTTCCAGTCATTACAACCCCTCAAAGCACTTTACACAAGCGTCTATGAGTTTCTAGAAAAGTGCTATAAGTGTCATATTATTATTATTATTATTATTATTATATACAAGTCAGCATTCACACAGAGGCAGACGCTGACATACAAGGTACAGCCGTCCAATTAGAGCATCTGTATAGTTTACCTAGTTCAGGGGTGTCAAACTCAAATACACAGTGGGCCAAAATTAAAAAATGGGTACTAGTCGAGGGCCGGACTGGTTCAATGTTTATTGCAAAACTTATTGAAATTAACTTATTGCACATATTAAACCTGGAACTAACACAGCTTAAATTATTGCCTATAAAAACAACATTAAACATTAAATAATCAGTTGCATTAATTTCTTATGGCTCTATCTGCAGCTTTTCCAGAGTCATTTCTTATGATTACATTTTTCCACAGGCCAACAACAGCTTCAACAAAACTATTTCCCTCAAAGAAAAACCAAACATGCCCTGTTGTCATGAGAAAGACAGTGCTGAAGGAAACATCCATGTAAACTCAGTGTGCTGCTCTGTGATGCTAGTTCAAGCCAGATACTTGGCATCTCATCTTGGGTGCAAGGTCATCAATGTTTGGGGTCAGGCTCTGAGCTGAGGAGACCCTCAGGATTGAGTGAAGGTGTGCGTGCAATATACCGGCGGGCCAGATCTAATAGTAATTAAAAATTATCCTGCGGGCCGAAATTAAATCCACCAAGGGCCTGATTTGGCCCCCGGGCCTTGAGTTTGACACATGTGAATTAGAGGATGACCATTTGTGTTTTCCTCCACTTATTGTTTAAAAAAGTCAAGGCAAAAGGTCGTCTAACAAATTAGAATTAGCATTTCTAGAGATATTTATGGAATATATTCTTCATATATATATTATCTCTCTATATAGAGACAATAATAATAGTAACAATAACACTAAAATATTTGATAAACACGAAAAGTTTGTCTCTCAAACACCCATCATACCCGTCTCCATTTTGCTTGTTGTATACATTTAATTTAATTTAATTTAATATTCCATTCCCTACAGTCTTAATGTAAATAACATCCTGCTTTATATTGTGTCTAAAGCCCTTCACTAGTGTTTTATTGTCAGAGTTGATCGATCTGTGTATATTTTCTACTTTTTAATGCTGGTTTAATTCTATCTCGAGATGTTTAAATTCTAGTATTGTTTATTTCTACTCTTTAATTTCTATTTATTTCAATGCCTTGTTTTGTTTTGTTGTTTTTTATGCTGCTACAACGCAAACATTTCCTAATTTGGGATCAATAAAGAACTTCTTATCTTATCTTATCCATGAAGACAGTTTTGTGTTTATTTTGTCGCGATTAAGTTTATAAAGATCAGTTTTTTAGGGCCAAAGCTTTGAAAAAATGACAATTAAAAAACTTGAGATGTGTACTTTTTGGGGGGATTTGGTTGACTCTACGATTGGCTGATTCGTCATCCTGTGAATGGCAACGTTTTGACTGATTCCCCACCAATTACAGGGAATATCGTTAGTTTAGGAGCTTTAAAATGTAAATCAGTGAGATGCTTTTCTCTACTTTGTGATTGACTTTGTGTAAGAAAACAGAATTCCTTTTAGCTGTTATGTTTTTGGACGAGTCTTTATCTTATCTTGAAGACACAGGATCAGGGGCGGTTCTAGGGGGGGGGGGGGGGCAGTGCCCCCTAACACTGACTTTGGACCCCCCTGTGGCCCCCCTGAAAAAAAAGGTTTATGATGAAACGATTGCTTGGCTGACGGAATAGGCGGAACTAACGATATTTGTCATTTTAGTCGGACCCATTAGAGCAGGGGTCTCCAACACGTCGATCGCGAGCTACCGGTAGCTCGCAAGCCCTCAATAGCCCCCAATGTACAAATATGTTTTTTTTAACGCAAGCCATCATCGCCGAGGAGCACACAGCCTCTGTGAGCGAGCGAGCGAGAGAGACAGAGAGAGAGAGAGAGAGAGAGAGAGAGAGAGAGAGAGAGAGAGAGAGAGAGAGAGAGCGAGAGCACACCTTTATCTATTTAATAATAAACCAGTTTAAATGATTTGTTATTGGTTGTGATCATATTCTAAAGATGTTTATTGAAAAGTATACAGCTCCCTTTCATCTGAGTGTTGAGAGCTGTATCCATCAATTAATGTTGTGCTCAAAGTGCTCCAGATTGATGCATTTAACTTCAACATTTAAAAAAAAATCTTTCCGGGGGAGCATGCCCCCGGACCCCCCTAGAGGAGGTGAGGTCCACCCCCAAATAAAGCAGATAAAATAATTAAATTGTATACATGTTCTTTTAGTAAACACTGCAAACGGGTCGCACAGACCCAAACAGCACACAAAGGTTAAAGGTAAGCATATAATAATGTGTAATGAAACAAATACCAATAACTGTATTGCATTGTTTTCTTATGCGCAATTACTTCATACTGTCTTTGTCTTTTTCGTCCTGCATTTATTGTGCCCCCCTCAGAAAATAACTGGCCCCAGCCTGGCCCCCTCAGTCAAATTGGTCTAGAACCGCCAAGGATCTCTCGAGGCTAAAAGCAGAGAGGGGGCTCAGAGAAGCTTCATTTCATTTGTTCCTTGTTTCATGTTTATCCTCTGAAGTGTGTTCTCACATCAAAGAAAAACTCTCTGTTTGGGCTGAAGCTCAGCTGTTGTGTTGATTCTCAGTTTACCTGTAGCAGTTCTTCCCGTATGGACACGGCGTCCTGAGTCTGGCATCTGCTAGTTTAGTCTGCTGTCGTCCATTCTTCATCTTCTTCTCCTCGTTCTCAGATTGATTGATTTTACTCGTCTGTGTGTCGGTGTTTGCTGCAGATGTTCCTGCTCCTCTGTCCTCCTCGTCCTCCTCCATAGGGAAGCCGTCAGACTCGTCGCTGATCCCAGATCTGTTGGATTCGCTCTGAAGACGACCTGAGGGCTGCTCTGAAGGAACATCCTGAGAACGGAAAACAGACAAAGACGTAAACGTATTGTCCCCAGTGAAGTGTAAAGCATATAAGGTAGATCATTTGCATTTCAAGACTGAGAGTAAGTCTTATTTGGATGAACAATTAATACATTAATGGGATAAAACAAACACAAAGGGCAGTAAAAAAACATCAATAACCACATGTACTCGCTAATAACTCAACTGTTTTAGACTGAGTGGCTTCCTGCTCTTCATCACTCATCTTCCTCCTTCTCTTATTCGGCATTTCCTCCTCGCTGAGCTCCTCTTCAGGTGAGGAGGTCTTGGTGGGCGTGGCCTGTTTTGCTGCTTTAGTGCTGGTTGAAGGTCCTTTAGTGCTGGTTGAAGGTCCTTTAGTGCTGGTTGAAGGTCCTTTAGTGCTGGTTGAAGGTCCTTTAGTGCTAGTTGAAGGTCCTTTAGTGCTGGTTGAAGGTCCTTTAGAGCTGGTTGAAGGTCCTTTAGAGCTGGTTGAAGGTCCTTTAGTTCTCTTTACACCTGATTGATAATTTAGTAGGCAAGTAGGTAAATAAGAAAGTAGAGTAACTTACTAACTGACAAAGTAAGGTGGTCAGTAAGTACTTAAGTAAGTCAGTAGGTAAGTAAGTCAGTAACTAAGTAAGTAAGTCAATAATTTAGTAGGTAAGTAGGCAAACAAGAAAGTAAGTCAGTCTCTAATGGCGCTTTTCCACTGCAGCACATAGCACGATTTGGCCCGGCCCACTTTTTTTTGCTTTTCCACTAGGGGTAGTTCCGGCTCAGGGCTACTTTTTCACCTTTTTTCTGGCCCTCCAAAATCGAAGTTCTTACCGGGCCAACAACCGGGCTGAATATGCTAACCTAGTGACGTAAACACTCTCGACTGCTGAATGGTCAGAGAGAATCGCTGGCAAGGGGGCTACAACTACAACAAAATGAACATATTTTACCGTGATTTAATTGTAATACACGTTTCAGAATGATGCCGAAGTAACAACATACTGATACCGGTCTGCAGACAAGACGGCAGGCGAAAAACCTTTTAAAATGCGTGTTTTTTGAATGGAGATCGGATCGATCAGGCTAAGCTAACGTTTTATGCTCCGTCCACACTCACAACAACGGCCTACAGACATAAATAAACCAGCGACTGTATTCGCCATGACACAGACAGTCTGTGGTTTGTACTTGTTTAACTTTTGTCTAGTTTCTGAACAGATATGAGGAGCTGTGAGCTCTGAGTGCTAACAGCTAACGGCTGATGTTTTGGTTTTGTGGTTCGCATTGAAGATGACGTCACAGCAGTTTTACGCAGCGTCGCTCCGCCCGCCGAACAGCCGATCGCCCCGCCTACACTGCGTTACTATAGTTACTACCCCAGTTGGTAAACTGTAATGGAAAGGCAGCATAAAGTGAGCCTGGCCTACCAAGGCCTAACCATATCGTACTAAGCCGTGCTAGGTCCTGCAGTGGAAAAGCACCATAAGTAAGTCATTAAGAAAGTAAGTAAGTAACTAACTAACTAACTGACTAAGTAAGTAGGTCAGTCAGTACTTAAGTAAGTAAGTAAGTTAGTACGTTAGTAGGTAGGTAAGTAAGTAAGTATCTAACTAACTAAGTCAGTAACTTGTAGGTAAATAACTACCGTAAGTAAGAAAGTCAGTAATATAGTAGGTTAGTAGATAAGTAAGAAAGTAAGTAACTAACTAACCAACTAAAGTCAGTAAGTTGGTAAGTAATTAAGTAAATAACTAGAATGACTCGAATAAATTAAGCAAAGACAAACTTGTATTGAATCAAAGTACATGGGAAAAGGCACTTAATTACTTTCCATCACAGCCAACATGTTTCAACGAAGTCAAACTCTAGATTTGAGCACATCAGTGAAAAGGTCTCAGTGAAAGAAAGCAGACTGATGTTTCTAAACTGAGAGTAGCACGAGTTTCTCCTTAGGAAACTGGATCTTTTCCATCTTTGCACTTTTACCAGGAACACTCGTCTCTTTATTAAGTGCAGCGCGGAGCGGATGGATGCAGTAATGGAGGCAGAGAAGAAGTCACTGAGCGTCTGCTTTCCTTCAGAGTAAATATTACAGCAGCAGACACTCAGGGGAGAGGAGGATCTACACTGTCCTCTTTGAACTCCTTTAGTCATCAAAGATCATTGTAATATACAGAGAAAGGTTAGCTGCTATGTTGCTCTCATATTCAGTCTCTTGTTTATATCACTTCATTAAATATCACAGCAGTCGCTCCTCAAATACATTTGGGAAAATATGGGGCCCTTTTTTCAAATTTGTTAAGAGGATAAAGTTCCCAATCATTCATGATTAAACCTTTGCATTTTGTCTGTTTTGAATGTCTGTTTTCGTATGTCTGTTTGTCTGTTTTTTTGAATGTCTGTTTGTCTGTTTGTCTATGTCTGTTTTTGTATGTCTGTTTTTGTACGTCTGTTTGTCTGTTTGTCTGTTTTTCTATGTCTGTTTTTGAATGTCTGTTTGTCTGTTTTTGTATGTCTGTTTGTCTGTCTGTTTTTGTATGTCTGTTTGTCTGTTTTTGTACGTCTGTTTGTCTGTTTTTTTGAATGTCTGTTTGTCTGTTTTTGTATGTCTGTTTGTCTGTTTTTGAATGTCTGTTTGTCTGTTTTTCTATGTCTGTTTGTCTGTTTTTGTACGTCTGTTTGTCTGTTTTTGTACGTCTGTCTGTTTTTGTACGTCTGTTTGTCTGTTTTTTTGAATGTCTGTTTGTCTGTTTTTGTATGTCTGTTTGTCTGTTTTTGAATGTCTGTTTGTCTGTTTTTCTATGTCTGTTTGTCTGTTTTTGTACGTCTGTTTGTCTGTTTTTTTGAATGTCTGTTTGTCTGTTTTTGAATGTCTGTTTGTCTGTTTTTCTATGTCTGTTTGTCTGTTTTTGTACATCTGTTTGTCTGTTTTTGAATGTCTGTTTGTCTGTTTTTGTACGTCTGTTTGTCTGTTTTTTTGAATGTCTGTTTGTCTGTTTTTGTATGTCTGTTTGTCTGTTTTTGAATGTCTGTTTGTCTGTTTTTCTATGTCTGTTTGTCTGTTTTTGAATGTCTGTTTGTCTGTTTTTCTATGTCTGTTTGTCTGTTTTTTTGAATGTCTGTTTGTCTGTGTTTGTATGTCTGTTTGTCTGTTTGTCTGTTTTTCTATGTCTGTTTGTCTGTGTTTGTATGTTTGTATGTCTGTTTGTCTGTTTGTCTGTTTTTGAATGTCTGTTTGTCTGTTTTTCTATGTCTGTTTGTCTGTTTTTGTACGTCTGTCTGTTTTTTTGAATGTCTGTTTGTCTGTTTTTGTATGTCTGTTTGTCTGTTTTTGTACGTCTGTTTGTCTGTGTGTCTATTTGTCTGTGTGTCTGTTTCTTCTGTCTGTGTGGGATTTGTATTTACATTGTTACTCTCCCTATTTTTCTATAAAGTGAAGAATTGTTTACCTACTTTTGATACATGCTCTGATAGAATAACTGTATACTGTTGAAAGAACCCAATAAACAAAGGTAAAAAAATAAATATATATATATCACAGCAGTCATCATGATTAAGGGACGCCTCAGACTGGTTTAGATGTTATTTAAGGTCAATGATGGTCTGCTGTGTTCAGGTGCACCTAGACAACATCACCCTCATGCCCTCAGACACTCAGGGGATTAGAGCTGAAGACGTACCAAAGAACAAGTGTTTTAAAACAGTCCCATTGTGGGAAAAAATTGTATTTTGAGTTTTTAACTAATGCCTGACAGTCTTTTAAATCCTGTGTAGACCTGGGTTATCTCAAGGTCACAAGTTCATTATTTTGTGAGAGATTGTGTGGTAAATTATCGCAAGAAAACAAAAGCTACAATGTCTGCCTGTTTATTGAAGTGCAGTCTGATGCTCTGATTAATAAAGGGAAGTCCTTGATATCATTTAATTTGATTTAACTTGATTTGACATTGTTTAGCTTTTTAAATCTAAGTAATAATAATAATAATACATTTTATTTATAAAGGCACCTTTCAAGGCTCTCAAGGTCGCCGTAATAAATAAAACCTTTTTAACAAATCAATACGTTTCTGTGTCTGAGTTTCTGAGTAAACTTCAAATCAAATATCAATAGTACTCTCCAAAATGGAAAAGACTGGACAAGAAATATACATAATCTTATATCCTTAAAATTATTGTTAAAGCTCCGGACATTTAAGACATTTCCACTGCTTGAAAAAGAAAGTAAAATTTATTGATCTAAGGATACACTGACAGATCTAGCTGGTTCAGGTTGAAGTATTCAAAATGAGGACAGACACATGAAGAAATAAGTCCTTAAAAGGTCTCCTATTATACTGTTTTTCATCAATATATTATAGTTCTCAGATATATACAAATCATGTCTCTGAAGTGTTTGGCTCCAAATACCAAACAGATCATTGCAGCATCCCATAATCCCCTCTGTTTCAGCCCTGTTTCAAAAGTGCTGATTCTGTGTCTGTTACTTTAGATGAAAATAAGGAGCCCCTCCCCACGCCCCTCTGAGAGATATTTGGTTAAAAAGAACACAATAGTGCTCTAGGAGGAGATTCAGGTGATAAGGTGTGTGGGGGGGGGGGGGGGTACCTTGGTTGGTGATTGGCTAATGGTTACTCAAGCCAACACATCGTTATGACATCATAAAGTGGCCAAAATCTGATCAGCTCATTTTCAGACAGGTTTTTATATAAATGGATCAGGACAAAAAGAGAGAGAATCTTTGTTCCTGAAACTTTCAGAGTCTCTTTACGCAGAGGGGACACATGTTTATGTATGAAAGACATGAAAAAGTGCATTTTGCACAATAGGTGACCTTTAAGATGTGAACTCGTTACCTTTGGGGATGTAGGAGGAGGAGGCGCTTTGTGAAGCTGATGCTGCCGCCATCATCCAGGCGGGTAAAACTCTTCTCCTGGTTACAGACGGAGAGACGACATTTAGTTTGCCTTCTTCTTCTTTTGGTTGTGCAGAATCTACCTTTATAGAGGGAAAACAGAAAGCACTTAACATCAGTGAACTGTGGGTTTATCATCAGAGACTGAAATCTGTAATTAAAGATTACCTAGCTAAATGTGATTCCTTCTTTCCACACAAATGATCTTTATCTGAGTGCAGTACCGAGCTTTGGTCTGTCATTATAAACAATGTGACCTGCAGACAGAGACATTTATCATTTTAACCGGTAAAAGCCAGTTAGTCTCAGTTTAAGACAAGTAGAAATAGAAATAGAGAGCAGAGATGACAGATGTTGTTAGCGTCACAGTTAATCCATGTATTTTGACAACCTCAGTGTCTGAACTCTTTTAAGATATTATAATAAAACTGTTTTTGTGCCGCTATGAGCATTTCTAGTTGAACATCTTGGAACTTTTCAGAAATCCCTGGTTATTTCACTCTAGGAAATGGAGGAGAATTTTGTTTTGGCCGTGGTTGTCTATCATTTTCCTCTAAGTGTTGTTCTTTCATCCCCACAACACAACACAACACAGCGACTACATGTTGTGGTTTTGACAAAATAAAAAGGCTGTTTTATTATTCCCTCTCCTTCAGATACTGTTATTGGTATATTTTAGGATCTAGATGTCTCTCTCTCCCCCTCACTTTCAGAAACCATTTGCTCATACTCTCTATTAGCTAGATGTTTTATTCAATTAAAATGTAAGAAATGTAACCGTTCATCAAAAAAGCAATTGATCAAAGACTTGATGAGGAACATCTAACAGTTGCACCCTAACTGATTCATTAAGGACAGGGTTCATACACTTTTTCACCAATGATTTTCAATGACTTTTCCATGACTTCTCCATGACCTTTACCTAATTTTCCATGACCAAAAAAATACTCTTTCTCAGCGGTACCACTGAAAATGGTTTATTTTAACATGGAACAGGAAAATAAGGTCTGAAACATGTTGTGCCTATCTAAAACAAATCAAATAGGCTTACGAGCTTCTACACGCTAAAGCAACTAAAATCTCTCACCAGCAAAATACCTCGTCAGTTCAATGCCATTTTACGTTTCATTACTATACGATACAGTATGTATTATCATTATAGTATTACTATTTCGGCGATTAGCTAAAATATAAATTATATTTGATGCAACTTTAGTTACATTTCCATGACTTTTCCAAAACATTGGGAAAAATATTGTTTTCCATAACTTTTCCAGGGCCTGGAATTAGCATTTCGAATTTCCATGACTTTTCCAGGTTTTTAATGACCGTAAGAACCCTGTAAGGAATATAAAGCAAACCTGGGACCTGTTTGTTTACTTCTGGAACATGATTTTAATATATTTATTGGCTATAATTGAAATTATTTTTTGTTCCGTTCCAATTCTACTTGTTTTCCTTACATATACTTACCTTGAGATGGTAGCATATGTTCATGTCTTGTCTGACAAATGGTATAACATCTCTATAAATTAAGCATTAAAAAAATATAGACAATTTCTAAACTTCCTGTTCTGCTGATAAAGACTTTGATGCGATTTGAACAAACCTTTGTTAAACTTCTTTTGTCGACTTCCTGCTGTTCTGACGGAGCTGTTGGTGTCGACTCCTCCTGAGGAAGAGACTGTCCAGCAGCAGGAGGAGGTTCAACATCTGGCTCAGGAGAAACAACAAGCTCTTCTTCTTCTTCTTTTTCTGCTTCTTCGAACATCTGACTGTTTCTACGGGAAGAAAACAATAATTTAAATCAAACATTCATCCTCATGTTTGTGAATGTAACAATCTGAATTAATGACACTAAGGAGACTAGTTTAAAGAGTCCCTACTTTGCTTCATGGGGGTTTTCCTTTTTCCTTCCTGTAGTGTGTTATATAGGTTTTTCTGCATGTAAATGCTCTGCAAAGGCTAAGTTTCTCTCCCCTCCCCCCCTGCCTGAAACACCTCCATTGGACTCCTCTGTTTACTTCAGGAACAAAGTGACATCAATTTGTAACACTTGCGCTTCTATTGGCTAGCGCTCCAACACATTGTACGTCATAGGCTAAGGGGCAGGACATCACTAAGCGGTTGACCAATCACAACAGAGCCGGCCAGCTAACCAATCAGAGCAGACTGGGTTTGGGTTTCAGACAAAGTTACCTTATATAACCTTTGGTACCACTTTACAATAAGACTACCCTTATAAAGGATTCATAAAGGGTTTATAATTAGGTTATTAATTAGGTTGTAAAGACTTTATTAATCATTAAGAACCATTTATAGTTTTCATACATCAACACAGGCTCACTATTTGACAAGATGACTAAGCCTTATATTGGCTACTTAGCGAGAATCAACTCAGTGAGCAACAGATACCAAGGATGCTGGCTGATGAAGGAGACGAAGTAAGCTAGGTAGCCAATATAAGATTTAGCAGTACAGATACATGTGGGCTCACTATTTGGCAAGCAACCGGTCACAGTTGCCCTGTTTATCTCATGTCTTATAAAAGCTTATTAAGGATTTATAAAATGTTCACAACCTAATTAATAAATGAATTACAAACTATTCGTAAGCCCTTTATAAGGGTAGTCTTATTGTAAAGTGGTACCTAACCTTTACACATTGAGGTGCTGTATATATGTGTGCGTTTGTGTAAAAGTGTGTGTTAATGTCTCCTGGAGAGAGGGTTGGTTTTGTTTTGTCATTTTTTTTTAAATATACACAGTATATGTTGTAAATGTATCTCAGTATGTACTTCTTGTCTCAGCTGTCAAATAAAAATCAATAAGCTGGTTTGTGGCCAATTCAATGACATTCAGCCTGATCAATTAAGCTTGAAGTCCACTTTAAAAACAAAGAGAGATTTTCTTGAGAAAAAGGACGATGTGAAATGAAAGCCTTAATGCTGTTGCTCTGAAACCACCTTCAGTTTCTCATGAATTTAAGATGAGGTTGGTCTGAACAGCGCTGACATCTTCTGGAGTGTCTTCTTCCTGTGTGTTTGATCTAAACTTCAAACAGGGATCTTCAGGACAACATGAGGGAAGGTACCTCATAGATAAAAGATTACAGAAGCTCAAAGACTGCATGAATCAATCTTCTCCTTAATGCTGGGCTTTAATTTGAGTCAACACAAAACACTTGAACTGAACCCCACTCTCTCTGCTGTGCAAAGATAAAAGATAAGACTGTAATCAAGCAGTGAAGAGCAGCCTCCTCCGTCTCCATTTAATTACCCACGAAGTCGGGGAAATCGCAGTAAACAAGATTCATCTCTTGATGTTGAAACACAGTGTTAACATGGAGAGGAGCGTGTTTCAGATGTTTAAGTACCTGGGAGTGCGGTCTCCTCCGCCCACGGCCACCACCCTGTAGATAAACTGACCCGGCATCAGCGAGAATAAATCTCCATCCTGAAGAGGGAACCAGACGTCTCTCTGCAGAGGGCGAGGGTCGTCCGACAGCAACGACTGAACGAAGCACGGGTTCAGGTGGGTCTGAGGGGGGAAAACAGTGAGAGGATGAACCAATGAACTCCAGCAGGTTTTGTATCTAAACTAAAACTATTTGAAGGTGAGGAAAGTTAAAATGATGCTTTTGGGGTTTTCCCTTTCCTGTAGTGTGTTATATTATATAGGTTTCTCTCCCACACACTCCCCCCACTGCCTCCATTGGGCTCATTTGTTTACTTCTGTAACATCACTATGCAACACTCAAGCTCATATTGGCTAGCGCTCGAACACATTGTACGTGATAGGCTAAGGGGCGGGACATCTTTAAGACGTTGACCAATCATAACAGATCCCGCCAGCTAACCAATCAGAGCAGACTGGGCTCTGGTTTCAGACAGAGGGTGAAAAGAGGTGCTGCAGCACAGGCAGTATGAGAAAAATAAAGAGCTTTTTGGACATTAAAGCATGGAGACATGTCTCAGGAGAGACACTTTCAGCTGATCAGGCTTTTAAATATCTCAAAGAAAGTTACAATAGTTGCCTCTCTGTTGCACCTATGTTAGAACATGTAAAACAAACCTGATGAACTGAAATTCATCTGTATAAGAAAATGTATTTAATATAACTAACTACCAAAAATAATGCTCTGTGGAGAATAGTTTTTTTTTCCAGCTTGGGATCAAAAGATCTAATTTATTGATCGACTGATTTCCCCATCACAATTAGAAAACATCTGAAGTGTTGTGACTGTTGAGTGATAGTTATTCAACTCACAATTTGAGACGTGTTGACAGCCTCTTAAAGTCAATTCAGGAAATGATAATTAGAAGATGTCGGTGGGATATAACGCTGAATAATCTTTTCTAAACAGACCTCGAGGTGAACTCGAACGAATCAATACTTCCTCCTGGTACAAATCTGAGCGTTGAATTTATTTAATGGAAAAAGACACAAAGGCATGTGTTTACAGCAAATAAGTGGCAAACTTTTCAGCAGTCATTGACAGCCATTACTGCTGAAACACAAAGTTCCTCTTTATGGCAGGGACAGTAATCTTCCTTCCATTACAGGGAAGACAGAAAGCAAGTGAAGTGCATTCAGAGGGTGTTTCTCAATCGCGAGTAAAGCTGCTTCAGAGCCACTATTTCAAGCATACTACGTCATCGAGTGCCGCCGAAGTACTGTTCCAATCTCCAGCATACTTGGAAATCTACCGAGCCCGGCGTACTCCGTTTGGAGAAATATCGAGGCTGCACATGAGTAGACTCCGCGGTCTTAAAATCCCCACAATGCTTTGCGCACGGACCAATTTCCCCAAATCTGTGGCGGAAGATGTAAGGCGGGGCCTCTCATATGACGCACACCTGCACACTTGCTAGCCTGTTCCACTCTTCGTTTTCCGAATGCCAGGAAGTATTCTTGACTCGCTTCTGAAGCAAGATGCTCGGCAGGCATGTGCTACCAAGCAAGCGTACTCGCGATTGAGAAACACCCTGTGTGTGTTTATTTCCTTGAATGAATCGGCAAAATGTGGTCCTTCCTCTAGATCTATCTTCCAGATGAAAACCTGTTAATTCTTTTAAGAAAGAAATATGGGAACTTAATCCTAGAAACACCATAGAGTAATAATAATAATGCAATCCAATACAACACCACCAGAAATGAGTGCTAAACAGAAGGAAATGTTGTCACCTGAAGTAATATTTGTTGAAAAAAGGATAGTTAAAAATAATAGCCAAATGGTTTTGTTGTCATTCAAAACTGCAGAGACGGTTCTCAGCCTCTCAAATATGGAGATTTCCTGCTTTTCTCTTTTTTATATAATTATTAAATATTATTTTCTGCATCTTAAGACTTCACTTTGTTCTTTGAGAAACTGCTATGGGAGTTATCCAGCATTTTCGGACATTTTGTCAACCAAATTAAATTGAATAATCGACAGATCAATGGATAATTAAAAATATCATTAGTTGTCGCCCTATAGTGTCCTTACATGCATTGCTAGTTTTATATAGTCAGTATTTCTCGGAGGGCATCAGTCTTAGAAAGCGCAGATTTCAGATTACTCTAAACATTATCTGTAGTGTTTCACATGTTTGCATTAGGCAGCCATTAAAGAAACTGATCTCACACAATAACATTGATTATAAAACACTCAAATGACACGAAGTGGGGATTTCTGCGACATTAACAGAATTGATATTAAAAAAACTAAGCTTTTGTAATAAGGGTCACCATTGAACTACAAGTGAAACGAGTGAAACAGGCAGAAGCAGTGGTGTGTTTCATTGTTGTTATTGATTATTTTTAGTGCGAAGACGTACCGGTTTGAGGCGCAGCTGTCCGTTCAGGTTCTCTAGCAGCCCGTGAAGTCTGGAGACTCTCTTATCACTGACCTGAGACGACACAAAATAAATTAAACAGGAGAAGCTTCAGTACAAAATGATTTAGATATGTTTAAATAAACTATATAGGCCACTATAGTAATTTCAGTAATTTCACCTGTATTTTATAAAAAGAACACCTGAGTGATGGTACCCAGAGGATGAATCATATAAAGTTTGGTAAGTGTGTGTGTTTTTACTACCTAGAGTTACTAAAAGACTAGTATAAAAGGTAAAACTTCAACATTCATGCCATAAATAAAGTATTAATATACGTGGATTTTTGATTCATTTAATTTATTTACAGATTTTCCATTTGTTTTTCTATTTATAACAAAACATCCCTCCTTGTATGTAGTGGAAGTGAAATCAGGCCATGTTTAAATTTGAGAGACACAGGTGAACAAAGAAAAGCAATAAAAACATGCTGGGAAATCTGTCCTTTTTGTGATAGCTGTGATCAAATCAGGGCTACAACGACTATGTTGTACCGGATCAGAAATTACACCTCCATGTTCCAGTGTGACAGAGTCCTCCAGTGGTTCAGAGGAACACCTGCAGCTCAGCTATGACAGGTTCCTTAGTTTGACTCTTTAGGAGCATATTTAGATATTTATTTAAAATCTCACCAGTTAGCCTGATTACAGAAATTACAAATGCTACTGCTGAGTGCAAAAGAAGTCGAAAAAAGTTGCAAATTCCCACTATACTACTAAATACAATAGACCATTATAGGTTTGTTCTCATTATTTAATGAACAAACACAAACACAATAGTCGCTGATTTATTTGCTGTCAATCAACTAATAGATTTATGGTTTCAGCTGTATTAACCTGTATGTTTGCAGGAATCTAAGATTGTAAATTAACCATAGCTATCAGAAAAATCTAGTGGAGTCGCATTCATATTTGCACTCTGAAATGTAGTAGAGTAGAAAGTGGCAAGAAAAGGAATAACTAAAGTAAAGAACAAACTATTCACTATTCTATTTTAGTACTTCCCACTACATCCCACTAACAAATGTACAGCAATGTTTTAAATGGGCATTCAGTCACGCTATTAAACTAGCAAAGAGTATTAATAAGACAAGTTGAAAGCAGGAATATTGGTCAGTATTTGCAGAGTTGATAAGCAGTTTTCTCTTTGACTTGAAGCTACTGAAACTTAATATTGAATGTCAATTTTACCAATTTATGGGTGATATATAACTAGGCCTACCACAAGTGTCTGTTTATAGTCTGTTGTGTAAATGTTTTTACTACAGTTAAAATAACACACTGCATTTACTGCAATATGTATTAATGTGCACTGTTAAGAGTACTGCAAGTATCCAAACCAAGCTAAAACAAAAGTATTATTGCCTATGTGAGTCGCTTTGGGTAACTAACATTTAGTTAACATTAAGCTGTCTTTGGCTCTTTTCTGCTGTAACAAATGTACATTTCCCCTCTGTGGGACGAATAAATGTATTCTGATTCTGAAAAAGCGTCAAATAAGTAACATCAACATGTAATGTAATACAATTAAATACATAAAAAGGACTCACTCCCAGTAAGGGCCCCCTGCCCAGCACCATTTCCCCCGGAGGAAGGTGGATTGGTTCCCCGCTGCCACCGTCAACCGTGAGCAGGTCGAAGCCAGACATCTGCACCGCTGGCCGGGTACCGGAGGGAGCTTCACCCCAGTTCACTGGAGCCACTGGTTGATAACACATAAGTAAACAACAAACAACCATTTAGTTCAGGGGGTTTTGAAAAGCTACAGAGGACTACAGTAATAGTGGAAGTAAACAGCTTCTAAAACTTGTGTTTTCATTCAGTTGCATGGACTGTGGTCTGCTAAGGTCTCAACAAGCCATGCAGTAATACGTTTTTACTTCTGCCTACCTGTTGTGAAGGAAAACAGGATAGTTATTTGTCACGCAGGATAAAAAAACACAATCAAACCGACAGCACAGAAAGCATTTACAACTCTAGCTCATGGATGTATAATGCTCTAGCTGCAAGATTAAAAACTTCCGGGATTCTGAGGAGTCTGCGCAGTAGACCTCTGTCTTTTGGATTTCTGCACACACTTGAACCGAACTCCTTACATATTTTATCCCATTTAAAATGTTATCATTCACTTGCGAATTATTTGTGCATTTTAAAAGTAAAAAAAAGACGGTTTATCAATAATAAATACAACTATTTAATTCGGCATACATTTAACAGACATTACATTCTTGTATTGATGAATATTTCAACTTATTCATTTGGTTCACACTTCTTCCTCTCCACTTGTGGTCATCGTGTAGCCTACTGGATTTGAATAGCTAGATATTAGGACAGAATAGAAAGAAATAAGGAGCTTTTTTCCGCCATATTATTGTGTAGTAAATGTATTCCCAACATGTTTCACCGAATAACATTGTTTTGAATTATTTCAATAAAGAACGAGGATTTTCTGTATTTAAGACGTGAGAATCAAATTATAAATTACGATTTGTATAAACTAAACTTACGCAATGTATATAAAATGTACGCCGAATTAAAGATTGATATTTACTTGTTGATAAACCATCTTTTAATTTATTTTCTAAACATGAATAATTCGTCAATAAACAACAACATGTTAAATTGTATAGATTCAGGACGGAGTCTGGTGAATGTATGACCCTTTATACGCATGCGCACTTCATCAAAACACACTAGTGACGTGTGTCTGTGTGTAAACAACCGTTGAGGCATTTAAACAGTCAGCTGTCACCGAGGCACGGAGCGACCACACTGCCGGTAAGAAAACAACAAACAAAACCTCATCGTGTTGTAGTAAAATAGTCTGACTGGCTTTTATATCTGCATTTCTTGTAAAAATCACTAAGGATTTGGCCTGAAAACTGCGAGGGTTTTTCAGTCGATCTTAGCTAGGCTAGCTAATGTTAGCAGGGACGTCAACGTTACTCCGGTGAGCAAGAGTAAAATCTGATTGAAAATTCACACTTTTATGCAGAAATTAAAGCTTTCTTCATCCGCAAACCCAACAGGTAAACACATGGTCGTAATTTAAACGGATTGCTGTTATTTTGTTCTGTTTAATGGCCTAGAAATGGTTAAATCTGGGTTGTGTTTAAGGGCAGAGATTTGTGTGTAGGTTGCCATCCCAAAGCCTAAATATCACCTATTTTTGGGTTATAGAAAACTGCATTTATATCATGCCTGTTTACTTTTCAGCATTATCTGTTTACTTTTGTCATGTTTTCAATTTGCATCTTGTTCTCACCTGTTCATATTCCTGGCTTTATGCACATTTAATTAGAATATGTATATTGTTGTGTTTACTTGCAGTATATATATTTGCATCTTTGTACTGCAACTGCTGCACAACCATTTTCTTGAGTGTTTATTCATAAGGGGAACATTGACAATATGAAACATAAACTCTACCATTTAGTGTATTTTACCAGACTTAGCTGATATTTTTTTATGACAATAAAATGAGATAAAATACATACAAGAGAGTAAAAACAATAAAATAAAATACCATAAAATGTAGGACTCAGGAGGACAAACATAGGACAATCTATTTATTAAATCCAGGCTTTATTCAAAAGGATAGTCTTCAACAAGCTCTTGACACTGTCTGCCTTCCTAATAAACACAGGAAGTTGTTTCCAGAGCAAGGGGAGCTTGTTAACTGAAAGCACTGACTCCTGATCTGGTTTTCCGGACTCTAGGAATTACTAAAAAGACCTGCACTCAATGGTTACAGAGCTGAATCAGTGTAAGCAGGGTTTTCAACTTTACTGTAAAGCTACTGATAGAACTACATTGTTTTATGTGCTATTGTAGGGCATACTACTGTTATATTTGACCTGTGAATAACTGCCACATGTGACTGTTCATAGTCTGTTGGTGTACATGTTTTAATTTACTTAAATTGTACTTAAAATTATGAAACAGTGAGTGTCTCTGTATTTTTACTATGCACTGGTTTTTGGCAAATGCTATGCTTCTGTAACTGAAAAGACCAACATGTATTTATTTTCTACAACTGAATAGAGGATGGAGATTCAGCTACAATGGCAGATGTTGCTTTTTAGAATTTAATAACATATACATCGCAAAATATGATCCAAAGTATTTCTTTATTTGCAGGAAAAACTCTTGCTCAATGAAATACAATATATGCTACAAAATTCCCCAAGACAATTGAATAGGAATGTCCTCTTTCCTTATATCTTCAAAGTGCCGCCTGTTGGATTAAAAAATAATCCTGAAGCGTTCACATTGTAATGAAGCTGTAATCAGTGACGTCAGCTTGGATAAACTACCATCTTATATCTGCTCCCTGATCTCTCGGCGAATTGAAAGTAGTTATTGCCTGAGATCGCATGCTGTGGTTTTATTAAATGTGCCAAGTGCTAGGACTGTTTTAGGGAAGAAAGCTTTTAGATGTGCAGCTCCACTAACTTGGAACAGTCTGCAAAAAGAATGGAAAATTACCAATCTGGTACCACTACATGTTTTTAAAGCTCGGTTGGATGCTACACAATCAGATGCTGTTGGTACCTGTACATGTGGATAGATATGTCAATTGTAATCCCTGTAATGTTTGCTGTATGATGTCCTTTTGTTGTTCTGTTGTTTATGTTTTTATGTCTTCATGTGGAACCTACTGCTGCAGGTCTCCCTTGAAAAAGAGATAAATGATCTCAATGGGATTTCACCTGGATAAATAAAGGTTTTGAATTGAATTGAATTAATCCCTCTGTTTTCCAGGCGGTTTCAGACAGTTGGACTCTGAGCTATCATGCATCATGACCCGACTTCGCCCGTGTTTCTCTGCTCTAAAAGAAGAGCCTCCCTCATGTCCACCTGCGACGTCCCTCCACAAAACTTTGCAGAGACGCTACCGACGGAGATGAGCGAGAGGATCTTTGGCGAGCTGGACACTGAGAGTCTGTGCAGCGCGGCGCTGACCTGCAGGCTGTGGCACGACATCATCGAGGAGAGCGAGCAGGTGTGGAGGGATCAGTGTTCGCTGGTCAGAGCCATCTGCCAGAGGGAGGTGGACAGCGACAGGAGGGATGGACTGTCCTGGAAGGTGGGTCCACTATAGAAACAAAACAAAGAAACCATGAAGAAACAGGTCAGTAGAAGCATATAGGGAAAAAGGGAGAGCTGTACATTTCAAGACAAGAAAGAAAATCAATGGTTGCACAAATGCAGTCATTAAATACTCAAAAAAGGCTTGGAGTTACATGAATAGCTACTATTTTATTATATATTTTAATTTACATTTTACTTTATCTTCTTATCTTTATCTCCAGAATTCGGATTATGTTCATAAAAATATATTTTTTGTATATTTATTTTTTCTTTGTTTTGCACATTATCACTTTAACCTCTTACAGTGTGTCTGTATTAATATTTTTCTTTAAATACATATTCTTATTTTTATTGAATTCTAAAATGGAGCAACTGTCAAGAAACCACATTTCCCCAAGTATAAATAAAGTTTCCTGATTCTGAATAACAGTGCAGATCTCTGAGTCCTCCAGTCGAAAATCAGCAGAAGAAAACTGAACAAATGTAGTACAATCAGATTTATTGTTGGAAATATGAACACAGCTGCACATGTCCGTTCACCACAGCGACACAAAACATTTGATTTCATGTTTGTTTTGTTTTTGTATACGTCTTTTTATTTCATTATAGTGTACAATAATCGATCCCATTTCATTTACATTGTAGTATAACAGTACACTCATTCCACTCCCCACTCCCTCCCTCCATGCCCACACAGGCAAAACCAAACCAATGCTTATCAAGATAACTTAAACAACAGAGCCATGAAAAGAAACATAGAAAAGAAAAGAAAAGAAAAAAAAAAAAAAAACATCAAAATAAAACAGACAAATAATTATACAATACAGCGACAATCGGCGCTTTCAGACCGGAATACTTTTCCCGTTTGGTTCCGATAGTTCCTGGGATTTTGTGTTCACACCAAAAAGAGAACTTAGTTCATGAGAACTTTCACCCCCTTTTTAGTCCCTGCTAGAGAGGTGGTACTTTCCTGGGGAGAAAAAAGAGGAGGTTGAAGCTTCTTTTGTATTTGTATTTTAACTTTATTTAACCAGGATAGGTCTCATTGAGATTACAAATCTATTTTTCAAGAGAGTCCGAGAGAGTCCGAGAGACAGTTACAGACCATTTTAAAACACACAATCACAACACAGTCATCCAACAGTTAGCCAAAGCATTTACAGACACAGCAGCTTCTTCAAGGTCAGTTAGAGTCGCTTTGAGTCTGTTTAATGAGACAGACTCTCTGAGTTTCAGCACAATTTGAAACTGGTTCCACGCCACAGGAACAGCGTAACTGAACGCTCTCTTCCCCAGTTCAGTACGGACTTTTGGTACAGTTAGAAGAAAAAAGTCATCGGAGCGAAGCCGATAAGATCCTGTGCATTCTTTGATCCTCTGACTGTGTCCCTCTCGTTTCTGCAGGTCACTCTGGTGAAGAACTACACGCGCAGCTGTCTGAAGAGAGACTGGCTGAGGGGACGGTTCAGCCATGTGCGCTCTGCAGAGGAGCTGAGAGGCAGGAAGATGACCCCTCTGGACGCTGAGACCTGGGGAGAGATCCTGCAGGCCGAGCTGGACAGATGACCGACAGAAGACTCCACATCCAGTATTATTTTTTTAAAGCACCTCTGGCACTTTTGAGAGCCTGATTTCTAACTCTAATATATTTGATAGTTTTGTGTTTTATGCAAATACACAAAAAATGTAAATAATTTTATTTTTGTTGTACTTTTTTTAAGAAAAAAAGGATCATGGGGAAAATGAAACATTGACATCAGAGGGTCAAATGATTTGATACAATTAAGCTGTTTCAATCCTGTGATGTAAAAATGACTGAGATGCAATAAATTAAATGTTTGCAATTAGCTGAAGTAAAGTTTAATTTTTTTTTTCTTGTGTCGTTTAACACAGACTGAGATGCAATAAATTACAAAACTCCTAGCTAAAGTTGAATTTTGATGTTCGATGAAAATGTTTTCGCTTTGTCATTTTACATATTTATGAGAAGAACAAAGACACAGAATAGGGTAAAAGGATGAATAGTAGGAAAAGGCAACTCACGGAAAAAGCAAAAGGGGGATATAAATATACAATCTATTATATATTATAATGAGCAAAAGCCCTCGTTACATCCCGTATTGATTATTGCAACTCCATCCTCTCTGGTCTTCCTCACAAATCTCTGCGTAAGCTCCAACTGGTCCAAACCTCAGCCGCCCGTATCATCACCAGAACTCCATCCATTGATCATATCACTCCGGTTCTTCAACAACTCCATTGGCTGCTCGTTAAATACCGCATCGACTTCAACATTTTGCTCCTCACCTTCAAGGCCCTTCACACTCTTGCACCTGCATATCTCTCTGAACTCCTTCACACCTACACTCCCTCTCGTGCTCTCCGATCCTCCTCTGCCTTCCAACTCACTGGGTGTTTCTCAATGTCGAGGACGCTTCCTTGGTAGGACAAGTCCCTCCGAGTCAGGTCCTTCAGAAGCGATGCAAGAATCCTTCCTAGCCTCGGAAAATGAAGAATTGTGGAACAGGTGTGCAGGTGTGCGTCATATGCGAGGCCCCGCCTTAAATGGAGCGTGATTTCCGCCAAAGATTTGGAAATTGGTCCGTGCGCAAAGCATTGTGGGGATTTTAAGACCGCGGAGGATACACATGTGCAGCCTCGAAATTTCCCGCAACGAAGGACGCCGGCCTCGGTAGAATTCCAAGCATCCTGGACATTGGAACAGTCCTTCGGCGGGACTCGATGACGTAGCATCCTTGAAATAGTGGCTCTGGAGCAGCCTTCCTCGAAACACCCACTGTACCTTCTGCCCGCCTGACCACCATGGGGTCAAGAGCCTTCAGCCACTCTGCCCCCCGTCTCTTGAACTCTCTCCCGCAAGACATCCGCAATATGGACTCACTCTCAACCTTCAAATCCTGCCTGAAAACCCACCTTTTTAAACTGGCGTATTCAAGATCATAATTCCTCTAAAAACTGATTGTTGTTTTTAAGTCTTTGTTTTTTAAGTCTCGAATGACTGTTTGACCTTCTTTGTTGCTTGTTTTTAATTATGCTCTGTAAGGTGTCCTTGAGAGCTTTGAAAGGCGCCCATAAATAAAAAACTAACAAATATATTTTGTACATTTACATTAATAATTTTAGACTAAATGCACTTGATTATTCAATATAAGGGCTACAAGAAATTGTGATTTCTTTTATTCTGGCACTTATTTGGGTTTGATTAAACGTATTGGAAATTGAGTCTAAAACAACACATTTGCTGCACAATGTCCTAGGTATATTTGATTAATTTTGATATGAGACAAGGAAAAAGAGAACATTATCTCCTAGCCTTAATCAAAATATGTGCATATATATATGTTTCTTTATTTTTATTAACAAATAGTTGCACTATCATTTTCATTGAAATATACAAACGTGCATATTCATGCTTTTGTCAATTGCTAAAGAAATATATTTGATTGTTGGGTTCAGCATTTGGTAATTACAATGGCAATTTTTTAAATACAATTAAGAAATAATTCATTTGAGTTGCACTTGCATCACATGACTCTGGCCTTCAGACTTTTATTTTGAAAGACACAACCGGAAGTCCCTTAGTGCCCTGCTTGACTGTGGTCCTCCTCAGCATCACTGCATCTTCCTCCGTCTGCTCCCCCAACACCGAGCGCTGACCCCGTTAGAGACCCTCTGAACCCGGGATAATGGACGGTGTTCCCCCGATCGTCGACATCGCCATCTCGCTGCGGATCCAGCCCAACGACGGGCCCGTGTTCTTCAAGGTGGACGGGACCCGCTTCGGCCAGAACCGGACCATCAAACTGCTGACAGGATCCAAATACAAGATCGAGGTGGTGCTGAAGCCTGGAACCGTCGAGGCCATGTAAGTGGAAATGCAATTTAAACCACTTTTTATTATTAATTTCGTCATTCTAGGGTCAGATATTGCGGTTTATCTGCAACAGGAGGCAACAGAGTGGTCCCTTTATTCAATAAAATAAGAATTCAAATGGTAAAACGCCCATTACACAATGCATTGCACTTAAAGAATGCTTAGAAATACAAAATTAAGCAGTAATATCCGGGCATGTTAGTGGCTCCGTGGCCTTCCTCCTGCAGGCCTGTTGCATCACATTTCCTCCTGAATGAATCATGATGTTTTCTTCTGTATCGCTGGTGGCGACATGAAGCCTCGTCGCTCTCTGATGTGCAAACACTAACAGCTCATGTCGGCTGTGTGTTGTTGGATTAGATAAAGAGGAATGAGTGTGTGCAGCAGGGCGGGGTCCACATGATCAAACAATGGGAGGGACCTATGTGAAGGTGACTCATTAATATGTACAATAACAAAGATACTGTACATGTAAAATAGGAATATCAGAGGACCTAAGGGGCCTACGGGAGAATTAGGATCTGCTCCCCATACTGATAATGCATTGTTATTAATAGACTGAGCTGACATGTATTATACCCAGTGATTAACCTAAGTAGATTTACTCAATTACTGTTCTTAAGTACAATTTTGAGGGACTTGTACTTTATAAATAGATATATATTTGTATATACAGTATATGGTCACGACTCACGACAGAACAACCTAAATAAATAACTGTATATACAAAAACCTTTTTTCACACAACACAGTCCCAGAGCCTGCATACCTAAGATGTGCAAATTGAAATGGTTGCAATTTAGAAAAGGTGATTACAGTAGCTGTATAAAGGTCTAAATATATGCCACAAATTAGTTTTAGTTCAAAGGTTTTAGGGTAGTTGTTTGTGAGCAATGGTACATTTCTGTCTTTAAAAAGTTGACTAAAATCAACTAAATGCATAAGTTTAGTCTCTGTGAGGCTTTGATTAAGATATGCTGATGGCATGCTGTATAGTACCACTAATATCTACACTTTTACTGTAGGATTATGTCAGCACAATGCAGAGTAAAACAATATCAGAGCCCCGCTGCAAACAGGCCGCGATATAGGGTTGTAAACATTTGACCTATCTTAGTTGATATGGTAATTAAATTGAGCAAATTCACTAAGGAAAAGCTGGAGAGATTAAAAAGACGTTATCTTTTTTTGACATTTCTGGAGACAGACAACACAATTGTTCCTTTTATATTCAAATAAGCATTGAATCCAACTCTCATTTTTGAGTCAGAAATGTCTGTTGTTTCTTTTTATCACACTGTTAAAACAAATGTTTACACAAGGCCTGTTATGTTTCGGAGGAGCACATTTTTCATTGCCATATCTACACTGTAGTGCAAATGAAAATAAAGCCTTGAATCTTTTACCTTTCTGTAACTATCTTATATATATATATCCTGTATTATGGTACTCTGGCATCAAGGTGACATTCTTGAATATTGTTATATTATTCTGCCCAGGTTGTTATTTTACAAAAAAAACAATAAAATAATGTTGAAAGAAATATATTTTGATGTCCAAAGTGACCTATAAAAGAAGTTATACCAAGCCACAACAGATCAAGGAGAAGAGTCAGCACTCAAGATCTGCGGGTGTCTTATCCCTAAAAGCTTGTAATATAATATCAAACTCCTCTCCTCTTCCTCCTCACAGCAACATGAACATCGGAGGCATTGTCTTCCCTCTGGAGGAGCAGTCACGGGACGAGGAGTCGGTGGTTTATCACGGAAAGTACGACACCGAGGGCGTCCCGCACACCAAGAGCGGAGACCGGCAACCCGTGCAAGTCGCTATGGAGGTTAGAAAACTGTCTCAGCGACATTTACCAGATATCAGAGGCTGTTTCCAGATGTGGAAGAAGTACTAAGTATCCTAGCTCATAGAAGAACACAGAAACACCCTTCTTATTTTCGGCATGTAGCACTCAGACAGGTTTGAATTATTTCTAGCTGCAGTCGCACTTTGATTGGTTTAGTTGAGCTAATGTACTTGAAGGGTTGTTGCTATGTTGAGTCTTGTTTTGATTGTTGATTACACATATTGTTAGTGAACATTTCAATACTACAGTGTATAAAGACTCAGTTAGGCCTATAAGTATATTCAAAATCAAGTAAAAGTACAAGCGTAGCCTATTAGCATCAAAAGCTAAAGCTGGATAGCCTACAGTACATCAGAGGTTTATCATAGTTTAATGCTTGATTTATGTTTTCAACCTAAATCCGTTTAATGGTTACTTTGACTTTTGGTACTTAACTACATTTTGGCGCTAATACTTCAGCACTTTAGTGAGATTTTTGAGTGCATCCCTTAGACTGGCAACAGGGTATTTTTACAGTTTATTATTTCTACATGAACTTACTGTCAGTAAAATATATGATTACTTCCACTGTGAATGCTGACCATGATCTCTGTTCCTGTCCAGTTTATCAAAGCCGGGACGTTTGAGACGGTCTGGCAGGCGAAGTACTACAACTACTACAAGAGGGAGCACTGCCAGTTCGGGAACAAATTCACCAGCATCGATTACGAGTGCAAGCCCAACGAGACGCGGACCCTCATGTGGATCAACAAGGAGTCCTTCAACTGAGTCTGCTCGTCCCCCCACAAACACACAGCAGAGGACCGGATACCTTCCAACATCAGCTTCACTATACAAGGACATGTCAGCGGGGGTATTTGTGTTGTTGGGACAAAATAGCTGTTTGCTATGCTATTCTTTGAAGGTTTTTTATGTTGTTTTGAAGCTGCGGCGGTGCTTTTTGGCAGCTTCACATGCCAGAAACAGGGTATAGTCTAGCTAACATTTAAACACCTATACAGTGACGTACATTAACTGCACACAGCGGGATCATGTCGGCCAACACGGCTGGTTTAAAATGTTTTATATCAAAGGAAGCAGGGAAGGGAAAAACCTTGGGAAAGATCTTAGCTTACAAATGCAGTTTTCTCTCGTTTATCTGTGTTTAATGTTCAAACCATCGTTTACTCTGTGTACAAATACTTCCTTTCAGTAACTAAACATCAAGAGCAGCATCACATGGAAAGTTACACATAGCGTTAAAGGAACAGTTGGACATTTTGTGAAATACGCTTGTTTTCCATCTCGTTTTAGAAGATATATAGACATTTAACCTCAGTTCTTCCAATACAGAGATAAGTCCAGGATGTGTTAGCTTAGCGTAGCTAAAATACTTTAGGCAGGGGGAAACCCTTTTCTTACCTCTATGTTAGATTATGTAGGATTCTAAGGACTTCACTGCAATGGTTTTTTCCTTACTTGCTTTTCATGCATGGGTTTCCCCCCCCCCCCATTAGGAGCAGAGTAGATTTGCAGAAATCTGTGAATTTCTGCCCAAAACTAACCTCTATTTAAATTCTTTAGACAACTGTCTCCATCTTGAACCACCGCTGTTGTCCTGTGGTTGATTAAACACAGAACCTGTATCTCTGGAGGCGTTCAAATATGTCAATCCTCTAATGTCATTCTGGAGAAGGAGGGAAGACAAAACCTTTTTATTATCCCAGAACTGATCCTTTAAGTGGAATTAAATAAGCCTTTAAATTATATGCAATACCCCCTGATAACTAAATATATCTCTAGCTGTGAAGGACCTAGTGATGGAAGACACCTGTAGGAGAAATAACTATTTTATCTTATTTATTAAATGTGTGGATGTGTCTGTGAGAAAGAAGATGTAATGTATGTGAGCGTGAACATCATTGTAATAGTTTTGACTTTTCTTATGTGTTATTTATTGTGTTATTTAATGGAAAAATCTGTTCAAACAAGGAGGTAGCATGAAGGGATGTTTCTTGTTCTTGTAGATAACTCGACAATTTCAGACATGTTCAGATTTTGCCAGCTGCAGAAAATGTGAGTTTTGAGGCAGAAAGCATTGAAAGTATCTAAAACCAATAAGCAGCAATCTGTTTCTGGTTGGTATGACTGATTTTTAACAACCACACAGGTACAAATCCGTCAAGAATAGGAAAAATAGACAGAAAATGAAAGTCAGGTTTTCCAAAAGAAGCTACATTTCTGTAGGAATTTGAAAAAACTCACAGACACAATGATATTTAACAGTTTGAGTGGATGATGGTGGATGCTTCCTTTAAATGATAAGGCTGGTGTTACTCTACATTTCAACAAATCCCATGAAAAGACCAAAACGTATCTTCTGATTTCCTGTCAGTCACTCTGAGCTCCAAGCTGATTGGTTCCTACCAACCTAACTAATTAGTTATTAACAAACAAACAAGAGGAAATGGTGCATTTATTGGGGACTATTTCAGTGGCAGATGAATCCACATTTGGTACTTTAGTGAGTATTTGTGGCAGCTGAACGGTGTGTGTGTATTGGCTCAAAATAAACGACAGTGTGTGTGTGTTCCTAATAAAGGAACATGTCACCAGGGCATCAGTGAGGCTCATTGATGTGTTTTAATAGCTTCTGAACAACAATGGAGCTCTATGGCACACAGGAAGAAGATATTTCAGGTTTTCGGCTCGTATTAGATAAAGGTCTATTCTTAGGATTTGTTGACAAAAATAAAAGTACAAGACTGAAACGTTAAGCCTTCAAACGCCTCCGTCCCTCCACCTGAAAGAGGACAAATTATTCTGTCTTTTATTTTCAAACAGGATGCTTATTGCAGGCTGCGAGTGCTTCTCTTTCTGAATCTCAATGTACCGCCAAGGACTCTCTGTCCTCTGTTCTCTCCTGAAGTGCATGGCTGGATTCATTTCTTTTGCCAAATATGATCTGTTTGTTTGTTTTTTGTTAAATGCATAAACCTTGCTGTTTTGTTATGTGTTAAAATGAGGAGTATAAAGTGTCTTTGTGAATAAAACAAAATACTGAATCAATGTCATTGTGCAGTAGCAGTTTTTATTACAATGTATTAGTGGTGGAGGAAGTAGTAGAACTAGTACTCAGATCCTAAAACAAAAGTACTGATACATAATTGTTAAAAGTCCTCATCTGAAAGTGTTACTTGAGTAAAAGCAAGTTAATTCAGTCAGGAAAATGAACCCAAAGTAAATAACTAAAGCTTGTTTTTATTAAGTAATGATTACTTTCATTAAGCACAAATCTGCAGATGTTATTCACCAATAATCCATTTATGTTTCGTTTGTAAAAATAAGGAAATTTGTAAAAATGCTGACACATTATCTCACAAACTTTAACATCATGTTTTATAAATAACAATAATTTACATTATTAAAATGAAAAACATCAACTCTTCATGTTAGTGGAACAGGAAACAGGAAATGTGTTTAAATGAAAAATGACTCAAATAATCCTAAAATAATAATTTAGTAATTGTTTCAGCTGTATTTGTATTTAATGTTAGTGTAATTGATCAAATAAACATAATATTCCATCATCATCGGGTTGGATGAAATAACGCATGTATTGTGGATCAGCGGCGGATCAATCCATAATATTCATATATTCAACTCTTTTTTATATAAATAAATTATATTGTAAATTAATTGAAGCTTTCAAATATAGCAAAAGTGTAAAGTGGCATTTAATGGAGATACCTAAGTAAAGAAAAAGTACCTCAGATTTGTCAGTATGGTAATTGAGTAAATGTAGTCAGATTCAATTAAAACATGTCAGAGGATCTCTCTCTCTGTTAGCTGTGGTTATGCTGCCTCACATTTAGTCATAATTCATATTTTGCGTGACATTGCAAAACATGGTTCGCATGCAACATTACAATCATGAACATACATATTAGTGTGAGATGAGATGCAGTGTATTGTGCTTCACATCCAAAGTGTTGTGCGCACTGTTGCTGTGTGTGCCTTTAAATCGAGGATGACTGTAAAAACAGAGGGATCACATTAACATTTATTCAAGTTTAAAAGATGATTGTGTTGTAATGAAAACATGATGATTGATGTTTGTTTTTATTACATCCTTGATGTTTCCTCTATGCAACGATGAGCTTCAGAGATTGAGAGAAGATGTGCTACCATTTTCCACCAAAGATTGTCTCCGTTTAAGGCAATGATTCACTCTGAGCAAAAACATATATATATATTTAGTATGAAAGTATGATTAGCTTAATGAAATATGTGGGGGGAACTTCTGAAGACAATTGGAGACAGCCAGGACTCAGAGAGACACGAGGAGAGCTGGAGCTTTGATGGCAAACACTGACGGTTTATTTGGAGCTTCGGCCGGAGAACTCACAAGACATGTCCCGGGCCACGATCTCACCACACGGTAGAGATGCCACAATCAATTCTGAAGACCCCTCCTGTAGCTCCAGGTTTTAACTAGTTCAGAGTGTAATAATCAACATTCTTCATTAGATAGACTAAACAGCTGAGGACACTGAATCACATTTGTTGTCGCTTATGGCTCTGGTCCAGGGGCGCCGCCAGGGATTTTGGGCCCCATGAAAAGATATCACATTGGTTACTTAAACATTTTTTTCTTAATGTCCTAAAATAGTTTGGGCCCCTGTCAGTCACGGGCCCTTAGAATCGTCCTAACTTTTCACCCCCTTACGGCGCCCCTGCTCGGGTCTTCTACACCCCGAGAAGGATGTGTTCCAGGTGTCCCACAACAATAACTATCTCTGACCGACAGTTGCCCGGTCACAAACTGGTAACAACAACAAAATGCTAGGGCAGCCCTTCCTTAAGGGAGATAGCGGCTGCTCAACGTTGGGCATCTGCGTCAGAGGGCGAAAGGTAAACATGTATACAGAATTATTCCCTGACAAAATATAAATATACTTATCGTTCAGTTAATGTATTTACAGTGTTTACTGTTATAAATGGTGTTTTTGGATTACTGCTGCATGTACATAGATGTTTAAGGTTGAGCTAATTTCATTTTTGTGATGATGGATTTTCAAGCAGATCCAAGAGGCTTTTTACAGAGTTTAGAATGAAAAGTAGGAACGTTAATAAATAAATGTTAATACAATAAAACACAAAGAAGTACACATTCAAGGCAGCAAAAGATAAGTTGCAGTAACATGGGGAAAATATGAAAAGTAATGAAGTAGCAGCCAGGTAACACTATAAATAGTAAAAGTATATATTGCAAAAGTGTTATTTTACAAAACGTAAGTAAAGGACAGGTGCCTCAAATTAAATGGCTACAATTTTTAAGTAGATTTACTGATGCACAGATATTTCCCTTATGGTTCAGAGTTTGTCATTATGTTATTTTATTTTAATATATTTATTCTTGTTTCATTATTTTCTATCTGTGTTTTTTTTAACGGTGTTCTGTCTTATGTGAAAGCACTATGTTTTGAAAGGTGCTATGCAAATAAAGTGTATTATTATTATTATTATTATTATGAATCAGAATCAAGTTCATTGACAGATATTTTACACATACAAGGAATTCACTTTGGTGCATGGTGGTGCAAACATAAACAATCTAACAAAAGTAAGTTGTAAAAGTAGGTCAAACATATAACGATAATAACAAGAAACAATTTTAAAGAAACTATTTAGCATAAAAGACCAATATTTATAGCAAATTGTAATTCAAATATATAAAGAACCTAAAAAACTAAAGCACTTCTTAGGACAATGAAAAGATGACTATATATGATACAATAGTGCTGTGCAGACGTGTGGAGAAATGTGCAAAGCATGAACATTATTATTATTAAGAATCAGAAGTGGAGTGATCCATCTCTAAATAGACGAGCTTTGGTTTGCACCTTCCTCCTCCTCTCTCCCTCTTCACTCTCCCCTTCTCTCTCTCTCTCTCTCTCTCTCTCTCTCTCTCTCTCTCTCTCTCTCTCTCTCTCTCTCTCTCTCTTATCTCTCTCTCTCTCAACCACTACCTCTCCTCTCTCTCTATCTCTCTCTCTCTAACAACTAACTATCTCTCTCTTTCTCTCTCTCTCTCTCTCTCTCTCTCTCTCTCTCTCTCTCTCTCTCTCTCTCTCTCTCTCTCTCTCTCTCTCCACCACTACCTCTCCTCTCTCTCCCCCTCTGCGGCTCTATCAGCTCGCGCTGCAGTGAATCTCTCCCCCGCTGTCAGAAACCGTAAAGTCAGACAGCCGGTGGTCGGTATCTCACTGTTAAAAGTCACAAATCTCGTCTTTTATCTGATTGCGTCGATCCGTTAACGGAGCTTTTAAATTACTCTCCAAGAAGCTTCAGACCCCCCTTGCGGCAAAATGGTAAGAAAAACCTGTTTTCAAATTAAAATGTCATTTTGTAAAAACAGATTCCCTTCCTTCGTCTGCCACTGTTAGCTTCAGAGCTAGCATACTAACCTAGCTACCCTTAGCACAGCTCTCATCTGAACTGTTAGCTTCAGAGCTAGCATCCCAATGCTAACCTAGCTGCCGTTAGCACAGCGCTAACTGACATTAGAAAAAAAAGAGCGTAACGTTTTTTTTGTGTCCATGACAGTATATTGTTTATTTATTGTATTATTTATGCTTCTTTTAAATGCTACACTTGTCACACATCCACGTAGAGAATAACGTCGATGTGTGGCTCGGTTTTAATATGGTCACAAGGCTAGTTAGCTTGTGAGGAAATCCAGAAATACTATTACGGTTTTTGCTAGCAGGCTGTAGCTAGCTGGAGGTGCGTCAAGTGCGCAACACGGTAACGACGGAAGTGTCGTAACGTCAAAAATAATTAAAAATAAAACCTTCAAAGCCCGTAAATTAAGTGAGTTCACAACTAACCTTTTTTATTATTGACTTTTTGGCTAAGCTAATAATTGAGTTCATACATCGTTAGAAAACAGATCAATCAATAAGTGTGGATGTGTCCTGCTCGACCAACATCCTAACATTTCAAGATATGTGCAATGGTGTGGTGCAAGTACTGTGCTCAAGTACAATTTTGAGGTACTTGTGGTCTACTTGAGTATTTCAATGTGTAGCTATTTCACACTTCTACTCCACTACAATTCAGAGGTAAATGGTGTACTTTTACTCCACTACTTGTATTTAATACCTTTAGTTACTTTGCAGATGTGGATGAATGATGTGAAATATAATCAAGTGTTTAAATTCAGACTTAGTTCCACCTGGAGTAAATTCACAAGCTACCCCTGCAGTATACAAAGTCATTCAAACTAGCTGCACCTTCACCAGCTTTGAGAACACTTTAATGATCAATCATTATAAAACATATCATATATATTATTCTGAAATGGACCAATCTGCACAATGACTACTTTTACTGTGCTACTTTAACTATATTTTGATGCTAATACCTTTGTACTTTTACTCAAGTAACATTTGCAATGCAGGACTTGTACTTGTACCATAATCAAATCATACTGTAAAAATACTCTATTACAAGTGAAAAGTCCTGCATTCATAGAGTTACTGTTTTTAATGCTAAATTAACATAGATTTCAAATGCATGCAGTACCACCACCTTGTGCCAATATGAACAAAATATTGGATATATTTAAATGGTTAGACATTTGTGTTAGGAGCTGTTCATATACCTTACAATTTCTGCAGGACTCTTTTAGTGTTACTCTCTGGTAATAAAATGGTCGTGCAATATATAGGTTATCAAATTGTGTTTGCCAGTTTTCATCTGCAATTTACGATTTTATTTTGAAAATATTGACCGGAAGTGTTGTCTTAAGTGAGACATGGCTGATCTGTCAGAACACTGGAGCTCTGTCAGACGTCCCTGTTGGTGTTTTAAATCCCTTTAAATCAATCTTTAACCTCATTTTTCAGGGTAATTGATGTCTGATTTTGAGATAATTGATGCTGTGAAGCAGGCTGATGATATCTGCTGTTAAATAATATGATGTGTGATATAAAACTAGAGGGCCCACTGTGATCAACAGTTGATGATTCATCATAAGGCGTAAAATACAATATAAAATTAATTTATACACAACATTTTTGAGAGCCTTCTACCCACTAAACTCTGTTTTTAAAAAGGGCATAGAAAGGCGATACAGCTCCCCTATGTGCAAAATTGTTATTAAATTAGCATTGTAGCCCGGGCCCTATGTTGCATGTCATCCCCTGTCTCTCTCCGAGCTATAGCTAGCCAATTAAAAAACAATTATGGACCTATTTTTGTGAGTACTAAAGATACAAACGACAAGGATGGCTGTGAGGAAGTCTCATTTTGGCGGGGGCTATAGGGAATGTCTTTTAAATGTGACATGGTAAATACAGCCTTAGCAAAGAAGTCCTATATTTTAATTGTATTCCTTTTTATATCCGCTTAATATTCATACATTTCTGTTATTTCTCATAGAAGGTTCAACCTGGAATATTCCCAAAATTGTGCAACCCTTGTTTCGCCCAATTATCTTCAGCTCACATTTTTATTGTTGTATTTATTGTTGCCCTAAATTAATATATAGATCTACTAAAGAGATACAAAAACAATAGGGATCACCATCTAAATTCAAACCAGAGACTTGTGAACATGGTATTTGTCGCAGTGACAGTTTTAAGGTTTCATTTTTTCTTTTTTAAACGCTTAGATCAAGAACCACAAGTAACCTGCGTTGAGGAATGTGGATGCTTGTATAACAAGATAATCATACACAGCAAGTCGACTAAGCAGTGAAGGTTTCCTCAATTTGTGGAGGCAGGTTTAACTTATTTGTGTAAGTGCAACACACACTGGACACATTACATCATGCAGACAGACGAGGATGTCGAGGTACAGTAGCTGGGATGTGCCGATCCAAATGTGATTTTGGAGCAAGGTTGTGCATAAACGCTGGGAAATAGGCCGCTGGTAGGCCTATAATGTTATAACTCTCATATCCCGCTGGTCTGTATTTCCCCTTAGAGTTCATATCTTAATGCGAGTTAAAAATGGATTGATGACTCCAAAATTGTGTGGAAATGATTACCCTAGTTCTCCCACGAGTAAGAATACGCCCACACTGAGCCAGCTGAATTTAAAACACATATTTCTCTCCGGCCCGCAGTGCCCACAAGCTGCTGTTTTTCACACCAAACCACTGCTGTCCTTTATTAACAAATGGTTTATAGAGTACACCAATTTGAAATGTAGGAATACTAAGCTATGGAACACAACGATGTTAACGCTGTGTTTTTGATCATTCATTGTACATATAGCAATGATGATTTTAATTCATTTTAGTACACTTCCAGGATATGTATTATTACTGGATTTTGGGGAATCCTGGGTGTTTAGTCAGGCATTGCATGGCTGAACAATTTAGAAACAAATATCTAGTTGCGATGAAATCATGATTTTCAACATTAATCTAATTTAGAAATATATATTTTGTAGAGCATCACAATGCTTTAATACATTTTTTGTGATGATCTTTACGTAGCGTTTTCTTTTGTCTGTACACTACGATTTGTAGTATTGCTCCATGATTTACACAAAAGAAAATCATAGTCAATATGGTCGCAATTCAGGCTTATATAAAAAATACCTGACGTGTTTTAATAGCCATATCTGAGCCTGCATTTAAACAGCAATAAAGCACAAAAAAAACAAATTAGGATCCACCTTCCAGCACATGTATTATATTAAAAGAAGTCAGCAAAATGAAGAGATCCTTTTTTTTGAGCTAACAATAAAGGATTCTAGTGGCGCAGGATTTCTCACCGCCCACGTGCCATGCACCGCACAAATATAAGGTTATAGTCTTACGACTAGGGATGCTCCGATCGCCAATTTTGGGGCCGATCGCCGATCGCCGGAATCAGTATCGGCCGATACCGATCCGATCGAGTGGGCGGGGCCTATGGGGATCTTCCATTTAAAGTGATGTTTAAAACTCAGTTAATGGGGCTCATTCACTGGCGCTTCCACAAACAACAACCCAACATAATTATTACATTCAAATGAAGTACATTATTCAAGTTTACATTAACTTTGGATAATAACACGGGAGAAATGAGCGGAGCCTCTCTCTTTTCCTCTCTCCCTCTCCCCCTCTCTCTCCCCCTGTCTCCCTGTCTCCCCTGACAGCCCGTCAGTATCCGACTTATGCAACTCACTGATCCAGTAATGAGTGACCCGACAGTGAAGAATAAATATATTTATAACTAGTTTAGCTTGTTCCAGAGGTAGATAAAATAGCTAAGTGTGTTAGGTCTAACTCTTATGGCGCATTTCCACCACACGGTCGGCCTCGGCCTCGCTCGGTACTGCTAGGCCGCGTTGGGCCTTGTTAGGGCCGGCTCACTTCATGCTGCGCTTCCATTACAGTTTAGGAACTGGGGTAGTTACTATAGTAACGCAGTGTAGGCGGAGCCGTGACGTCATCTTCAATGAGAACCCCAGAAAAACAACACAGCCGTTAGCTGTTAGCACTCAGAGCTCACAGCTCCTTATATATGTTCAGAAACTAGACAAAAGTTAAACAAGTACAAACCACAGACTGCCTGTGTCATGGCGAATACAGTCACTGCTTTATTTATGTCTGTATAGGCCGTTGTTGTGAGTGTGGACGGTCGGAGCATATATTGAGTTAGCTTAGCCAATCTCCATTTAGAAAACACGCATTTTAAAAGGTTTTTCACCTGCCGTCTGTCTGCAAACTTGCCAAAGCATTAATTCATGGTTTTTACTAACCGGTATCAGTATGTTGTTACTTCGGCATCATTTTGAAACGTGTATTACAATTAAATCACGGTCAAATATGTCCATCTTGTTGTAGTTGTAGCCCCCCTGCCAGCGATTCTCTCTCTAGTTTAGCATACTCAGCCCGACTCAGCCCTGTTTGTTGGCCCCGATAGAACCACGATTTTGTCGGGCCAGAAAAGAGGTGGAAAAGTACCCCCGGGCCGGAACTAGGCCTAGTGGAAGCGCAACCAAAAACGGGCCCGGCACGACACGGCACGCTTAAACCGCGCTCCGCGCCATGGTGGAAATGCCCCATTAGTGTGTGTTTCGCTCCGCTCACAGCGGGTGGAGCTGCAGGATTTCTGCTTCACACACGTTGCATACCGCTATTTTATTGTCATTTTCGGACACCTTAGAATACTGCCAGACCGGTGAAGCCATTTTGGCGAGCTTGTTTTACCGCGCACAGAGAAAAGTGTCATGTATTTTACGTCATCATTTTACGTCAGGCATTTTTAGAGAGCACCGATCGATCGGCAGAGAGTGAGGCCGATCGATCGGAGCATCCCTACTTACGACGGTCTTAAGGGATCTCCTTACCACCAAATGTTTAAAACGGGGATACATTTAATTGATTTCCCTTTTGACTGCCTCACAGGCCTGATTAGATTAGATTTATTTTTGGTATTTCCCTAGGGACATTTTCCTCTGTCAGACAACTACACAAAATACCTGCAAAAAGCCAGTTAATGTCACTAACATGTTACTTGCATGTTTTTTTTTCCTCATCATCCTTGTGTTAATTCTTATCTGTACTGTCCAATGTTTTTCTCTTATTCTGTGGCTGCTTTAACACCTGAATTTTTCACGGGGATCAATGCAGGTCTATTTTATTTTATGTTATCTTAAACTCTGGCTAGGAAATCTCTGCAAGACCAAAATACTAAAATGGTATTTTGACACATAGTGTGCCTTTTTAAGAGATATTGCTTCTTCTGCAATTTGAGTATCGCAGAAGTCTTATTTGCAATTTTGATAACATGCCATTCAATAGTTCAGCGATACAACATTACGATTGTAAAATGTGCATTTCATATTTAATCGTCAGACAAGAACTACTGTTAACTAGGCAGAAACGTAGTATCAATGACCTGAAATCGATTAGTTATTTCCCGCTTGTTAAGTAATCAGATATCTGTAAATGACAACAGTTACAAGTCTAGAGTATTACTGTATGCATAGGGAACAAAAAGGAGGTTAATCCAGCACAGACACAGCAGACGAACCAGAATATCTGTCCAACAATTGAACACATGTTGTGATCAAACAGTGATGTTGTTGTCTGACTGAAACAGGAGAGGAAAGAACAGATTAAGTGTTTTCCGATTGTAAGTAAGTGCTTTTCCCAGACATAGTCACAAAGTGCTTGACAAAGCATTAAAACATCATACGAATCATAAAAGATTAAATGACCACACAACAAGCCACGTTCACATTGTCTGTGAATGGTGATCCTTACAGAAATATTATAAAAGTGCAGAAGCCATGTGTGGTTCCAGTGGTCTGTGTGGTGTAAACTTGGTCCACTAGGGACAATAAAACCCCAACATTGTGCATTTTTTTTACAGTTCATAAGACAGTTGATGCGTAGGTTTTTTGTTCTGTCCCGATCAGAGCAGCACGGAGGTCAGCAGTTTGAGATTCCTGTCAGACGCTGCTGCAGCTTTACTGTCATGTTCGCTGTGAAGCAATGCCAGTCAGATTTTATGACGGAGATTCAAATAATGTGGCAGATAATCAGAGCTGAGGTGGGGTTACCGTTCACGGTCCCTAAATATACATGCACATGTTTCATTGTAGGTCAGGTTCATAAATGAATTCCTCTTGGTGGAGTGATTGACCTGATTCACTTGCAGCATTGCAGTGTATATTGCTATGGGTTTATTTCAATGTATCACAGTAGTGCATAGGGGTGTAACGATTTAGTGAACAACGACAATCAAATATCTGCTGTAAAAAACTGCTATAAACCCTGAAATGATTTACTGTTCAACCGACTTGGAGGAAAATATGGAGAGAGACTGAGAAGACCTTTTTTACTGAAGTATTTTAATTAAAGGAGCCCTATTATGCTCATTTCAGCTTCATATTAGTATGTTGGGCCTCAACTGTGACATGTTTACATGCTTTAATGTTCATTAAGGAAAATCCATGATTGGTATCCGGCAGCAATTAGTTAACGCTATTACAGTCACTCCGAAGAAGTACATGAGCTGTTAGAAATGCAGTGATTTATTGTTTAATGTACTCTAAAGGTTATTTCTCCAGCCACAAAAGCTTGATTGGGTCAAGTCAGATAGTTGAGAGCGGTACTCTTATCTTTTTATTTTTCGTCTTGTATGCTTTTAGGTTGTGAAAAGTGCAATTGAAACGGCGGAAAGAGACAAATATAACACTGAGAAATGGTTCAATCAGCAGTCGGTGGTAGAAGAAACTGGAAGCTTAGCATCAAAATGTGTGCAGATTGAAATAGAAGCTGGTTCCCGTTTCAGTGTGCACAATAATGCCTCCAACAACTTGTAATCAACCAGCAACATGTTGCTCTAGCAAAGCTTGTCTTAAAACCACAATAGAAAATTAAAGATTAGTCAGTTCAAACATATTTGTTCTAAGCACTGAGTAGGCCGAAAGTAAAACACATTTTGTATAGCCCAGCTGTGGATTAATAATGATCAATGGTCACTGACACTTTAATGTATTGGAAATTCAATTTCTATATTTAAACGATATTCTACCCTTTCATGCAACACTGTGGGGACATCAACTAAATAAAGTGTTAGTTTTTTATCTTGCTATTTTCTTCTATTCTATCTATCCTATTTGGTGTCCAAATTATGGATTTGTATCCCTGTTAAAATAGTGATTATACAAAAAAAACATCAAAATAAAATTAATCACTAACTGTGACTCTCGCACACACTATCAATGCTTGTTGGCACTAAGTCACATTTGAAATCTGTGAAACTGATTACACTCTGCTCTATACTAACGTGCAACAGGAACTCACAAGTACAAGATGAAAAGGAAACCCCGTGTAGTGTACTCGGCCGATGTGACGCCTGCCATCAGAGCCAAGTGTGTGTTGGGCTCGGTGTCAGAAAACAAGCTGGAGCCGACCTCTGCATGTGGAGATCCCCAAAGAGGGGGGAGGGGGGTGGGGGCTGGCACGGCAATCTAAAGAAACCAAATCAAGTCTTCAATCAAAAGCACAAACAGGATAATTCTGGATTGAAACTGATTTAGGAAAACTAAATGGCCTTTTAGTGGAATTTTACAGACTCAGAATCAGAATACCTTTATTCGTCCCACAGAGGGGAATTTGCATTTGTTAGATAGATAGATGGATGGATAGATAGATTGATTGATTGATGGATGGATGGATGGATAGATGGATAGATAGATAAGTACTTGTTTGCGTTGCAGCAGCATAAAAAAACAAGGTAATGTACATAAGAGAAATTAAGACACAAGAAATAAACAGTCCAAAATATTTCTGAAATAGTGCCAGTAGCATTAAGCCATGATTGATGTTGCTTTGCGAAACGGTGGCATGTCATTACGTTAACATCAAATACTTCCATTAACACAGTATGATTTTAAATGTTTTAAATATGGTTGATAAGACCCGTATTATCCTAATCAATCAATGTGATAAGGCCCAAATGTAAAGCAGTATTCACCTCACACAGGACCTGTTTTATAAATGTGGATTAGACTCACTGTGGCTCTTGTTCACACTCTAGGAGCCCTCGGTCGAGCAGCCTGATTTAAAGTCCTCGAGAGATGAGAGAGGAGGCAAATGAAAGCAGCACGGCCTAGTTTTAGAGTCCAGATCATTCTGTCGCTCATGCATAATGAAGAACGCCAACAATTACTCTAGAACAGGACACAGAATAGCTCAATTCATATGTTTTCTTTGACATTTAAGCTGCTTTCGCTGATTTGTTATGAATATAAGTGGTGATTTCTTCAAGTTTATGGAGAACTGTTATGCATATGGTGTTTCATGTTATGTACTGAGAGGCTTTTTGGCACCTCTCCTGATGCAATAAAACCCAGCTGAGACATAAAGCAGACCCTAGTCCTGCTTTGTTCTCTTGTATATAAAGTATTGAACCCCTTTTTGAGATGCAAAGATTTTCCTGTTTATATGTGAACATTAATTTCATTGTCAATCTTTTCTCTCTTCCAGGGAAATGAAGCCAGTTATGCCCTGGACATGTGCTCGCACTGTGAGTATCAATCAGTCACTGACTAACTTATTACTTTCCTTAACTGTTTTAATTCCTCATGTGTGTTTGGGGTCATTTTTACATGTGTTGTGTTGGGGGCCAATCTTACTTTTTTACTGAAAGCGTTTTCTAAATTACAGTGAGGTTTTTTTGTACTTATCATGCAAAAGACATTTCAATGCCTTTGAACAGATTTACCTTTTCATAAGAATTTGCAAACAATATTTGTGTATTTCTTATTGATTGCAGTACCAGAAGCATACTTAAAAAAAGACCTTCATTTTATGACGTACAAACACATTTCTCCGCAAACATTTTTTATTAATCAAAAAAGAAAGCACAACCTTGTCAAACATCACATGCATCGGTGTGTAATATTGTCAAAATGCAAGTATTGATACTTGATGCCACAGACGCAATTCAAACAGAAATTAAAAGGTCAAAAACATTTACCCTGGTCTGCACTCTTTGGTGGGGATTTCTCAGTGGAAATAGATACACTTATTTAGCGTTTCGATGGTGGTGGGTGATGGATGTGAACATCCCCACATGCTGCACCTTCCTCTGCAGAACTCTGCTGGCAGTCTGACCCAGACTCCCAACACTGTGAGGCTAAAAATGCCTCATCCCTCTGTAAAGGTCAGTGTCAGGGCTGCTGGGAGAACCTCGCTTATTTTTAGTCACCACAATATCCCAGTTTTAATTAGTTGGTCGCTTTGCTCTGACCCCCCCCCCCCCCCCAACTCCAGAGCAAAGCTTGACACTTAATTAGAAAATAATGTTTGGACCTACTTTTTTAAAGCTTACACACAGGAAAATTGTTGTGTAAGCTGAACTTGGGTCTCAAAATTACGTCAAGCGTCCCGGGTATCGGATACTTTTGCTCAGTGGGTAGGAGGTTTGGGGGGACTGCGTCCTAACGAGCTGTTAAAAGAGGTGTGGAAGACTGGGGGAGACCCTACAGAGGGAGGAGGGGGGTTAAGATTTATGACCTGTGCTCAGTCTTTGCCCTCCAAACTCAGAAACCTGCCTCTCATGCTGCCTTTGGATTCCCAGGAAACATTGTGGCCTGGAAAGTTGATACCAAATCTTGGGTTTTCTAAGCAGTACCCGACCCTGTTGTGTGACCGCAGGAACGGTTCACTCTGGTGTCTCTTCTTACTGCAGTTGACTTTGCCTTGAAGCAGAAGTCACACCAGCAGCTCTCGGGTGTCTCAGCCTCACCAAACCGTGTATTCTGCGAGGTGTCTGGGTTGACGGCCTGAAACGAAGAGATGTGAGCGGCAGGGTTCAGGTTTGCTGACGCTGCTGTAATTCCCCGATCCTCTGACAGACTTTGCCTGCTCAGGGATATTTATGGGGGTCCCCGACGCTGCCACGCCTCGACTCCCCACCCTACTTTTCTTTCAGGACCAGCAGTTCAGTGCAGCTGCGGTCCTTGTTAACATCAGGCTGTGGTATATTTACCATCTTAGCTCCAACCGTGGCACTGCATCACAGAAAAATAACTAGCAGTGAAAAATAATAGGTTTCTTCTTTGGTTTATTGAAAGAATGCTGGTCTTTTTTTATTGGCTTGGAGACTTGAGTTGAAAAGCCCATTTCACACTATACAAAATACCCACTAACACCCCCTTTTACACTGTACAAAATACCCACTAACACCACCTTTCCCACTGTACAAAATACCCACTAACACCCCCTTTTACACTGTCCAAAATACCCACTAACATCCCCTGTTACACTGTACAAAATACCCACTATCACCCCCTTTTACATTGTACAAAATACCCACTAACATCCCCTTTCCCACTGTACAAAATACCCACTAATGCCACCTTTTACATTGTACAAAATATCCACTAACACCACCTTTTACACTGTACAAAATATCCATTAACATCCCCTTTTACATTGTACAAAATACCCACTAACACCACCTTTTACACTGTACAAAATACCCACTAACACCACCTTTTACACTGTACAAAATACCCATTAACATCCCCTTTTACATTGTACAAAATACCCACTAACACCCCCTTTTACACTGTACAAAATACCCATTAACATCTGGCTATTTATACTTTTTTTTATAACGGGGATTTAAACCATGATTATAATTATGAAACATAACATACAAAACAAATATGCTCTCCTCACTGATCATCGTAAAAAACATTTATTTTTTTAAAAACAACAGAAAAAAACCCACTAAGTCTTTGATGTCTTTCCACTGTTTGAACAATCACCACATTAGTTTAAGGAATTTAAAAGACGGTCTGAATAAGTGACACATATAAACAAAGAAATAATCATCGGAACATTTTCACTTTCAACGAACCCTGCTTCCAAGTTGTGTTTGTGACGTTGAACGTGACGCACCACATAAAAACAGAAACACATACTTAGCAATGGGAAAGGAGTCTATCGATTATTTTAGTGGGTGTTCTTGTACAAAAAACACATTTTGGTTCAAAAAGAGTACACAAGGATGAGGGTGGCACAGGCCAGTAAACATAGAAAATGTAAATTAATTACATTTGTAAAAGGAAATGATTTCTACCCAACCTACAGACCTTAAACATACACACAATTTGTCTAAACGAATCCCACTGAAACACAACTTTTGTCCCCCTCTTTCACCAATTTATTTTTTCTTCAAGGCTCCTTAAAACAATATGCTGCCATCCTAGCCAGTGTACATGAGCGGAGACTCTTTTCTTGCTCTATTGCTATGCTCCTGGTCTATTTTTGCTGCAGCTGCTCTTCTGTTGTAGTTCTGACTAAGCAGTTGCTCAAGCAGCTTTACACTTGTATTAAACCACTCTTGCTTTGTTCACAAGTAACCAACGAGGACTGAAATATTAAAGATCACAACATTAAACTATAACGGAATCAAAATACTACAAAAAATAAAACGGATTTCTTTGTCTCATCAACCACATTACCAATATTCACAAATCCCCCCCCAAAAATTGGCCACAGTAATTAACTAAATAGGAAATATTGTCAGTATCTGTTCTATTAAACAACTCTGTCGATACATTTCAATGCATAATAATGACACATACTGTACTCTGCAGACATTATAGTCAAAAAATAAGCCTTAATCTTAAATGAAGCTTTATGAAACATTCAGCAATATATTGTCTGTAGCTATACATCAAGATATTTTTGCGGCATTTATTTTTTCCACTCAATTTCCACTGTGGTACATTTCATCTCTGGGTGGTAGGGTGATGCGGTTGTCATTTTCACAGAAAGAAGGTTTTGGGTTTGAACTCGCCAGCGAAAACTTGCTCTTCTGTGTTGAGATTCCCTGTTTCAGCGCCAGCTTAAATTTTCCCCTCGCTCAATGTCCGGTAGGATCATCTCCGGCACTCTGGGAACCTGTAAAGAAAAATGTCTGTTTTTTTACAAGGAATTAAATAGATATTCTCGTCATTACATCACTATACTGTGTGCAATGGATAACGTCTATTACGGATTCTTACCGTGACCGAAGAGATGACAAGAGGTGCTGAGTTTTTACCACCGTAATTACAGTCGGGGCTGAAGTATGGGTAGATTTTCCCGTTGAAGGAGCAGCCAGTAAAGGAGTAGATAAGAGCTGCAGCATCTACGTCATAAAAGGAGACCAGACCCTCCTCATAATCCACAAACACCCCCACCTTCTGAGGCTGAGACTTCAGAGAGAGACTGACTGACGGATCAAGAGCTTCGTACTCATTGCCATTTGTCAACCATATAATCCAGAAACCATCTTCTGGGCTCAGTCTGATCTTTCCTTTCCTCTTGATCGACTCTCTGGCCACTCCTAAATCCCACTCGGTCTTTCCTTTAACTTGAACCTCAAAGTAAAATCTGCCTGAAGAGAAACTCTGCTTTCCTAAAACACAATCGCAGTAAGAAAATCTCTCTGGGTTGTCTGGGAGATTCTTCTTTAAATCACCATGTTTAACTTGTTTCCCATCATCAGACAGGATGAGTTCAGGATGTGCTGTGTCAGGGTCAAGAGTCACATCCACTGCGTACTTCTGGACCCTCTTCAGCTCAGCTTCAAGCAGCTTCTTCATCTCTTTACCGAGTGTCTCCTCCAGCTGAACCACAGCTCTAGCCACAGTCCCCTCATGTGATGATGGACGGATGCTGACCTTTGTCCAGTCTTTGGTTTGTGGAGCAACTTTCAAGGATGGAAAGCTTTGGAGAAGATGTAGATGGTCTTCAGACTGTGAGAGACGCTCCATCAGAGTGCTTCTCTTCTTCAGCTCAGAGATTTCCTGTTCTAGGTCTTTGATAAAACCTTCAGCCTGTTTTTTAGTTGTTTTCTGCTTCTCTTTGACCGTATCCATGAGTTTGTTCAGTCCTCTCTCAGCAGACTCCTTCAGAGCAGTGAAGACCTGAACACCTTCTGCTATCTCTCTGTCTGCTTCTTTTTCACTGAGGTCGACTGAGTGTTGGATCTCCTGAATTTTCTGTCGTCTTTTCTGGATCATCTGCTGAGTTTCAGCCTGCGTCTTCCCCAGCGCTGCCTTTTTACTGTCATGTTCTTCTTTTAGTGGAACCAGTTCATGCATCTTGTGGTCTAAAACAGTGCAGAGCATACAGACACATGTCTGGTCGGTCTTACAGAACAGCTCCAGAGGTTTATCGTGCTTCGGACACATCCTGTCTTCCAGGTTCTCCACAGGGTCGATCAGCTGATGTCTTTTCAGACCTGACATTGTCAGATGAGGCTCCAGGTGAGTCTCACAGTAGGAGGTCAGACACACCAGGCAGGACTTCAGGGCCTTCAGTTTGGTTTCAGTGCAGACGTCACAGGGAACTTCTCCTGGTTTGAAGATTTGTTGCTCTGAGCTGCTGCTGCTGCTGGCTTTCTGTTGAGCCGACTGTCTGAACTGAGCAGCCATCTCAGAGATGAAAGTATTAACGTGCAGCTCAGGTCTTGTGTAGAACTCTTTTTTACACATGGGACACTGGCACCTGTCACTTCTATCCCAGTGTTCAGTGATGCAGGTTTTACAGAAGTTGTGTCCACATGATGTTGTGACTGGATCAGTGAACACATCCAGACAGATGGAGCACAGAAACTGATCTTCAGCTTGCAGATAGTTTGCAGCAGCCATATTAATACCTGTAGTGTGGAAGAATAGAGAAAAAACAAAACATGTTTTGATCATTTGTTTAAAAAGAAACAAGCATGACTAATGTTCTTTTAAATATAAACTTAGGCAGAGTTATATTGAATCATATCATTTGTTTTGACTGGCTCAATGCCAGGCTGTAAGCAACTGCGATCTTTTAAGTCATCTTATCTTAACTGATGCTACTCTGGCAAAACAAACAGATTATGTCCACATCCTGTTGCACAGACCATTTCATATTTAAGAATAGCACTGATAACAAAGCTGTGCTAATTTGATAACAACATTATTTATTTCCCATTTCCTGCTTTGTATAAAGAGCTTCCCGCTGGTTCTCCTGGGGACAACTTTTATGTGAAACCACTGGACAAAATCTAGGAGGTAGTACGTAGGCAGGAAAGCAGGAGTGAAGCTAAACTCCCAACCACAAAGATTCAGTTGAAGGTTAAAAGTCCCTAAAACGGACACGGAGAGATTGTGAAAGAAGCTAGCAGAAGCTGTTAAAGTGGGCTACTGTATAGTTAGCCTGAGGAAAGATAGCCGTAGTTATCTTGTTAACACTTTCTGAAGTATTACATTAAGAGTGGAGCCTTCACCTGAGTAGGGCTTAAGTTTTGTGTTAATCTTGCTTGTTGACAGGGTAAATATAATCTGCTGCACTCACCAGTGTTTGACAGAAACTCTGCTGTGTTGTTGAGAAGGACCTGATGAACTCAGTTTGTATTTTCTTTGAGAGAAACAGAGACTTGCCTCGACTTCGGTGTGGCTGCCTCTCTGAAAAACTTAACTTTCATTTCTGGAGTGTGACGTTGTAGCCCTCCTCTTTCCTGGATTTCTCTACCCCTTCCTGCCGGTCTTTAGAGTATTGTATTCTTCTTGTTAGGACATGCTTTTGGTGACTCACAAGAATGTGCCTGGCTTAGCATGAGGTGTGTGTGGTACGTGCCAAATTCATTTATTGAGTAAAGGTTTTGAGGGGTAGCACAGAGCTGTGTAGAGTGTAGTATTAGCAGACCAAACAAATAACTGGACAATTGTAAAAAAGGGCACATAGATATAAGTAGGGATGTCATGAGAACTGATTCTTCTGTACCAAGTTGATGCCAACATTCCCAAAACATAGTGGTACTTGTTTTTATAAAGCACTGCAGGTACCAGAGGAGGGCTCGCATTAAGTTACACTATTATACATCAAAGCTCTCTTCATTCACAATGAGTATTGGAGCAAAAGGAGGATATTAAAAAGGGAATGGTGACCTGAACTTCCTAACAACAGCTCTATCTTTTTGAAGTTATATTTGCTGTGGTATCGTATCACCTAATGAGAATTGTGGTATTTTACTGCTATTTTAATTGACTACTACTAAGATAAGATAAGATGGACCTTTATTAGATGTACTAGATGTCGGTGTTGTGATGTGCCTGGAAAGCAAACAATTATAAAATATAATTAAACGCATTTTTAGGATTAATACAAACTATAATCTGTTGTTGTATCACGTAAAAGATCCACTCGGTTTTTATCTCCATCAGAAACATTTTGACACATTTATCCAGCAACTGTTTTTATACTGTTCAACAAGTAAGGACAAATTAAAAAAATAAAGTATGGCCATTGTTGGACTATTGAATCGACCACCATTTAAAACAACTTTGTCCTTGGTCATCATGTGTGGTCATCCTGTACATGTTTGTCACAAACTGTGTCTCCTCATATATCAGTGTTTGGTTTACAGTACAGTGACTCCATGCTGATCTCTCCTTTGTGTTGTGCTCCATCCAGTGGACACTCTGCGCCTTAACACCAGGAAGTGGTGTACATGGACGCTGGTGTTACTGAAGTACAACCAGCTAATTGATTGATAATGGATCAAATAACACCATCATTATTTTTACAATATCTTTAAATTACCTATTTAAATGTTTGCTTGTTTACATCTAATAATATAACGCTACCCTGCTTACTTTGATTTACACTTCACATTTGATTGTGTTGTCTTTGCCTTTTAACCAATGAAACTTGATATAAATGAACACATATTTGTCTTGATATTTATGTCTTGTCTGCTTTAATCATCAAAACAAAACTTTTATATAAGAAGGAAAACATTCTGAGCATTTTAAGTTAAAAGGTGAAACTCATTTGAACAAATAAAAATGCTGAAAGGTCAGATTCATAATTAAATCAAGGATTTTGTATTTGTTTAATATTGACATAAATCACATAGCAATAACTTTTTTATCTTGTTATCATCATAGCTATTAACAGCAAGTTTTTTAAATTTTTCAATCACATATTTACAGATTTCTATGTTACCATTGATTGACTGAACAACTTCTAATACAAAATAGAACATTCTGTTGGCATCTTTTCTATTGATGTCCTTTGTCCGTTAACTTTTAAGAATACTCTATTCTGTACACAATACACGCTTATAATATGCCTTACTCTGGCTTACTATGAGCCCTATTTCTTGCAATATTAAGCATTTGTTTTGGCTGGACATCAAATAGAAAAATTATCAAAAACTTGGATTTTGAGTTGTTTTCCAAGAAGAGCTGCAAACAGCAGCTTGACATATTTGACGTTATTAGAAAACAGTGATTTCTTCTGGAAGATATTTACAGTGTTGAGTAATAGGATACATGTCATAAAATATCTCAACAATGACGTGTAAAACAAATGTGCCAGAGTAAACAGATTCTGTAGAAAATAAGATGGAAGCTATACAGTTTTGACACTAAATATGTTTATTACCTTGAATGGAAATAAATCAATACAGGATAAGTGATTAGTTTACTCTGACAGGAGAGATGATCAGAGGTGCAGAGTTTTTATCACCATCATTATTACAGGGATTGAAGTATGGGAAGAGTTTCTCATTGAAGGAGCAGCCAGTAAAGGAGTAGATAACAGCTGCAGCATCTACGTCATAAAAGGAGACCAGACCCTCCTCATAATCCACAAACACCCCCACCTTCTGAGGCTGAGACTTCAGAGAGAGAAGGACTCGAGGAGCATCAAGAGCTTTGTACTCGATTCCATTTCTCAGCCATATAGTCCAGTAACCACACCGAGGGCCCAGTGTGATTCCTCCCTTCCTCTTGATCGACCCTCTGGCCACTCCTAAAGTCCATTTAGTCTTTCCTTTAACTTGAACCTCAAAGTAAAATCTGCCTGAAGAGAAACTCTGCTTTCCTAAAACACAAATACCATCAGAAAATCTCTCTGGGTTGTCTGGGAGATTCTTTTTTACATCACCATGACTCACTCGTTTTCCAACACCAGACAGAATGAGATATGGACTTGCTGTATCAGGGTCAAGAGTCACATCCACTGCGTACTTCTGGACCCTCTTCAGCTCAGCTTCAAGCAGCTTCTTCATCTCTTCACTGAAAGTCTCCTCCAGCTGAACCACAGCTCTCACCACAGTTCCCTCATGTGATGAATGGATGCTGACCTCTGTCCAGTCCTTGGTGGGTGGAGCAACTTTAAGGGACATGAATCTTTGGAGAAGATGGAGGTGGTCTTCAGAGTGTGTGACCTGCTCCACCTCAGAGCTTCTCTTCTTCAGCTCAGAGATTTCCTGTTCCAGCTCTTTGATGAAATCTTCCGCCTGGTTTTCAGTAGTTTTCTGCTTCTCTTTGATCGTGTTGATGAGATTGGCCTGGCCTCTCTCAACAGACTCCTTCAGAGCAGTGAAGACCTGAACACCTTCTGCTACCTCTCTGTCTGCTTCTTCCTTACTGAGGTCCACTGAGTGTTTGATCTCCTCAATCTTCAGTTGTCTCTTCTGGATCATCTGCTGAATTTCTGTCTCAAGCTCGGCCTTCTCCCCTTCATATCCTTCTTTCAGAGGAACCACATCATGCATCTTGTGGTCTGAAACATGGCAGAGCATACAGACACATGTCTGGTCGGTCTTACATAACAGCTCCAGAGGTTTATCGTGCTTCGGACACATCCTGTCTTCCAGGTTCTCCACAGGGTCGATCAGCTGATGTCTTTTCAGGCTTGAAGCTGTCAGGTGAGGCTCCAGGTGAGTCTCACAGTAGGAGGTCAGACACACCAGGCAGGACTTCAGGGCCTTCAGTTTGGTTTCAGTGCAGACGTCACAGGGAACTTCTCCTGGTTTGAAGACTTGTTGCTCTGAGCTGCTGCTGCTGCTGCTGGCTTTCTGTTGAGCCGACTGTCTGAACTGAGCGACCATCTCAGAGATGAAAGTGTTGACTTTCAAATCTGGTCTTGTGGTAAAAGCCTCGTTACACATGGGACACTGGCACCTGTCACTTGTATCCCAGTGTTCAGTGATGCAGTCTTTACAGAAGTTGTGTCCACATTGTAAAGCGACTGGATCAGTGAACACATCCAGACAGATGGAGCAGAGAAACTGATCTTCAGATGGTGTACAACTAGCTGCAGCCATATCTACACCTGTAGTGTGGAAGAAAGAACAGTTTCTTTAAAATACAGTTACAGAAAAAGAAAGAAATGGGATTAATATTGGACAGAGTCAATTTTGAATGTTATATGTTTTTGTTTTGACTTGCACTAAGCCAAGCTTGAGCAACCGTTACCGTTCAAGACTTAATAGGTTCAATATAGCTACCATGGCAAAACAGCAATGGATGTTTCCTTATCCTGTTGTTTAGACTACGGCTGGGAGATATGGAGAATATAAAACATCACAACATTTTTCCCCCACCATCTCTAACGATATTGTAGATTGACTATTTGTTCACAAAATATTTACAAAATAACATTTTTGATGGATAATCAGAAAAAGCAAATGGTTTGAACAGTTTGGAAGTTTAAGAAAGTTACATCACTTTACTGTAATGCAGCCTTTAAAACCAGGAAATGACACTTGTGCAATTTTACTACTTCTGAAAAATCTGACACTATATCTAGTCTAATATCCAGATGATGATGTAATATTGATAACAACCTTAGCCCTAGTGTAGACCAACTTATATTAAAGAATAACACTGATAACAAAGCTCTCAGTACTTTGTGACACACCTATTTGCCTCACATTTTAAACCTCAAACTGGTTCTTTGGTGGTAAGCTTTTAATATGACACAGATACAAAAAAAGAGTAAGCAGTATGTAGGAAGTAATCAGTAAACAGTAATAATGGCAGGAAACCAGGAATGAGGATAAACTCCTAACCGCAGATATTCAGTTACAGGTTAGTTAAATCCAGAGGGCTGAACCGTAGGCCTGAGGACAAACAACACCATACTTATATCATATTTAGTTGGAAGTGTAAATATAATCAGCTGTACTCACCAGTGTTTGACAGAGACTCTGCTGTGTTGTTGAGAAAGATCCGATGAACTCAGTTTGTATTTTCTTTAGACAGAAACAGAGACTAGTCTCGACTGCAGTGTGGCTGCCTCTCTGACTAACTTAACTTTCGTTTCCTGAGTGTGACGTGTAAGCTCTCCTCTTTCCACTGTAGCTCCTCCTCTCACTGCAGCTGGTTGTGTTCCCTCCCTCTGATCTGCATTGTGAAATACCAGCGACTCTTCAGGTTAAAATGGAGCAAAGTTGCTGCTGACAGAGGGGAGGAGTGAGATATATGAAAATGTTTTTCTTTATTATGTTGAAACTGTCTCAGCTATACTTTAACCAGAACAGTTTATTTAATTGGAGCCTGTCCTCATTGATACCATATCTATGGCAGGACTGGTGTATTATTTAGCATGAATTTGTATCTAGATATATGTAATAAAACTGTGTTTATAAAAAGAGGATCACACTGTGAGTTAATTCTACTTCTAACAGTGCAGGGAACTTTATTTTACATTACATGTTACTTGTTAGACTTACATACTCAACACTGTGGACAATCCCCACAGGAGCAATTTGGGGTGAAGTGTCTTGCCCAGGGACACAACGACATGCTGACTGCAGTGGGGTTTTGAACCTGATCCCAACACCAAGGCTCTATCCACTGCGCCACGCGCCTCCCATGATTATTTAAAGGGTTTTAAAGAAATTAACTCTTGAACTTTGTTGAGAAACTGGCAAAGAGTAGCTGGGGTCTCTTCTTTGTTGAGTTTTCTTCTTAGGTTGTTTATATTTGATGTCCTTGTATAAGTGACTATCCTCACATGAAGGTGTGTTGACTCATGTATTTGTTTGCATTTTGAGTAAGAAGTAACTTTTGTCTCATCATGTCTCAGTCTCCATCTAGTGGTCGTTCTGTGTGATGACATATAGAAGTGTAGAAGAGGAAGGCTGTCAGATCTCAAGAAACGTTCAGAATTACAATTATTCAGGCTTTTCTGTACTTACCAACCAATCACTCTCAGATTACTTTCAGAGAGAAGATAGCAAGTTTAAGTTATAATTGTTGTCAGTCTTGTTTCCTGCAAGAAGAAACACTGCAGTAGAGGAAGTGAAGTGGAAATGCACTTCTGCTCCTAGTTTTAATTTGTGATTATAACTTCAATTACAAATGTTTTATGTCTTTGATTTTAAGACTTTTTATTACACATTTGTTATCGTGTAGTATTGTTTGAATGTAGTCATTTTTATATTTTATATATTTGTTATTATAATATTTCCTAGTGGAAACCAAAGGAATTTGCAAAACGAAAAGTACTAACAGTATAATGGTAAAGAATTAAAACATATATTTATATTTAACAATACTAACACAGGGCAAAAGCAAAGGATAACGGACTAGTTTATCAAATGAAGTAGCTTTGTTGTTGTGGGTCTAGCCATCAGCTGCAAAGAGGAAAGGGCTCCTAAAAACTGCAGGAAAGGAGACCAGGTTTTGTTGAAAGGCATTTTATTGTCTTTTAATAATAGTTTTGAATGCCACTTGTTTGCTGATAGCTTCTAGCAATGAGCTGTGTAATGTTTTGGTTCTCCTTGGACCAAACTTCTTTAAATGTTTGATTATATTAAAGGACAGGATATATCTCCATGAACTACCAGGTTACCAACACAAAGCGTCCCCCAGCTCTTTGGTTATCAGCAGAGTGATTAGTGATGAAAGAGGCGTCACATGACCCGGTGTTAGGGCTTAGAGCGTGGCACTAGGAGGTCCAGTAGCATAAGGTCCAACTTAACTGAGACCAGTAGCTCTGAACAACCATGGCCAGTAGGAACAAGGAGCCAGGTACGTTTGGGAGAAATGCCTTTACACAAAGAGGATGAAATACAGGTGGATAACAGCTGTTCTAACTCCTCCTGTGTGCTTAAGTTCACAGGTTTTAAGTGTCGCCTAAACATGATAATATTTGTCCAAATCTCCTCCTGTTATCCGAAGACTTTGTCTGTTTTAGCGGCTGTTAATAACTCTCTCTCTGTCTGTCTTTGTTTTCATTTCAGTTGATGCCGATGAGATTAAGAGGCTAGGAAAGAGATTTAAGAAACTCGACCTAGATAACTCCGGCTCCCTGAGTGTGGAGGAGTTCATGTCCTTACCAGAGCTCCAGCAGAACCCCCTCGTGCAGCGAGTCATCGACATATTCGACACCGATGGAAACGGAGAAGTCGACTTTAAAGGTAAATTAATCCTGAAACTGTTTCCCTACTCCCTCTGATATTCCCTTTGTTTTTAAAATGAACATGTGTTAACAGTATCCTTTTGTTTTAAAGATACAGTCTGTCTGCTCCTGACTGTCCTCTGATTGAAATGCAATGCAATGGGCTGGCAAATGCACAACATCTGGCACGAGAAGTCTGACATTTGCCAATTTAAGAGCATTATTAAGTGCTTTACCATTAACTTATTAATCAGTTAGAGGTGGTTGCATTTTTTGTAAAACTTGGTGAAAAACCTTTGCAAGAAATGCCCTCTATACTTGATTATGTAATTGTCATTTCCCACAATATCTATCTGATATCAAAACTATCACAATGGAGTAATCAAGTAATGTTTGAGAAGCTTTTTCCCCATAAGAGCAAGTACAGATTACGTCACATTGGAAAGTGCTTCTAAATTCCCTTAAATGCATGTAGTACTGTCCGTGTCTCCAGAAATCAAATGCAGTATTTACAGAAATCTGTCACTGATTGCAGCTGCATTTTCCGGACTGATAACTACAATTTTATAATAGTTTAAACTTTGATATCGAGAAAGTATCGCAGCCAATCAATAAATTAAGTCCTCTGATGTCATGATTTATGCTACAAAGAATTTCTTCCCGCTTGAAGCAAATATATATCATATTCATAACTAAACGCCTATATATTCACATATATTATATTATTGTGGCACACATAATGACAGAAATGAATGGACACTTCCCTGGCCACAGAACAATGTAAATACTGCAGTCAGCTGCACCTTTCTGCTCCCTTGGGTGAATTCAAAGTACTTTAAATGTGTACTTAGGTAATTGTACTGGTAATATCTGAATTGCATCGAAGCCATTACTTTCTGAATCACTACCTCTACTTAGTTTTCTACATTTCTTCTATTATTTAATTCAGTTATTGTTCAGTGGGTTGTCTTGTAATTATTCGAATAACAACAATGCAATTTTTCCCATCAGTGCATGGTGATTGTTGTTTATTTTGGGTGTATAAATTATATTTATCATGTAGCAGGAGGTTTATTGTCTAACAGCAGTTTTAACTCATGATGATGCTTCTGTCCTTCAACAGAGTTCATCGAAGGAGTCTCCCAGTTCAGCGTCAAAGGTGACAAGGAGCAGAAGTTGCGTTGTAAGTGTCCATCAGTTTTCCTCATATCTCTGTAGCCTTGTTATCATTACTAAACTCAGTTATATACACTTCAAAGGTTTGTAATCTTTTCCCACAACGGCTTGATTGGGTCCTCTTTATATGTAGATGTTATTTTGAATGATAGGTGTGTCTTGTGGCCTTTTTAAAACAAAACGCTGTACAATGGTTCAACCAGATTTACAAATAAATGGACAGAAACAAACCTCCAGTAGGAGCCGTTTCCACAAATGTTTAAAGCTTTTTTTTAAATTTCTTGTGGCAATACCTTTTTGTCAGACTGATCTGTTTTCTTCAGTGACGTCAGTGTTGAGCTGCATCTTTATAAAACATGAACAATTTAAATCAGCGGTTCCCAACCTGTGGGCCTTGCAAGTGGGCGGCCAAATAGTTTGCAAAACATTATGATTTGTGTGGAAACATTTCATTATTAAGATTTCTTTTTAATTTGAACCTCCTTTCCTTTCTCTTTCTCGATCCTCCTTAGCAACGGTCCTTACAGCCCTTGACAGCGGTCTGTTCTACTGGATTAACAACGTGTCACATGTTCTGAATTGACCAATCGGAACTTTATTTAGCCTAATAATGTGATTCTTAAGTGGGCCCTGTGTTTATGGTTGAATGTGGGCCATGAAAAATAATGTGATTCTTAAGTGGGCCCTGAGTTGAAAAGGTTGGGAATCGCTGATGATAGCATTTCAACATCTAGACTGCAAGTGGGATTACATTTATTTGGGATGTATACTTTTAGAAAAACTTGTAAATGTAGAGAATAATGTACACTCTGATAAAGTAAACACTGACATCGTTCCCCCTCTCTGCCCTCAGTTGCCTTCAGGATCTACGACATGGACAAAGACGGCTACATATCCAACGGGGAGCTCTTCCAGGTCCTCAAGATGATGGTGGGAAACAACCTGAAGGACACCCAGCTGCAGCAGATCGTCGACAAAACCATCATCAACGCAGACAAAGACGGCGATGGCCGGATATCTTTCGAGGAGTTCTGTGCGGTGAGTTAACCTTCCTCTTCATCTCCTGTGTGAGAACCAGAGCGCTACAGACTGAAAGACACAGCTAAACCACACCGTTTACATTTCTGTTACAACTTCAGCTTCTTTGAAAGATTTAAAGAGGAATCTGAATCTGAAAAGGACAGGACTCTTTAATTGCAACGCAAACATTTCCCAAATAGAGTGGTGCAGTGACGAGTCCTAAAACCAGGAAGTGAGTTAGCATTTTACCACTTCCGGTTCCCTCGTCTCTCAGTCAACGGGTTTTTTGAACTAGTTTTTTGAAAATAGCTGGAAATAAGGTCTGTGGTTGAAACAAATTGAAGAGACAGATCACGTTTTGTTCTACGACATTAAATCCATCAGCAGTGACCCCACTGGTGATTTCTGAAGAGTTGACGTGTCTGAAAAACGGTGGTTGTTACCAAGTGGCTGAATAGGACTACAGAAGTTGTCGAGGACGTTGTATGTCATTACGCCGAACACGTAAACACTCCGCTAAGTTTGTTTTTCCCCGTGTTCTGCTTGAAAGCAAGTACCTGCCTCCTGCTAACTGTTTAAACAAACGCTTCAACTTTTAACATTCAGAATCTGTATGTTTTAATATCGATCTAAAGTTGGCGTGACGTTGAAGTCGTGCGACCCTGCTGTACTCGGCTGTAGTTCGTTTATAGCATAACGTTAGCATCTTGCTTCTGGTGATTAGATTTATGATTAGAAAATTATAAAAGTAGGGTAGACATGTGGAGATTATCCGGCTGAACAAAACGTGCATTTATCAAACAGGTCCGTTTTCCACAGATCTTATTTTTTACAATATTCCAAAATCCAATGGAGAAATCCCGTTGCTTTATTGTCGAGGGAACCCATGAGCAGCTTACTTCCAGGTCGACCTACAAAAATATGTCATCCCTGCTCTACTCAATAGTGATCAATTAAGTACTTTTCTTATCTTATTATCTTAATTGTGAGAACAACATAAAGGGCTCAAGCTAAACGTGTTGGTCTGACAATAAATGTGTTCTTTATACTGTGTTTGCTGAAAGCAGCTGCTATCTCCTATTTAAAGTGATTAAATTAGATTCATAAGAGTGAAGTTAAACAGTAAAAAGTGCCGTTAGCCCAAACTAGGGGCTAAAAGAAAAATCCTAGCATGCCCTTCAAAGGTCATAAAAACGCCGTATTATATTTTAGGCAAATGGTGTCTGTTTTAAACTTTTATTTTAAACCCTTAAAGGGGAAAAAATCTATTTACCGGCAGATTTTAAACAGTACTGCACATAGACAATACTATACTATTATATATACAGTACTCACGTAAACTTATATATAATAATGTAGTATTAAAGCCATAGTATAAGTATGCCATCAAAATGTGATAGGTCATTCGCTTAGAGATGTCCCGCCCCTTAGCCTATCACGTACCATGTGTTACCAATGCTAGCCAATAGAAGAGTAGGTGTTACAGAGTGATGTCACTATGTTCCTAAAGAAAACAAAGGAGTCCCATGGAGGCGGGAACATTTTAGCCTTTGAAAACCATTGACATGCACTAAAACCTTTATAACACACTACAGGAGAGGGAAACCTCCAAAAAGCAAAGTAGGGACTCTTTCAACAAGTTGGTCATTTACAGAAAAACTTTCATGTGTTAAAAGTAATGTAAACAAACTGAAAAGTGACCCCCCCCCCTTTTGTCTCCCGCAGGTCGTTGGTGGATTAGACATTCACAAAAAGATGGTGGTGGACGTCTGACAACTTTGTTATTTTTCTTCCTCCATTTACTGAAGATCTGCTTGAAGACGTCGTCCAACAATACGCTCAATGAAAGTATTTTCTTTGAGAAAAATCCTCCCCTCCCTCCCTTACCCCCGTCCCCCCTCCCTCCCCCCCCTCCCCCGAGCCTTCTGAAGCCAAACTCTCACCAAGTATTATCGAACAGGAACTCTCTCTGACTCGCCGCACTTCAAAGAAAAGCTGACGGACGGCTTTTTAACGCAGAGCGGCGGTTTCAGTTTGGTGGAGGAAAGCTGGAGTGTGTGTGTGCGTGTGTGTGTGTGTGTCTTTGAGTGTGTATGTGTTCTGTATGTTTTACTGGTTTTTTCAAGGTATGTGGGTTTTTTATATTTATTTTGGTGTCATTGTTTTTTTTTCTTTCTTGGAGAATCAAAGGAAGTCTATCTTAAAGAGAGTTAACTTTAGTGGATGAGTGTATTTAGCGGTGACGTTACTTGATTTCAGAACAACACAAACACAGCATGAAGTGCCAACAACAATTTATGACATGCAGTTGAATTACAGGTATATATACATATATATATATATATATATATAAAAAAAAAAAAATCTGTGTCTTTTATTTGAGAGATGTAATTGTATTATTGAATGCATTTATCTTACTGGAGTATTGCATCATTTACACTTAAAAAACAGCTTCATTTTACAGTCGTTTTGTCAGGAGGACAGAGGGAGATTGGGCACTACATGTTTTCAGACTTTGGCTAACATGAGCGTCCATTTTTGTTTTGCTTTTTTTAGGCACTTTTTGTGTAATTAAGCACCGAGTTGTAATAACATGTTGAATATTAAGTACAAGTTGGAAACCTGTAATTACGACATGCATGAATACTGTCAGGGACGAGTCTGCATTTTTTTAACAGCGCCTACCGTTGATGTTGAAAGTAATATTACTTCACACACACACACACATCTGCAGATTCAACACTCTCAGCTTAGTGGAATAAAATCAGTTGTCGCAGCTTGAATTCAGCCAATAGGAACTCCTCAACGGTTTTACATTTTCTGCACATTTGAAGAAAATGAGTAGAAATTCAAACATCTCTTGCTTTATGAAAATTAGGAACTGTAAAGCCGATGATCGTTGAGCAACAAGCAGGGCTACTGCCGGTTGGGAAAACTGTACAAAAAAAATCCATTCTCTTTGTTTTTACTGTAAGATTTAGTGAAAAGCAAGCTCCGAGACGAGGCTGTAAATGATTTTGAGAGACACAGAAATGTTCTGCGGTAGTGAGCTGAATCTGTGCTTTTGCAGCTCGTCTGCTTTCGGACATTCACGTCTTTATCCTCCGACTTTCTCTTGGGGGGGGAGAAGCAAAGCTGAGGAGGGAAACAACAAAAATGGCCGTTAAAGCGCTAGAAAAACCTGCTGTACTCAGTATTCAGTACACTGCTGATTTACCGACGCTCTGCAAGACTTTTCTACCTGAAACGAGAGACTTGTGATGTGTTTGCATGACGTGTGATCTCCTCTTCTTTATTCTTCTTCTGCCCGTTGCTCTTTGCATGTAGATCAGATTTTATTAAAAGCTCTTTAAAAGCTTTATTAAAGGTCTTTTTTCAAAGCTGGTCTCAACATTTAATGAAATGAGTGAAATGTCTTGCGAATGCAAATAATCTACTCTGTGCATGCTAGTATGTGTATTACTGGTTTGACCACTTGCATATTTGAATTTTTATACAGTTATACAATAAGAAACTACAGTTTTTGGTGCATGTTCAACTAGATAGAGATCATGATAAATAGCTACTTAAAAAAACTGTTTATTTAGCTGTAATAGTTTCATATTTTAAGCGTGTGGACATGGTGTCAGGGTTGTGTTATTATCAGATAGTGTATTTCATGGTGAGGATAAGTAATCTTTAACATTTGTATTGTAGTTTATTCATTTTGCATTTCAGAGTTTTGGCTCATTTCATGAAATTCAGTGAGACCGTGTTGTGTTTACATATAAATAATGGTGATGAATAAAAACATGAACATTTCAAGCACGTTGATGTTGCCAATAAAGGTTTAAACATGGAAAAAAAACTGTAATCTTAAATGTTTTTTAGTCGCCTGCCACTCGATCTGTTTTAGGGATGTTTTTGTTTCTTCACTTTTGATTTTCTTATTAACGGTTGGTTTCCTGCTTGTTTGATTTGAGTCGGTGCTGAAATGTCTGCTGGGGTTTAAAGGGATGTTTGTGATGGAGGCCACATGGATTCAGTCTTAGAGTTTCACTCCTGTTTTTATCTTTGCTGCATCACTGAAACTTCATACATGGAAAAATGAGAAATAAACTGTTTGAAAGTTGTTACAGACGCTGTGGGCTTACATTCTCATTCATAAATGTTCCAGGATTGTATTTTGTGTCTCTACTGTGACATGTCTCCATGCTTTAATGTTCAAAAAGCTCTTTATTTTTCTCATACTGCCTGTGCTGCAGCACCTCTTTTCACCCTCTGTCTGAAACCAGAGCCCAGTCTGCTCTGATTGGTTAGCTGGCGGGCTCTGTTGGGATTGGTCAACCGCTTAGAGATGTCCCGCCCCTTAACCTATCACGTACAATGTATTGGAACACTAGCCAATCTGGAGGGATCACATGGGGATTTTAGCCTTTGCAGACCATTTACATGCACTAAAACCTATAGAACACAGGAAAGGAAAAACCCAAAAAGCATGATAGCGCCTTTTTAATAATTGTAAAAAGTGTATTAGTAATTATGAGGTTTGGACAAAACAAATATTGTGAAGTTGTCACGTTGGACTCTTGGTAATTGTGACGTCATTTCTCAAAATGTTAAACAATTGATTATTGGAGAAATGTCAGCAAATATATCAGAACAATGGCGGATTGGAACAAAATCTCTCTAAATACGCACTTTTTTTGTTTTTTTCAGACTCTAAAATACACGCTTTTTCGTTTTTTTTAGACTCTAAATACGCATTTTTTTGTTTTTTTCAACTCTAAATATGCACTTTAAAAAAAAAAGACATATGGTAGCATGGTCATAGTTGAACTATTACATTGACCACCGTTGAAAAAACCCATTTGTCCTTGGTCAACATGAGAGGTTATCCTGTACATGTTTGTCACAAACTGTGTCTCCACATATATCAGTGTTTGGTTTACAGTACAGTGACTCCATGCTTATCTCTCCTTTGTGTTGTGCTCCATCCAGTGGACACTCTGCGCCAGAACACCAGGAAGTGGTGGAAGTGTGTTACTGTAGTGTAGTACAACAACAACACAATGAACTCAGTGCTGAGGTCCATATGGTATTATCCTGTTAAACTTGCATTATATACCAACGTACTATTTTTACAATACCATTTATTGACTATTTTTAAATCTGGCTTGAAAGGACTGTGAGGAGATTTTTTCATGCATCACTTTGAGCAACAAATAAAACAGCAGTTATGGTTATTTAGATTCTAAAATCAGCTAAAATGTAATCCTGCTTACCTTAACATACACTGAGTTTTGAACCACTGAAATAAAAAATAAAATAAAAGCCCATTTGCCATGTTTTTTTAATCTTGCCTGATTTATAGATTGGTTTTGATCCTTGACATACGGAAACCCATCAAGTTTCCTATTGTGTTTTTAAGACTAGTTTCCTGTCATCTGAAATAACACTGAACACATTACTCACACAAACAACAAAGACCAGTGACCTTGAAATTAGTATATCTATTTTTTTATTTAAAATTGTGCTTGTCAAAATGTTTATCTTGAATGAAAGAAAACATATTTAATCTGTTACACATTGAGTTCTTGTTTAGTTCAGTGATTATAAAAATGTGCTGGGAGGGAAATCATTTGAAAAGGCATTTTTTCAAAGTATAAGAAAAGGAGGGTTTCGTGTATGCATGATGAGTTAAAACTGAGAACCTAGGAAGAGGTGTGTTCTGGCTTTTTGCCAACCCCCGTTAGTCATGTGACCCTCATCACATTTCACCCAGTTGTTTCTACCACACACAACAAACACACATAAGTGTTGACACAATGCAAACAAATGTAGGACATCATGTTGATTCAGCTTTTTATATCACAACGGGGGAAACTAGTTTTATAAAAAGATGGCAAAACTACAGGAAGCAAATGGTAGGGCTTAAGTCCAACTGTTATATCCTTAAAAAATGTAATTAAATCAAACCCCATTTTTCCTCATATGAGTTGTTGGCATAAATACTTGTATAATGCTAAACTCTGTAGAAGTTACCTCATTGTAAAGAGTAGTTTTAGTGTTATAGTGACTGCCTTCACTCATAAAAGTGAATGCTACCTCACTGATATCAGCCCCACTGTTTTCTGCTCTACAGCCAATATCCAATCACTGCTAGTGGAAACAAACATTTCATCCTACAAGCTCTTCACACAAAAAGACATCAACAGATGTAATACAAGTAATTTTATTTGTGAATTAGCTACAGGAAATGTGTCATGAAATACAAATGATATGTAAATGATGCCTTCCTGTTCAGTGTTTAGTGCTCGAGTCCCTGCTTTCTCAGACCTTGTGTTCAACTTGCAGTTTATTTTAATGTTTTTAACTCACAATCACATATTTACAGATGTCTTTGATTCATAAGCCATTTTACCAGTATTCACTATAACACCTGGCATGTAAATATACAAATAACAGTTATTAACCAAACCGTTATTATTTATTTCATGTCATATTATTAAGCTTCATTTAACTATACATTTATTTTGCTTATTGATTCAAACTTCAGCTTGACACATTTGATGTCTTTGGAAGCAATGGCTCCTTCTTGAAATTAAAGTAATTATCTGTGGCTTTATAAAAACTTTAATACATATATTCTCCATATGTGTTAGAGCAGGGGTCGGCAACCTTTTTGATATGAAGTGCCATTAAAAAAAAAAATTGTTATCAGCGTGCCAACGATCGAGAATTATCAACGGAGGGGGGGGGGGGGGGGGGGGGGGTTTGAGGAGCTTGACGCTGGTGAACTCTCAACAGGAGGGCGGGGGGAGCCTCGCTGCGGGGAAGCAGTGTGTGTGTGTACCTGTCAGCACAACTTACATGATGCCGAATTTAACAAACACATTTAATTAAATTGGTTTAAACGGCATAATAATAAGGACGATCGTCCGTTCTGTGATTCTCCAGAACACACATGTTATGATATTAGGGTCAGGCAGAGTGAGATGAGATCGCTGTCCCTTTAAGAGAGAGAGAGAGAGGGGTGTGGCGTGTGCATGTGTGTGTGTGGATGGTAGAGCGACAGTGAGGGAGCGTGTGTGTGTATGTTTCTGGAAGTGAAACGAGGCAGCAGAAAAACAGAGGTCTGTGATGTATTTTGTGAAACAGAAGAACAGCTAAATAAATGCAACGGCCTCCCCAGAAGAGCTCGCCTCTCTCCAGTCATTTAAGCTAAAGTGGGTTATTGAACCTGAAGCTTGTTGCTTCTGCCCTCCTCGACTACGGTCTGGGAGCCGACAGGAAAGTTCAACACACAGATGGCCAGTCCGCCCCTTTGTAGCATATTATTTCAATGAGAGATGAGCAGATCGCCACTGGGCTTTCAACTAAAGACACAGCCACGCAAAAACTGCGGCATTTGTAAAGCTCCTTATGGGTACTGCAATTGGTACAGCCCTGCACCACGGAGGAAAGCGGCAGAAAGTCACCTGGAGTTAAACAGAGCGGGGCTGCGTTGCGTGCATGGCTTCCTTCTGCAGGTAACGGGGAGACACGCTCTGGCGGCGGTCTCGTTCAGGATCCGAAAATACAATTTAAATATTTTGCACACTTATTCGACTTATTCCTAGTGTGCCACTGGTTACGGTGCCGCGTGCCAATGCTGGCACGCGTGCCAGGGGTTGCCGACCCCTGTGTTAGAGTAAGTGTTGATGAGATAATTGTTCAGTAAATGAATACTTCCAATAATGTGTTGTATGTAATGAGATACATAAAGAATGAAATGTAAATCAATCACCACAGTAAACTTATTATGTAGAAAATAAAATGGAAACTATGTTCTGACTAAATCAACACATGAAATAAGACGAGTGATTAGTTGACTCAGACAGGAGAGATGATCAGAGGTGCAGCATTTTTACGGCCATATTTAAGTCCAGGGTTGAAGTATGGGTAGAGTTTCTCAGTGAAGGAGCAGCCAGTAAAGGAGTAGATCAGAGCTGCAGCATCTACGTCATAAAAGGAGACCAGACCCTCCTTATAATCCACAAACACCCCCACCTTCTGAGGCTGAGACTTCAGAGAGAGACGGACTGGAGGATCATCATTGGCTTGGAACTCGATTCCCTTTCTCAACCATATAGTCCAGTTACCATCTTCAGGGCTCAGCGTGAATCCTCCCTTCCTGTTGATCGACTCTCTGGCCACTCCTAATTCCCACTCGGTCTTTCCTTTAACTTGAACCTCAAAGTAAGATCTGCCTGAAGAGAAACTCTGCTTTCCTAAAACACAAATACAATCAAGAAATCTCTCTCGGTTGTTTGGGAGATTCTTTACTACATCACCATATTTAACTCTTTTTCCATCATCAGACAGGTTGAGACCGGGATATGCTGTACGCGGATCAAGAGTCACATCCACTGCATACTTCTGGATCCTCTTCAGCTCAGCTTCAAGCAGTTTCTTCATCTCTTTACTGAACGTCTCCTCCACCTGAGCCACAGCCTTTACCACCCTCCCCTCATATACCGCTGGGGTGAAGCTGAATTTTCTCAAGTCCTTGGAGGGTGGTGGGTGTTGAATGTTCAGGGACTTGAAACTTTGAAGAAAATGCAGGTGGTCTTCAGAGTGTGTGACCTGCTCCACCTCAGAGCTTCTCTTCTTCAGCTCAGAGATTTCCTGTTCCAGCTCTTTGATTAAAGCTTCAGCCTCTTTTTCAGTTGTTTTCTGCTTCTCTTTGATCGTGTTGATGAGATTGGCCTGGCCTCTCTCAACAGACTCCTTCAGAGCAGTGAAGACCTGAACACCTTCTGCTACCTCTCTGTCTGCTTCTTTCTCACCGAGGTCCACTGAGTGTTTGATCTCCTCAATCTTCAGTTGTCTCTTCTGGATCATCTGCTGAGTTTCAGCCTCTGTCTTCCCCAACTCGGCCTTCTTTCTTTCATATCCTTCTTTTAGAGGAACCACATCATGCATCTTATGGTCTAAAACAGTGCAGAGCATACAGACACATGTCTGGTCGGTCTTACAGAACAGCTCCAGAGGTTTATCGTGCTTCGGACACATCCTGTCTTCCAGGTTCTCCACAGGGTCGATCAGCTGATGTCTTTTCAGACCTGACTTTGTCAGATGAGGCTCCAGGTGAGTCTCACAGTAGGAGGTCAGACACACCAGGCAGGACTTCAGGGCCTTCAGTTTGGTTTCAGTGCAGATGTCACAGAAAACTTCTGCTGGTTTGAAGACTTGTTGCTCTGAGCTGCTGCTGCTGCTGCTGGCTTTCTGTTGAGCCGACTGTCTGAACTGAGCGACCATCTCAGAGATGAAAGTGTTAACGTGCAGCTCAGGTCTTGTGTTGAACTCTTTTTTACACATGGGACACTGGCACCTGTCACTTGTATCCCAGTGTTCAGTGATGCAGGTTTTACAGAAGTTGTGTCCACATGGTATAGTGACTGGATCAGTGAACAAATCCAGACAGATGGAGCAGAGAAACTGATCTTCAGATGGCAGGTAGCTTGCAGCAGCCATATCTACACACATGTGAAAGAAAAGAAAAAACATTTGAAACATCAATCATCAATTCATATCATATATTGTTTTAAAGAAAGAAGCATGAGCAACCGTGACCATTTAACTCTGACAGGTTCAAGCATGCAACTCTGGCTAACAGCAATGAAAATATAGTTTTTGTCGATTATTTTTTTATTGAAAAATAACACTGCTCTTCTTATTGTGTGACCATAACAATTAATTTTCTCTAGCTGCTTCACATTAAAAGCCTCCAACTGTTTCCCTAATGGAAATATTTTATTTTGAAACAGCTAGAGGAAATGGGTAAAAGCATTATGTAGGAAGTGATCAGCAAAATGTAATAAGAGTAGGAAAGCAGAAGTTAATCAAAACTCCTACCACAGAGATTCAGTTACAAGTTAGTAAAGTACTAAGAGCTGATACAAAGAGACTGTTTAAACCGTTTAAAGTGGACTCTATATCATATGGTTATGTTGTTAGAGAAAAACAAGTTGGACGTAAAGGGTGGAGCTTTCGTCTGAGTAGAGCTGAAGTTTTGTGTTAATCCTGCTTGTTGAAAGTGTAAATATAATCAGATGTACTCACCAGTGTTTGACAGAGACTCTGCTGTGTTGTTGAGAAAGATCTGATGAACTCAGTTTGTATTTTCTTTAGACAGAAACAGAGACTAGTCTCGACTGCAGTGTGGCTGCCTCTCTGACTAACTTAACATTCGTTTCCTGAGTGTGTCGTGTAAGCTCTCCTCTTTCCACTGTAGCTCCTCCTCTCACTGCAGGTTGTGTTCCCTCCCTCTGATCTGCATGGGTATTCTTCTTCTTCTTTTCTTTAATGGCGAATCGCTTCCACTTGGAGCATATATCGCCACCTACTGTTGATTTATTACATGTTTATACTAAATCCTTGTCCTCAGACCAGTGCTTTTGAGGAATTTGAAGATCAGCTTGTTTGCTTCATTTCTTGATTTACTTTCGTATATTGACTTGAAATCCATGTCCTTGACGTTGAGTTGTTCCAGTGCAGTTTTCAGAATGAGTCTTTGTCTGTTATAATCCATGCAGCTAAAAAATACATGATGTATTGTCTCTGGTTGTTGGCAACCATCACAATTGCCATTTGGATGTTTTCCAATCAGATGCAATGATGAGTTTAATCCAGAGTGACCCAATTTTATCCTGCTGTTAATGCTCTGTTCTCTTCTACTACTCCCCCAAGTGCTTCCCATTCCTACTTCCCTTTGTATCTGGTATAAATGTCTTCCTTTGGTGTTACTGTCCCATAGTTTTTGCCATTGTTGCTTGATAACAACTTTTGTAACAGATTTTACTTCTGCTCTACTGATGGGTACCATAATATCAATCTGGTTTGCTTTCAAACCACATTTTGCCAGTTGATCCACTACTTCATTCCCTCTAATACCCACATGCGCTGGAACCATGGATGTATAATAAGAACTGGATACAGCGTGGGAGGCGGGGCCTCATTCATTCCTATGAGAGTTGCTCATTCGCGCATGATGATAAAATGGCCCAACTTTTGAGAGAGCGAAACGTCACAGATTACCCGGCATGCCTGAGAAGTACCCGTATGTGCGCTCATAGCGCATGCGCAACTTTAACCATGCCCCCCAAAATGCTCGTTCACATCCACCACGTCAATTTGCGTACACGTAACAGCACCGCACGTTCATGACAGCATGGTAATGGGTTGTTATTATGATAGATTTGATATTACCGAGGCGGCAGTTAGCAGCTAGCGGTTAGCTAGTAATTATGCTAATTTACTCATCAATCGTTATGTACTTTTACGCTGTAACAGGATCTAGTGATATCCAAGCAACAGAGCTTAATTTAGCGTGAAAGAATTGTTGCACTGTATATATATATATATATATGTATATGTATGTATATATTGTAGTGATCACTAATTAACTAGGTTACATAATTCACTCATGGAACTACAGGTTGGGGGTATTGTTTCCGCACGGACACATATGTTGACGGTACCTACTGTGTACCTACTGTGTGTCCTCCCTTTCGCTTTCTCTTCTCTTCTCGGGCTGCGACCCGACAGCATGTCCATTTCTGCTGCTCAATAAAGCGAGATTTGCACCTTCGATGCACCGCCTCCGACTCCCTTCTCTCGGCACTACATTGGTGACCCCGACGTGAGTCTCGCGAAGTATCCGAGACTGAACCGAACACAGCAAAAAGCGCAGCTTTTCTCTAAATGCCGGAGATTCTTGGAGACGTCCGTGGCTGCCACGTGCACACAGACTGTGGCTCGGTGCGCCCTCCGGAATGGCCGCGGACGACGCTCGCCATTTCCACGGGTTTTCGGCACTGGGGGACAGCAAGCCTTCGATGGAGCCGATACACAACCTTGCCTGGTTTATTCGGGACATGCGGCTGCATGTCCAGCTGGCGACTAGCAGCTAGCGGCTAACGACATCCGACTGTTTTTTTTTGTGGTGCCGGAGAGGAGGTTCGATCAAGTCTGGTCGGCCTCGTGTGGATCCTCTCACAATTTCGCCCACCTGTTTTTGATCGTGGACAGGACGGCCCTTTTGAGTTTTTTTCTGGTGCCTGAGAGGAGGTTCGACCATGTCTGGTCGGCCTCGTGTGGACCCTCTCGCTTTTTCACCACCTCGACGGCGGCTTCGGACGTTGCCCATGCCTTCTTCGGCCCGTGGGTGGCGCGCTTCTGGACCCCGTCTCGCCTCGACTCTACGGTTTCGGACGTCGCCCATGCCTTCATCGGCCCGTGGGTGGCGTGCTTCGGGACCCCGTCTGGCCTCTCCCCTGTCCACGGCTCCCTCCTCCCGGGGACACGGCTCCTTCCTCCCGAGGACTTCGTACCCGCCGCCGCTGTGCCTTCGCCTGCGGCCGGGCAGCGCTCCTCCCTGCTGGGGACCACCGGGATATTCACGCCTGTCCCCACGTCGCAACACAGCGACCCTGCTTTCTGCGGCCCCCTGACGACGGCCCGTTCCGGCCCGCCCCCCACCCCCCGGTGGGGATGCCCTCGCCCTCGTTGGGGCCCCTACCCTCTCCTGCGGCCCCCTTCCGACGGCCCGTTCCATGGCCCGGCCCTCGCCGGCGGCCCCGCCCTCCTCGGCCCCTGTGGTGCTTCCTCCCGGACGCGAGGATTGTGTCCATGGTTGAATTCTGGGGGGGCTTGTGTAGTGATCACTAATTAACTAGGTTACATAATTCACTCATGGAACTACAGGTTGGGGGTATTGTTTCCGCACGGACACATATGTTGACGGTACCTACTGTGTACCTACTGTGTGTCCTCCCTTTCGCTTTCTCTTCTCTTCTCGGGCTGCGACCCGACAGCATGTCCATTTCTGCTGCTCAATAAAGCGAGATTTGCACCTTCGATGCACCGCCTCCGACTCCCTTCTCTCGGCACTACAATATATATATATACAGTGCAATAAGCTTCTTAGTGCAATAAGAAGCTACTGTACAGGGACGTTAATCTACGTCGGTAATATTAACTTTATTTAATACAACATTTACGGTACAAGATTTAATCATACAGCCCATGTAGTATAATATTTTACAAATGATGAATTACAGCAAACATGTGCAATATATCCATTATTACAGCTCCGTGGGCTGGCAGTAAGGCGATATGGGTCCGTTCTTATTGTGCATCCATGGGTAAAGATAAACGCATGTAGTGCTGAACACGTAACATGAACGTGCCGGGCGGCGCGGTCCCGTGGGTTAGATGCGCGTTCATAATGCAGAGGGAAATAACTCACAGAATAACGTTATTAGCACATTTTTACAACTTGAGGAACGAATGTTTTTAATAAGGGCTATACAAGTGTTCATACTGGGTAGTTTATTTAGTTTAAAAAAAATTATCCAACGATTTACAGACCACTCTTTCCCCATGTAAGTCAATGGGAAAAAGTGTTTCCGGGCCTGGCAACCAAAAGGAAGTGTAGTACCGACGAATATTTTCATCTGAGTCCGGCGCACTTCCTGGGGGCTTGGCTGGAACCATAGACTGTATATATAAATGGACGTAGGGTCCGTGACGTCACCAAGCCCCCAGGAAGTGCGCCGGACTCAGATGAAAATATTCGTGCTGGCCAAACGGCGGTACTACACTTCCTTTTGGTTGCCAGGCCCGGAAACACTTTTTCCCATTGACTTACATGGGGAAAGAGTGGTCTGTAACTCGTTGGATAATTTTTTTAAAACTAAATAAACTACCCAGTATGAACACTTGTATAGCCCTTATTAAAAACATTCGTTCCTCAAGTTGTAAAAATGTGCTAATAACGTTATTCTGCGAGTTATTTCCCTCTGCATTATGAACGCGCATCTAACCCACGGGACCGCGCCGCCCGGCACGTTGATGTTACGTGTTCAGCACGACATGCGTTTATCTTTACCCATGGATGCACAATAAGAACGGACCCATATCGCCTTACTGCCAGCCCACGGAGCTGTAATAATGGATATACTGCACATGTTTGCTGTAATTCATCATTTGTAAAATATTATACTACATGGGCTGTATGATTAAATCTTGTACCGTAAATGTTGTATTAAATAAAGTTAATATTACCGACGTAGATTAACGTCCCTGTAGCTTCTTATTGCACTAAGAAGCTTATTGCACTGTATATATATATACATATATATACATATATATATATATACAGTGCAATAATTCTTTCATGCTAAATGAAGCTCTGTTGCTTGGATATCACTAGATCCTGTTACAGCGTAATATAAAAGTACATAACGATTGATGTGTAAATTAGCATAATTACTAGCTAACCGCTAGCTGCTAACTGCCGCCTCGTTAATATCAAATCTATCATAATAACAAACCATTACCATGCTGTCATGAACGTGCGGTGCTGTTACGTGTACGCAAATTGACGTGCATGATGTGAACGAGCATTTTGGGGGGCATGGTTAAAGTTGCGCATGCGCTATGAGCGCACATACGGGTCCTTCTCAGGCATGCCGGGTAATCTGTGACGTTTCGCTCTCTCAAAAGTTGGGCCATTTTATCATCATGCGCGGATGAGCAACACTCATAGGAATGAATGAGGCCCCGCCTCCCACGCTGTATCCAGTTCTTATTATACATCCATGGACGTCACCCATAGGATTCTGCAGAGTTGCCGAGAAGCCCTTAGTAGGCGTAGTCGGCCACTAACGGCTCGACAGTGACGTCAGAGTCTAACTCCCGCCTGCTCCAAATAAGGGCAAAGAGGCGGAGCCGAGGCGGGACCTGCTGCCTCCGAGCTGGAAGTAACAGAGCTAGCTCAAGCTAAGAAGCTAAGCTAACATGCTCCCCATCTGCACACTGCCGTCACATTTTACGTTTCTAAGGTAAGCGGACATGAAACTATTCAGCAAAACTATAAAATAATCTAAGTTATTGAGTTTTTAGCATAATACTTCAGAATCTTAAAATCCCTTAACGTTTGTATGTAATGTGCTAAATGCAACACTGGAATCAAGCAAATTAATATGTTTGCATGACATTAGTTATTTATATTTTGCTATCACTTAATTATACGTGTAATACATTTAAGTCAAGCTAAGGTACAGTACATGTGATGGTAGCTAGTTAGTGCTCTTACCTGTGAGGCCTCCTCCAAACAGCATTATAACCAGACTGTATCATTAAAACTATAAGTACCAGTTCTAGATCCTTGACTTTAGACAAACAAT